GCTCTCACTCAGTTGGGGATTTCCCGTGGGGATGTTGTGAGTCCTATCCTTTTGACCCTTACTTATATTCAGGGCATTTTGATCCATATGATTTGTGCGATACTATTCCTGGTTTATTTTGCACTCTCTAGCAACTTCATACCTCCACGAATCTGATCGAACATGCGTGTATAATTACGATACCGACTTTTCAAATTCATGCCCTGCTTCGTCATTTTGATTGGGGCGGCTGCAACTTGCATTAGTTTTTCCCCTTTATCGCGGCCCAAGGTTAAACCTTTTTCTGGGTCTTGTACTCGTTTCGTTGCGCGGAATTGTTATATCTAGGTGACCATTTCCCCAAAGAATCGAAGCTAGACAAAATAAGACACTATATCATCTAAAATATATGCGGACTCGCGCGTTGCGAGTTTGCGACTTTTACGAGTAATTTTCATTGGTAGAATGATGACCTTTTCTTTTCTTGATTGGAGAAAATGTGGATCTGTTGGGAATGTTGGATTTGGAATTTCCTATCTGAACCACTGATGCTATTTTTCATATTTTCTCCAAACAGGTTGCTACCTTATTACCTAATGTCCCTGCAATGTATGAACTGCATTTTGCAGTACCAATGGCCGGAGCAATTCTTTGCACTCTAAATTCACGTCTTGATGGAGCTATGGTTTCAGTCCTTCTAGAACATTCACAAGCGAAGGTCCTCTTTGTAGACTACCAATTACTCGAAGTTGCAAGGAGAGCATTGAACCTGCTCAGCAAAAGAGTCAGAAACTTGCCTATTTTAGTTCCAATCACAGACTCTGACGGCTCATCTACCATTGACACTAGCTCAGTCAGCTATGAGTATGAGGAGCTGCTATCTACGGGGAGTAGTGGGTTTGAGATTGTTAGGCCAAATAGTGAATTTGATCCAATAAGTGTGAATTACGCCTCAGGCACCACATCTAGGCCAAAGGGGGTTGTTTTCAGTCACAGGGGGGCCTCTTTGAATACTCTAGGAACTATTGTTCTCTTTGGGATGGGCTTTATGCCTGTTTATCTTTGGACTGTGCCTATGTTTCACTGCAACGGGTGGTGTTTGCCCTGGGGAGTGGCAGCTCAATGCGGAACCAACGTGTGTCTGAGGAAAGTCTCTCTTGAGGACATCTTTGAGAAGGTGACAGACCGTAAGGTGACACATATGGGAGGAGCTCCTACTGTTTTGAACATGATCGTGAACTCTGCATTGACTGATAGGAGGCCACTTACCCACAAGGTGGTGGTGGTGACAGGCGGTGCTCCACCACCACTACAAATCCTATCCAAGATGGAGGAGATTGGCTTTAGTGTATCTCACCTTTATGGCCTAACAGAAACATATGGTCCTGGGACTTCTTGTGAATGGAGACCTGAATGGGATTGTGTGGCTCCTGAAGAAAAATACAAGAGAAAAGCTAGACAAGGAATTCCCCATGTGACTATGGACGCTATTGACATAAAAGATCCTGACACTATGAAAAAAGTCCCAGCCGATGGCAAAACAATGGGTGAGGTAATGTTCAGGGGAAACACGGTGATGAGTGGATATTTGAGAGATTCGGAAGCAACAGAGGAAGCTTTTAGAGGTGGGTGGTTTCATGGCGGAGATGTGGGAGTGAAACACTCTGATGGCTATATAGAAATTAAGAATAGATTGAAGGACATAATAATATCAGGGGGTGAGAACATTAGCTCAGTGGAGGTCGAGACAGTTTTATATAGCCATCCTGCAGTTCTTGAAGCTGCGGTTGCGGCTAGGCCAGATGATCACTGGGGGCAAACGCCTTGTGCATTTGTGAATTTGAAAGAGGGGTTTAGTACAGATGCTCAAGAAATAATTGATTTTTGTCGAAATCATTTGTCCCATTATGTGACGATCGTTCTTTTAAAACTATTATAGATTAAATCCAACAATTTATTTGAATGATTAACTATGATAGAAAAGAAGAAACTTTAAATTTTAAAATCAATCGCTATTATGGTTAAAAGAAATAAACTTATATTAGGAGCAACATCGATCGTTAACTTGGGCCTTGAACTTCCAAAATCCAGAAATATCATTCAACCATGAGCTCAAACCAAACTTATACTTTTAAACATACGAACTGATAAATCATTTTAATATAAGTCATAAAGCCCATTAGTCAAAAGTCAACACTATCAAAAGAGCGTAATACGCAAAGTCTTAAATATTTTTGGCCTTCCAACGACCCCCATATCAGCTAGTAGTAATTAAAAGTATTAGTTTACAGCATTAGAGTATATGGCCCTATGTGGCAATATATAACAAATCAGCACATGCAACAAAAGTCGGGAGGCTATACAAGCTATAACAGCACACTATGTCTCCAGAGCTTTCTCTGATAGGTCATCACCTGAACTATCACCTGAAGAAAGTAAAAACTATGGGGTGAGACAAACGCCTCAATACCCAACTTTCCAACTGATCATACATACTAACATATGCTCGTGAAGTGTCAAGTGGGATAATTATGAAATCTCAATATACATATCAATGAAAAATACAAATATGTATATTTAAATAATCTCAGTCATCCAACCCTAATTACGGGGGGCTAACACACAAACCACATAAGCCTATCCCTCACTATAGGGGAACAAACCGACCTATAGGCCTATCCTACACTTTGAGGGACGAATAAGTAGTCACAAAGATCCATTCCTTATTATAGGCCTATCCCACACTTTGAGGGACGAATAAAAAGCTACAAAGGTCTATTCCTTACTCTAGGGGAGAAGGAAGAAGCCAACCAATGTGCACCAATGACGGCCTTATCACATGGTAGGACAACGCTCAATCCAAAGTCCAAATAACAATCAATCATTCACATTATAACAGAAAATGTCTTAATTTTTTCTCAGTATAATCCATAAGATATAAATTATATATCTTTTCCAAAATTCTCAATCACAATTTCAAAAATCCCACAAGATAATTTTCATAACTCAAAAGATATAATATATCTACTCAAATTTCAAATAACAAATATTATTCAAAAATAGCAAAATACTCACAAACAACATATTAGCACATATAACAAGTGGAAAGTGGTTACCTCTCACCAAAGCAATAGTAAGGATTACCACAATGTCAATCCTTTGCTCAACCAATAACTAATCTACACAATTAATATAACCACATATTAATATAAACTAATTAATTAATTAATTAAACTTATCTACATTAGTTAAATTTCTAATTTAATTTAATTTTTATTCTAATTCCTGCAACTCTCATAACCCAAAATTAAGTATTTTAGAAATAACTTAAAATTTTCTAACAAGCCAAATTATTTATTTACCACCTCCAAATTATTTACCTTAATAAAAAAGATTTTCCACAATTTCCAAATATAAAATTATTATGTTTTAAATTCTAAAAATCTCATTTTAAGTTTAAACCTCAAAATCAAACTATCAAAAATTCAATAATACCTCAAGTATTTATATATAAATAATCTAATCAAAACTTTAATGGTATAACTACCATATATATATATATTTCCATAAATAATAAAATTTTTAGTTACAATAATTATTTTAAAACCTCCAGTCACCCAATAAATAAAACTAAACCGATTAAAATCTCAATAATATGTCAAACAATCTAAATAAATTATTTAACTTAAATTTAATCAATAAAAATATGATATAAATCATATATAACAGATTTTTCAGCTAGAAAAATTAATTTAAGTACTAAAAACCAACAAATGGACAAATCTAACCGCTTAAAATTAACAGCTCATTTACTTCTAAATTTCTATGATCATCTTTTACCAAAACTCCATATTTATATCATATATAAGTCTCAAAATTTTCTCTAAGCACTTTAGTAATACTATCATTAGAAAGCCTAAAATATATAGGAAACTTTCATGAAGAAAGTTTGATAAAAAGAATTATATTTGTGTACCTAGATAATTCTCAAAACTTGAATTACCTTTCAAAATGCTAAACCTTCAATGCTCCTTTCTCGTTCTCTCTCTCTTTCTTTGATTCTTGTTCTCTCTCTTTCTCTTTGTATATGCATCATCTTCTGCATCTCCTCTCCCTTTTTATCTCCCATCTTTCAACCACCCAGTGCAAATTTTCTTCCTGCATTTAATTCTCCTTCCTCCAAAGTCTTCATTCCTCCCCCTAAAGTCTTCTTTCTGATCCAAATGCCTCAATTTTTCCACGAGTCAATTTTCCACACCTTAACTTTCCACTGAAGTCGGTGGAAACTGCTACTTCTTCTCTCTCTTTTTTTTAAAATATTATTATTTTATTATAAAATATTATATTATATTATATTATTTATTTATTCACTAAATCCTAAAATAAAATTTAGGATATCACACATTACAAGGCTCCAAAAACTGTTATTTTTGAGGACCTACCAAAGACTGCAACAAGGAAAGATACAAAAATTTGTTTTGAGGGAGAAAGCCAAGGCCATGGGCAGCCTTACTTGACCATCAAAATCCATATACAGTGGAGCCTGCTCAACAGGAGCCAAATTAGTTAAGAATGCTGTTTCGTAAATGCTGTTTCGTAACACATGGGAGGAACTCTTTCTGTGATACGGTCTTGCACAAGATTGACGAATTGTTATCCCAAAAAAAAAAAAACATTGAAGAACAAAGGGCAGAACCCAAGGAATCTAATCCACACCAACAATCCGCCTGGGTCATGCGTCACCATCAATGGCGGCAAGTTTACCGATTTATAATTTACTTATTTACCGTTCATACTCGCAGCTATTGCCTATTGGATGATTTCCCGGGCCTTTACTATGACTAAGCGAATAACCCTCTCTCTGCGGTCCCAGAAATTATCTTCTTGGTTTTTTTCCCCTGACCGGGCTGGTCCTGCAAATTACCAAATAGATACTATTTGTCTGTCCTGGGAAATTCGTAATGAGCTAATTGAGAAAATCCATGGCATCAAAATTACAGTATTCAAAGAAATAGAGCGAATTGAAATCCAAATGATGTGAATAATCAATCCTCAACTAAATTGCACAGTTAAAAAACCAAGTAGTACGTCATAAACATTCTAGACAAATAATTATAGGTATAGAAGTTAAATCAGGCATGATTTGAAAATAGATTACACCACGGGAGATAAACGAGAACAGTAATGTTTTCGAGAATTATAATTAAAAGGTGGATGTCTGTGTATAAGACATAGAAGGCCACTCTTATTAATGCCATGCATACTTAAATCGATTATGGAGGCACGTCATCCAGCTCATTTGATCTTCTTTCTGATGAGGAATTTTTGGACATTGCCAGTCGAATTACCGGGCAAATCTCCAAAAACCACACGCTGAGGAACCATATGAGCTTCCAACCGAGCTTTACAAAACCTGATAATATCTTCCACGGTGGCGCGACATTCTTTTTTCAGCTTGATAAATGCAAAGGGGGACTCTGCCGTACGTTCTTTATACCCCACAACAGCCGCATTCAGAACCTTTGGGTGCCTCAGTAACACAGCCTCCACCTCAAGTGAGCTCACAGCCCCTCCTTCTGAATATATCATATCGTTTGCCCTGTCCTTCAGTCTTATGGAACCATCCCTCTGCCTCGTTGCGAGGTCCCCTGTTCTGTACCATCCCTCTCTAAAAGCTTCCTTGGTCGCTTGTTGATTTTTCAGGTACCCCAGCATCATGGTGTTGCCTTTAAACATAATCTCACCAATGGTTCTCCCATCACAAGGTGTACTCTCCATTGTGTTTGGATCTTTCACATCAATCCCCTCCATCATCAGTATGGGGCGCCCTTGATCTCCATAACTGAGTTGTTCCGTGGGTTCATCGCCTGAATTGGGTATCCAAGGTCGCACCAATACAGGACCCATTGATTCTGTCATGCCATATCCAATGTTCACATTGAACCCAAGTTCTGCTACCTTGCAAAAGACTTGGCGCGGGGGTAGCACTCCAGCAACTGTGATACTCACACCCGGAGGCAGAGGCTTGTGCTCACTTTGTGGTGCATCCGCAATTACGTTCAAAAGTACGGGTGGACCGCACAAATGGGTTACGTTGTGACGAAAGATGGCATCAAGCATGGCTTTAGCTGAGACATTTCTGAGACAAATATTGGTGCCACCCAGACTAGCCATTGCCCAAGCTAAGCCCCATCCGTTGCAGCGAAACATGTCCACTGTCCACAGAAACACAGGCATTGGTTTCATATCGAACCGCGAGACTGCTGCCGCTGAGTTAAGAAGCCCGCCTCTGTGACTGTAAACAGCTCCCTTAGGAGTTCCCGTGGAGCCCGACGTGTAATTCACTGATATAGGATCGCATTCACTGCTCGGCATCCTGATCTTAAAATCTGCTTGTCCCTTTTCGAGCAGTTGGTTGAAGTACAGGTCATCTGGCGGGAGATTTGGCTTGTTATGATCTGGGATGACAACCAGAAGCGGAGGCTTACATTTTCTTTTGCACATTTTGTGGAACGAGTCAAGGGCAACGTCAACGAAATGATAGTCCACAAACATAATTTTAGCTTCTAATTGTTCCAATATCTCAGACAACGTTGTGGCGTCCCATTTGGTGTTGAGCGAAGCAATAACTGCCCCAGCCATTGGAACCGCGAAATGTAGCTCATAGTGCTCTGGAATATTTGGTGCCAAAGCCGCAACCTGCTCAACGAATTGCAAATTGAGCTCTTTATGATATATACCAAGTATTAGTCCTTAGTACATCTTAAACTAAGAACCGGAGATAGTATAAAGAAAACTGCTAATTAACTACTTATTGATTGCATGGTTGTTGTTATATATACAGAGAGATAAGCAACTTCTAGTTTGTATCAAATTCTTTGTTATGTCTGCCAACGTCCGCCGTCCCATTTTTCCAACTAACACCCCTTGGCTGGACGTATACGCGCTTTAACGAAGCTTCTTCCTCTCAGATCTCATCACCATTATTACGCAGCTTCATGCATCTATGGAACACAATTAATGGATCTCTGCAATCGCATCTGATATGATATCTATACATATTAATCGACGAAACCTTAAGGTCTTTAGGAAAATCTACTTATTAAAACTAGCTCAGTTACTGCCCACGTTCAGCTCAGTGGTACTCATATTTCCTCTTCCCATTAACCGGCATATAGTTAAGACATATAAGCTAAACTTTAATGGCACGCCTCGTGATAGAGAGCTGAGAATAAGCAAGATGAAAGAAGGCAAATGAACTTACAATATCAAGGTGAGAAATCCCCAGATTGACCAGAGCAGAAGCGAGCCTGAGGCATCTTCCATGGGTCTCCTTCCATGTAAATCTGACATCACCGTAGACGACGGATGGCTTGTCAGAGTACACAGTGGCTGCCCGCTCCAAGAAAGTGATGGGCGTCAAAGGCACGTAATTTGCAGAGCAGGCAGATGGAGCTTCCTTCATGCTTGCACTTTTCTTCATTTGGCGTCTCCATGCGCGGTGCAGATATGAAGATTTATTAGCGTTCGCGTGCAAGGTCTTTTTGGGCCCCGGCCCATCAAGTTCCCCGCCCGGGTCAGGGGGCTGTCCGTGATTACACACACCTCTTCTTAATCATCAATTATATACTTAATCTCGCCTTATTAATTCTCTGACTCGGGATCCAACCAGGGCATGACACGTAAGTCAGGGTTTCCAACAGGAATCCACTGCCGGACCTACAGATAACCCCAGCATATGCACGTATATAGGTACTCAATACTTTATGCATTGAAATATGCGGGTGAACTCCGAGTCAGATGCGTGATCCAAAGCCTGTAACTTCGGTTTTCCTTCAACAAAAAAAGGGGGGGGGGCTTCTAGATGAAAATGCAAGTGGTGGTTTATGATGGAGACAAATAAATCCACCAGATCAGCGGTATAATGCTGAGTAAAGGGGGGGGGGGAGATATCGGGCACAGAAAACAGAAAGAGGAGGGCACGTATAAATCATGCCAGCGTACTGAAGGTGGGAGTCTTCAAGATGAAAACGCAAGTGGTGGTTTATGATGGATACAAATAAATCCACCAGATCAGCGGTATAATACTGAGTAACAGGGGGGGAGATATCGGGCACAGAAAAACAAAAAGAGGAGGGCACGTATAAATCATGCCAGCGTACTGAAGGTGGGGGGGCTTCAAGATGAAAATGCAAGTGGTGGTTTATGATGGATACAAATAAATCCACCAGATCAGCGGTATAATACTGAGTAACAGGGGGGGGAGATATCGGGCACAGAAAAACAAAAAGAGGAGGGCACGTATAAATCATGCCAGCGTACTGAAGGTGGGGGGGCTTCTAGATGAAAATGCAAGTGGTGGTTTATGATGGATACAAATAAATCCACCAGATCAGCGGTATAATACTGAGTAACAGGGGGGGAGATATCGGGCACAGAAAAACAAAAAGAGGAGGGCACGTATAAATCATGCCAGCGTACTGAAGGTGGGAGTCTTCAAGATGAAAATGCAAGTGGTGGTTTATAATGGAGACATATATCCATCAGATCAGCGGTATAATGCTGAGTAACAGGCGATGTCGTGCGTGATGATGAATTGGTGATTATGACGTCAGCTTGCATTTACACTTGTCTTTGAGTTGATATAGATAGCGTGATTCACCTGGGGCGAGGACACTGATGCCCACCTTTTACAAGATTGATCGGATTAATCTGAATCGAGCTGCGTGACTTTTCTTTTGTCAATCATCTGAAAATGACGACATATATATATTGGACAGCACCAGGTGTTGAATCCTTGCTTTAAAATAAGAGTAAGGGAGGAAGTGGCCTTTTAATGTTGTCCCTTCATTTTTATGTGCTTCCTGACCACATGCACGGTTGCTGAGGCTCACGCTCACACGCACGCACATATATAGAGAGGAAGGAGCCAGCAGGCGGCATCTTGTGTGGCCTATAATTCAGCGCCCGCTTTTTGTATATAAACCTCAGCTGCGACTTACGGAGCCGTGTGGTGAGCACAGAGCGAACTGTTCTTTCGCCTTTTACTATAGCATACGCCTTTTTTTGGAGGAGTTCTCTTCACTGAGGACTCCACGAAAAAAAAAAGAAGAAGAAAAAGTTAGGCTTTCTCTCATCCACAACAGCGGAACTGCAAGCCATTCGCATAGGTCTTCAGGTCGTTAAACAAATGGGATTAAAGAAGGTCCAGCTTTTCACAGATTCCATTCAAGCCATACAACTCTTGATGAATGATAGTAGAAACTTCCACCCGATTCGTGATGATGATTGACGAAACGAGGTCGATGATTTTCTTCGGTTGGGATCTTGACATATCTTTCTCACCTAGAGAAGCTCTACAATGCACTGACCTCATTGCCAAGAAGGCCCACCAGTCAAACTACTCAATTTCGTGCCGTGACTGTAATAAACCAGAACCTACCTACTTCCGCATGCTTTGCATGGAATCAGCTGGTCACACTTTCATTATCAGCACCGCATTACCTGCCCTCAACAGATCACAGCCATTGATTTGATCCCTCCAATCCATGCACCGCATGTCTCGTGCCTTGCTTGAAAACCCAAAACCTTAAAATTTTTTGTCTGTTTATTATGTATTATCCCACTAATAATGCACCTCTCATGTCTTCTTTTATCTGTTTGCACTATGCAAATATATGAGACGCCAGTCCTTTTTTTTTTTTTTGGCATCATGCGCTCTATATTTAGTGTGAAATTGACTAAATTTATGAGTAAAATGAATTAACTGCGCCTCATGCGGTCACTAAACTGCAGAGAATCCGGATCCTTAATTGGGTCCAGCTTCTCTTTCACATATCAGTTTCAAGTTCCGCAGCACCTCTTCGTTTTTTAGCGCGTCCTGTTCTTCTCCTGGCAGCACCTCCGTTATTCAACCACCGAACCAGATTTCACTTAATGGCCAAAGTGAAGCGAGCAACTCTAAACCTGCACTCTTTCTGGCATCTTTCTCTCTCGCCCATTGAAAAGCTTCAATCAAGCTCTTCAATTGAATTTTAGAATCCACAGAAGCAGACTTGGCATAAGGTGCTCTTCTACATTGGCTGGGTGCTCTTATGCTTTGTTTCATATACCATTTTACAACTTCTTCGAAAGATAATTTCCTCTTTTGCTAATTTTCACTTGTATTCATTCTATTACGGTGCCGTATTTATTACAAGAAGAGTTGGGGTCAATCTATAATCTCTCACCTTTTAATCTTTTATTTGTGCCCACATTTTGCTTAAAAGGGCAGGATTTTTAGCAAGTCATGAACAATTAGTTCAGCTGTGCGAACACTAATACTCATATATTGATGCCACACATTTTAATGTGGATATTTTCATATTGCCACATGAGATTTTCAGGCAAAACTTCTATGCTTCGATGAACTTTTGTTATTTTTTTCAGGCCAGAGGACGACATACGATACAGGACAAAGTTTCCATCTTTCTCTCCATCTCCACTATAGGTTATCAAGTTATATAATTAAAAAAATCATAAAAGGCTTGTTATTACTATAAGCAATTGAGTCCACATTCTCTTAATTTTTTTTTTTTTAAATCTATCGTCATATGTAAATACTCACACACACACATGTACAGATTGAGGAGAACATGGAAAAGGGAGCAATGGGAGCAATGCTCTGTTTCCTATTTCCTTTGAGATTAAGTAGGGGTCTCTGACACAATCATTTGTACCAAACCTGAAACTAGTTGGAAGATTTGGAATTCTTATGTTTGCTCTCATGGCACAACTTTAAAAATTCCGTCTTCGATTAATATGTATGACTGTTTCGCTATTTCACTTGACAATCTATAATCTGTCAAGATCCTCGAAAATGCTGCTTTGACCTTAAATTCTTTGCGGCTTTGAGGTTTGGGTGCATGAGATGTACGATTTTTATGCTTGCCGATGCTGAGTAGAACAGCTTAGGCAGTACCCATATATAGACCCCCTTTGCTGGAATCTCTCAAAATTCTTCCCCACCAGCACAGCACATTCGACTTTCCCGCGCTGCTAGAGGAAGATGAACGGGGTGCGTGAAATTCAGTCAAGTCTGGGTCGACGGCTGAAGAACGGAGGTGCTGCTGGGAGAAGAAGGGGACGCGCGAAAAAGAACTAAGGGGTGCAGCGGAACTTGAAATCGATATGAAAGGCGCTATTTGAGAAGGTCCAATGACGTCGTTGAAGGGTAAGGGAGCCTGGGACGGGTAGTGACTGGACGGGAAGGATAGATGAGAGAAGCTGAACCCGTAATTATCACGCCATGCATGAAAACAACGACGATGGAACCAATATTTCTTTCGGAGCCATCATGGGGTTTCGTGCATTTGATTGCAGTTCGAATCAAACTCGAGGTTTCATGGAGGGTTAATAGGAGGTTTGGTATTTATACTGTGACTTCATTTTGATTTTTATCACTCAAAGTATAAGTTTTGATTTTAAGTTTTACTTCATTTACAACATTAGTCTTTATAGTCTAATAAGGAGCAGGATTCAAAACTAGCCATGTTAAGTTTGCTGATGTGTCTAACTCTGTTTCTTCTGCTAACATGGCATGCGGACGGGGCATATGATATTAATTTTTTTTTTTAAAAAAGTCATCATCTTCTTTGTGAAATCATGACATTCCGTCCAGCACTTCTCCGCGTTCTCTCACTCCCCTCGATGAAGAAGATTATCCCCCCTGACTCCTTAGCCCTTTCTTGGCATTTCACTCGACCTTGGCTTACAGGTATGGATTTGTATCGAGACGCGCTGTTTTTCTTTAATCTTCTTTGTGATGTAAATAACAGGTAACAACGCTCCAAAGTGAATCAATGAAAAGAGATGCTGTAATTTGTATAAAATTGGGGTAAGAACCTTAGAAAAAAGCAAAAGAGGAAAGTTAAGAGTTTTAGGATCTTTTATAATAATTCCAAGTCCTTCTTACAAATAAGAATCCCATCTTTCTTCGCTTACACTAGGGACTTCGAAAAATGATCATAAATAAGAAACCCATTTTTCTTTACTTGCATCAGGCCCTTCTCCCCCAACCACTTCAGTCCAGGAATCATGTTCTTTTTACATCATCTTCATTATACGTATGAATTCATATACAGGTACCTAAATAATTTTATTCAATCAAAAAGCAATGAAAAGCTTCAAATTCAGTCATTCCACAAAATTGTTTTACAATAAGACTCACAGATATGAGTTTACCGACATGTGCGCCACCTACAAGAGAGCTATTCTGAAAGTTTATAAGAAAGATCTTCAAGCTTACAACCTTTAGATTTATGGTTCTGTTTATCTCTGTTTCTTGAATGAAAAACGGAGGCGGCTCATTGAGCAAGTATTTCTCTTTTTAAATTTTTGTCCTTTAGGTTATCGGTCATTTATAGATTGAGGAACCCGGAATGTCCATGTTATATTACAGGTATATGAACTCCATTGTTTGTACGAATCTAGTGGATGAGCACACCACAGAACGAGACGGTGATGAGGGACAGATCATGAATGAGTCTAAGACTGAGCTGACATTTGGCCCCTCATGTTACTACAACTACATAGAAAAAGTGAGATGATGATGCACAGTGAGAAGGCACTCTGATTTCGCGAAGGAGACAATGGCTTTTTCTTTTTCTTTTCTTTGTTTTTTTTTTTTAAAATTAAGATGACATGTCCGGTCAGCTTGTACACCCGGCATGCCATGTCACCAAAATAAATTGCATTAGTGACACGCCGGCAAATTTAATGCCGTTAACTTCAGGCCCAAATGCTTATTAAACTACGGGGAGTAACATCATATACGGAATAAAACTTGAGAGATTAGACCCTATGCTTTAAAATTATAAGAACTAAAATCAAAATGATGGTAAGTAGAAGAACCAAACATCATAGTAACCTTTTTTTTTTATTTGACAATGATAACTAATGGGCCATCGTTTTATGGGCTGATCCGATGATCCAGTTGAAAAGATGCAGAGTGCTAGCAGTAGTATACATGGAACAGCATGAAGGAAATAGGGTTATGGGTCCGGAAACGGTGGGCCCTCTTGACGCTCACCTAAAGAAAGGAAAATAATGATGAGCAGGCCTTTTTTTTTTTTCAATCTTTTTTGCCGACAATAAGCAGGCATCTAAAGATAATAATAACGGTGTTGGCAAACTGTTCCTTGATTAGGGGAGAAAACAATAGTTAATGAAGTTTTAGGGTTATAATTGGATCATTATTAGACGATAAGGCATAAATAAATGACACGAGATCACATGCGACTCACGGGTAGACATGCTTATGGTTGCCCAAAAACGTGAACCACCTCCCCTCCAACATGGGCTTCATGTGGTCCCCCCCTTTTTAAGGTTTCGGTTTTACAAACTCCCCGCTCTTCTCTTCTTCCTCCTCCTCCTCCTACTTGGAGTTGGAGCCTGGAGGGCACATGGCCTTGGCCGCTCAGCATAACAAAAAATTTGTGAAGGGAGATTAGGAATCATGCACCTATTTTTTCCCTCCGGCAACTTGTTTGTCCATCTATTAAATTTTTGTGCTTTTTACATTGATTTTTCCCTTTCAATTTTACTTCTGTTATTTAAAATAACTGGACTTGGAAAGGGAGTTATTCTAGTTACTAATAAATTAAATGTGTATCAGAGTCATGTCAGTGTATAATTAGGGAGAGGAACCTGAATAATCTAACGCTAAGACGAGGGGTTGACCCACATGGAACGTGAATCTAATAAAAGTCGGTTATAGTTATCGGAGTTCCATCAGTTAGTCACTCGCATGCTAGTTAATGCAAGCTGCCGCCAGCATCGTTCTTCTTGTTTTTATTCGCATTTTATAATTATAATCTTAAATTAATAACTAATGCCTGATGATGAGCTTCAGCTTTGCCACCTTTTCTCTTCTCTGCTGCATCCCTGACCCCTACACATGCTTCGCAAATGTACATGTTAAAAAAATCACGTTCTATCATTCCCGATGCTCCCCTACTTGTATAGTCCCCGGCCTTAGAAGAACTTATTATCGTTCTGAGTTTACATCTCATGATCCCCCAAATGAAACAGATTTTAAGTGTTAGTGTTAGTACCGTACTATAGCATTTAAACCAGAAGAAAAAATGCCTGATAACAAAAGGACCAAACTTTCTGCGTAAGCTTAAGCCTATCATTTGGTGAACTGCCTTCAGCCAGAGGAGCCAACTAGCTCACACCCATTCTCTGGCACAGAGTTTGTCTCTTTATCTAAACTAAGGAGGCAGCATGTGATGTTCATAAAGCAGCATATGGAGATGACGATTGTGTTTCCCTCCTAAGACGAAACAGTCTCATGCATTCTGCAAAAACGGCAGTCTTATCTCAGCAGTACACTGTACACTACAGAACAATACAACGAGCTCACTCTGGCTTGCAATTACCTAATGACATCATTGATGTCTCGTGAAGTTTATATTACTGCTACAACATGACATCTTTTGGATTAATTGGCAAACAAAGACAGTGCATCAGTTTTGGCAAACTTGGTTATTAATTACTGACGGCATTACAAGCAGCCAAGATTAATACATATATGACATCCCCCCCCCCCCCCCCAAAAAAAAGAGAAAAAAACCAAAAACACATTAAAATAATCCCGAGTAAGGCAGTATAACGTGATGGGGGTGCAAGAGAATCGTTTATTCAACATTTCAGAGGAAACAAGCTTAAGTTTTACTTTTCTAATCCTAACCCGGTGTCCTAGGTACATTGATCTTGAATCATAATGTGGTTTTAACGTACAGATGCATGCAGAAAATTGCAGCAGACAAGGAGAATCAAGTTCTCACCTACAACAATCATGTGATTCCAATGCATACCCCTGTCCCTCTTGTGTTGGTTCCTTCAGGAACCTTTCTCTCGGCACAAGTCGGCCATGCAACGCAAGTAACAGAACATCTATTCTGTAATGCTTTAGTAAGGATAACATAACAATTCCCAATGTAGATGTTGCACTGTATCGATTGCTACCTTGTCTCCCCAATAACAGCGAACGTACTGCCATCACAACGCCTCATGGTTTCCATTATTTTTCATATTATGCAGCCACTTGACCAAAAACAATAGCAATTTGAGCGGAACATTGCTCAATTGTCCCCTCGATAACTCTAAAGCAAGCCTAGATTCCAGGCTTGTGATGTGAACTTTTGGCCTTGACCCACTACAATGTTTGAGCAAGCCAGGATTATTTAAATCCCAAATCATTTGATTGAAGGCATAAATTGGAATTTTTAGCAGCTATTATGATAAAAATTCAATTATACACATGATCATTTAAAGGTATGTTAGACTATTGAGGCATGGTTGAGAAAATGGAATTATTGATGGATGGTAAGGGGAAGCAACAAAGCATATACCAGCAATGCGCTGTATCCATTGTTTACGTCCTCAGTATCTTTACCACACTTCTCAACAAGCACGCTGGTACTCCCATCTTATGGCTATGTGATTAATTAAAAAAAACTAAAGTTAACTGATTGCTGGCTGAAGATGTTACAAAGCCATCAGAAACGTAGGGAGGTCCACATTACCTTCACATGCACATTACACCAAATAGTTGGCAAGCACAAAAGTGGCACAGTTGAAATTCTCCTTAGTTCTCAACGTGTTCCCCCTATATATATAGACCGAATCATCACTGTCATTTCAGGCATTTGTAGCAACTTTCTATCAGTAGCAAAGAAAAAAGATGGAACCCACTTCCAGAATTCCCTCTTCCCATCAGCCAGTCAGGTCCATTAGTCTGCCCACCAGAATACATCCATCATGCCAGAGAGTTCAAGCACTTTTCAACCACTTAAAGCCAAGTCAGGAGAGATCTGTCTCCAGCAATTTGGAAGCGGAGACGATTCAGACTGATCTAGTTGTTCTTTCAGAATTGTACAGTTGCATGGAGGAACTCCTCCAACATTCCCAGACCCAACAAGCTCTTCTGAAATACCAGCAAGGGAAAATGGTAGAAGAGGCACTGGGTGGGTCGGTCACGTTGTTAGATGCATGTGGGGCTGCAAGGGATTTATTATTGGTTCTCAGGGAACATTTACAAACACTTCAGTCTGCTCTAAGAAGAAGACGAGGAGATTCTACCGTTGAAAGCAGCATATCTGCTTATGTGAGCTTCAGGAAGAAGGCGAAGAAGGAGATAGCGAAACAACTCGGAGCACTGAAGCGAACGGAGATCAAAGTTAGCCCCTTTCCTGAGATGGGTCAAGACCAGAACCTGATATTTCTGGCTCGAGTTCTAAAAGAAGCAGGCACCGTCACTATTTTCGCATTACGTTCTCTTCTCGTGTTCTTGTCGACACCGAGGCTCAAAACGAAAGGGTCCTCCTTGGTCTCCAAGCTAAAGCCAACCAGACTATTTTCATCGGAGAAGGAACAGAGGAATACGAACGAAGGTTCCCTGTGTTCCCTCATAGAGAAAGGAAGAAACAACGAAGCACAGAGGATTTTGGAGGAATTGGTTGATAACATGAATGGTATTGAGGGCGGATTGGATTGCATCTATAGGTGTATAGTAAAACACAGGGTGTGCTTTCTGAACATGCTGTCTCATTAAATCAGTGAGCTGAGGAATCTTGTATTGATGCCTTTTGTAAAACTCGGAGTGATCATGGAGTCCGAATTTTAGAAGGATTGTGGTCCCTCGTGAATCAATGCATGTATGGAGAGCATTCGATAATTGCTTCTTGTCTTACTCATTACAAGTTCAGTTTTGTTCTTCTTTCGACAAACAGAGACCAGTGAATTCACTTCGGGAAACAGAGAGGGTCAAAACCCCAACGCCACAATGCATGCACAGGTTGCTGTAAAAGCATAACGGGTCGAGAACGATATTTATTGACCGTTGGATCAAATGTTTTACGCAACGATTATTTTGGCCATTTAATCTACGGAGGATTTCAATTATACGGATTCAATCGTTGGTCCGGACCATGTGATATACGGATCAAATGTCAGCAGGGCGCACAAATTAAACTAATGACCGAAGAAGTTCAAGAAAATAAAATAAATCATTTCAATTATCATTTAAGTTTTTGCAGGAAGGATAAATTTAAGTTGACTTTTCAGCAAACTATCATACTACCTCAGAATGCAGCACTATGAGGAGCTTGGGGAAGATCATACCAGGTGGCAAGGACTCGCCTCCCGCAGAGGTCCCCTCAATTGGGACAGAATTCAAAGGCATGGCCACCAGTAGTAGCAGCAGAAGAGAATCAAAGGCTCCAGAAAAAAGACTGATTTGGATTGGCTTCTTTTTAAGATACGAAAGCACTTAGACACTTCTTTCTCTGGTCCCCCTGTGTGACTGAATGAAAAAAAGCACGCTGAAGCCTTATGTGTCAGTAACACTATCTCACGCGGAAACGCGGGATCTTTCTCAGGAGGAAGTTTGTAAAAGATTGGTAGCTACTTTCCTATGATTGAATAGCAGAAGTGCTACTTGGTAGTAGAAACTCGGAGAGACAGACAGAGAGGGGACTCCATCCTACCTGCTAACTCCTAGGATGAGAAGTAGGTCCCTTGTTTTTGGCAGGAATAGTTCCAGCCGGCTTCCTCAGCTAGCGGGGAACGCTGCTTAGAATGCCAATGCAGTACCAGTCACACTTGCGTCCACCCCTAGCCGTACCACATTAATCTAGAGCCACGGGAGATCGTAAATGCAATTCTTTTTCATGTTTTGGCCTTTATGGGGACCTAGTTGTTCCTGATGAGGTCGTTGTGAGTGGGCTTTTTAATAGGCCAGGTTTGGGCTGGAGAAAATGGGCCTCCTCCATTAAACTCACTGGATTTATGAATCGGCATCCATGCATGCATGTGCTCTATGTAGTCCAAAAAGAACCGCTGCGACTTCAGAAACTACAAATTTGTGTGCGCACGTGTGCGTGTTGATTCGTAGGCGGGAAAGAATATTGAGATTGAATTTGATTTATGTTGGGCCAAAAATAATACTCCTTCAATTTTTAATATAAGACCCATTTAACTAATTTGATTAAATTAAAGAAGTTAAATAAGTTAGTTAATTATAAAAAAAGTGACACATTTTTCTAAAATATCATAATCATCTTTTTTAATACGTCTTCCCTCTTCTACTTGATTATGGTTGAGAGGTATCAATAATAATAATTTAGAGAAAATTGATAAATATAAAAAATAAATATTATATTTAAGACCAAAACCAATTCAAGAATTGAGTCTTATATTAAGAACAGGAGGAGTAATAATTTTTAGTTATAATTTATAAACAATGAATGAGTAATATAATAATGGTATTGATTGAGATGACATGGCGCACAACGCCCCCAGATCCTGGCACCATCATGTTAACGAAAAGTGCACGTGTCAAGCAGCCAGTGACTGCTGGGATCACCTTAACTTAAGCTCCTGGCTGCTCACGCTTTCCCCACTTTGCTTTCGCTCAGAGCAAGGCACCTCCGTGCTGGCATGCTCTCTGCCTATTTAATTCTCCTCTGTTTTTATTATCACATACGCCACCTCTTATTTCCATAAAACAACAACAAAAATAAATAAATAAAACCACATTGCGTATGGCGCCCACACCCGTGGTATTGGTCTATTCTTCACATTATTCCTCAATTCAATGGAGTAAGCATCATTTTTGGGTTGTTTAATTATAACACTCTGTTACTATACAAGTTATTTATAGGAAAAAAATTTATTTCTTAATACAAACCATTTATAAGATAATTAATGATTTTTTTTCAATTTTACCCTATTAAATAGTTGGAAGAAAATGAGTGAGAGAAAATGTATAACATTTTTTTAATACTTTTTTAGTAAGAATAAAAACAAAAAAATTTATTAATTTAACACATTTTTTAATATGCGGGGGGGAAAAATAAAATTGATTGATGTAAATAACAACATAGCAGCGGATACACCGGTCCAGAATCAGGCAGGCGAGACCCATACATCTGTAGTGAGCACCACCTCTCCAGAATCAATCTTAGAATGAACCCCAAAAAAACAAAAAAAGTAAAAGCGAAAAAGGATTGCGTATTGTCAAATAAAGCGTCACGACCCATATTATCACCGGGGAAAAAGGAAAAAAAGCGTCACGGTACACATGTGGACCCCATCGAATAATAAGAAGAGGAGAACATGACAGAGATATTCCCCCTAATCTCAACTCTTAAATACAGAGATTAGTTAAGTAATTTTAAAAACAAGACTCTAATATATATATTTTTTATTTTTAAATTGTTGCTATTTATTACACAGTAGACACAGTAACGGGATTTTTTTAATATAAATATTTTAGAAAAATAATATACATGAACGGGATTTTTTAATGTAAATATATTAGAAGAATATTATATATGTTATTTATGAATACACTATTTAATTAAAATTTTTAATTTATACAAGTTAATCATTTAGTTTTTATATTTAAAATCAAAGAGAATGCATGGCACCTCCCCATAAATCTGTACTAGTCAGAGTGACGTTTAAAGGCGGGGTGGTGGGTGGCTTCTGCTCAACATTTGGAGCTGGTGCACAGTGCCCTACCTACGAAAGCCAACAATCCAAAGATATTTTGTCTCCTTCTCTCTGCTCCTTAAATCCTACTCTTTATTGTCCTCACCCCATCTGTTTTGCTTCCATATGTTTATACATGTATTGTGTGCTCTTATGCCAAAAACGTGTGTGTGTTGTGCATATGTTATCCCCGACCTTTAAATTAAGTATTGGCTCTGCCGCGTAACAACCGCACGGCCGTATGTATAATTACAAAAGCAACACTATTGGAGAATCCCACAACAAAACAAAAACGACGGCCCAACATAACTTCACTCTTTTTTTTTTTTTTTTTGTATTTTCCATTAAAAGAAGAGATTAAATCGCAACACAATGGCAATACTTTAATTTGCCGGCCTTCACATATTCAGGGGCCATGTTTTATTTATTTCGAAAGCGCCGTGGTCTTCTCGTGAGGAAATAAACGAATAAGAAATTGCGATGACAAAGCATGGTTACATAGTAATGATAATAGGAAGAGACAATAAGCCAAAGAGGAGAATCTAATAATAAAAAGCATAAAGAGATGCCCCCGCGGGGAGATAGATAGAGCGGGGGGGGGGGAGATAGATAATCTCCCTTAAAAGAAAAGAAAATAAAATTCAGAAATTGTGTTCTTCCTTATATTAACCACTATAAGATCCTAATTTATGTTAAACAGCTGTCTTTGTCACGCTATAACTAAGATCACATCGTTGTAGCGTGTTAAGAAGAGAGAGATTTACAGAGAAATTGTTTTGATGTTGTTTAAGCCCTCTGTGACGAGGACAACAGGGCAAGAGATTTATTCCGGTTTCTCTTCGTTTCGGATGTATTCCGTCCTAAAATAATTGGGAGAGGGGGTTCCCCGTCCGCTTTCAAGATGACGAAAGGGAACGGATCGCCCTTTGCATTTGTTGCTCAATTCACATTCCTATTATTATTAATAAACGGTGAGCTCCACCCTTCTCCCCACATTTTTTTGGGAAATAATAATAATAATAATTACAAATCATTCACAATTTAAAAAATACCGTACGCACCGCATGCTTTGAAATAGACTCGGCAACCCTCCTCCCTCCCTTTAAAAGAAGATTAGGGTATTTGCTTTTCATTAAAAACACTTTTGAAAAATAATTTTATGTAAATCTAAACAAAACTTTTCTTACATACTTCATTATTTTAAAACTACTTATAAAATTATGGTTTGGTTTCTATTTAAACAGCCTAAATCTAAAAAATGGATTTAAGGTCAGTGAAATCTCCAATAAAAATTTTAAAAGATAAGTTGTAAATAATGAAGACATTCAAACTTAAAATGTATTCCTCTAGTCCTATTTATAAGTCACTTCTAATATGTTTCACACAGAGCTAAAAAAACCTTAAACTTCATTAACTCTAATTTAAAATTCAATAACTTTTTAACTCTGTCTCTATTTAATACACATTATATCATATATATAAATAAAGTCAACATAATAATAAATAAAGAGTAAAATTATATATCTATGCAAAAAGTTTCTTTCGGTGTCCTATAAATAGGACTAAAATTTATCTTTTTTTTTGTCTTATAAATAGGATCAAAAGAGTATTTTGCGGTTCCTATTTGTAATTATTAAATCACATGCACAAGCCACGTTTTCAGAGATACATGAAATTGATCTTAGGGGATTTAAATTCCATTATTGCAGTAATAATAACGGAATAAAAAGCAGAGGATGGAGGGATGGATGTTTTGCGGGGGGCAGATGCGACCTCATCACTCTCTCTCTCTCTCTCTGTTTTTTTTTGGCCAGAACCTCATGACTCTATCTCGCTGCCTTTTGCTTCTTTGTTTTTTTTGGTCAAACACTGCTTTGGCATCTTTATTTTAATTGAGGGGATGGCCCCACAGCTACAAGGGACCCCCTTCCCATGTTTTTTCCTTTGTATATAGAGTCACTCCACGTTTATTGTTGCCCATCAGCCATCGCCTCTGCTTGTGGATCCTTCTCGTCTCCTCCTCCTCCTTCTCCAATACGCTTCCCTCCCCTATGTATTATTACAAGTCCCGTATAACCCACCGCTATCTCCCCATCTTCCATGGCTCCCTTTTCACCGAAGCTTCCTTCCAAATTCAGGCTTCGATCCATTAGTCTGCCTCCCAGATCTCACCCCACCACCCTCCTTGTCGAAGACCGCCTCAGCTCCCTCAAATCTCTTCTTTCTTCTTCTCCCTCCGTCCACTCCATCTGCTCCGCTCTCTCTGCCCTCGCCGACCTGTATCAGTCCCTCGACGGTCTCCTCCAGTTGCCTCTCACCCAGCAAGCCTTGTCTCAGCATCACCCTCAGAAATGGATCGATGACTTGTTAGATTGTCCCGTTCGATTCCTCGACATTCTCGGCACCACCAGGGATTCCATTCTGTCCATGGAAGAAGGCGTCCGTCGTCTTCAATCCGCTCTGCGAAGGAGAAAGCTCGGAGATTCCGGCATCCTCGATGTTCATGTCTCCGCGTATTGGAATCTCAGAAAGAATGCCAGGAAGAGTTCCACAAAATGTGTTCTGCTGCTAAAACAAATGGATGCGTCGTTTGAAACATTTCTGCCGTTGGATCTCAACGCCCATCTCTCCGCCGTCGTCAGAGTTCTCACGGAAGCAAGCCTGGTCACCGGCTCCGTCTTCTATCATCTGCTGGCCTTCCTGTGTTCCCCAGTCCTGAGATCAAAGCCCAATAGCAGGTGGGCTTTGTTGTCGAGATTGATGCAGAAAGGAGCACTCTTGAGTGACAGTGAAGAGGGCAAACTAAATGAGCTGGAAAAGGCGGATTCCGCTATTAATAACCTGATGATGAGTTGCCCCGCGCAGGATGCGGACGTGGCTCAGAAGATCCAGTGTGCCAACAGCAGGCTGGAGGATTTGGTGGCGGCGATTGAGAAGCTGGAGAATGGGCTGGGGCTTTTGTTCAGGCATCTCATCAATAATCGGGTGTGCTTTCTGAATACGGTTTCGCTGGGATGAGGAAGAGTTATATATAATTACAGGATGTGCATCGACTCTATAGGTACAGAAGAAAGCACTTGCAATTTGATGCAATTGTAGATTATCCCTCATAGTTGTACAAAGATTTATGAGTGATACACAACTTTGCCTTTTAATATTACAACCCGACCAACAATGCATGCAGCCAATGGAAAACACAATAGAACATTGCTCACGTTATGAGCGCATGGAGCCATTGACTAAACTATGCAAATTCAGGTCAACCGCAAAAATGGGGCAGGTATTGGTTAGCTTAATTTATGGTTCTTGCATAAACAAATAGAATCCAGCAATGACAATCATTGTTGGGGCTTTCGCTCTCTTGCTGCGCTGAAGGAATGGGTTGCCATCCTCCCATCCGCCTGGGAGTTCTTCTGATTTTTTTGTTTTAGGTGTATTTTTTTTTTGACCAGCTTGTTTTAGGTGTATTTAATATCTTATTTTTTTAACAGTATAATTTTACTCATGATTCTTTTATTGTGATGCGATTTAATTGCACGAATTTTTTTTTAAAAAAAATCACGAATAAAATTGCAAAAGAAATCACGGGTAAAATTGTAACTCTCACGTAAGATAAGGTAAAATCACACCTTTGATGACTGTCGCGGGGCGGGCGCGCCAGACAGCAGGAAGAGAATAAATGGGGCACCGCACATGGCATGAGGTGACAGAAGATGAGGAGGATCCGTGAGCCACGTGTTTATGAGGAGTAGAGGGAAGCTGTGGCGAACATTGATCACAGTTGGGCCTGCATTCGGCCCAACTGCTTCCACACCATTATGCCCCGAGTTAAATATCTCACAGCCAGTTGATCCAAGTGGTAAATAACTTGTATCGCTTAAGTGAAGTCTCGAGTTTAAACCTCAACATATGCAAAAATTGCTGTTAGGAGACTCACTCACCACAGTCAGGTACGCAACACTGGTCGGATCTAGATATAGTCGAAATAAAATTCCGGTAAACTGGGTGGGTAATAAAAAAAAAAAAATCTCACAACCGCGGTGCATCAGCAGGGAAATGTAGCCCTCCAATGCATCTGACGATCAAAAAGACGACACGCAACGAAGACTCCGCCATTGACTGTGACAGATCCTGGCCGTCTATTTGTTTCCAGCGAACCAGCTTGATGGCTCCTGCTCTGCTTTCCGTGTCCCCTCATCTGAGCAGCAACAAGCACCCAAGCCTAATGTGGTACTGTTCTTCAGGTGCCAAATATAACACCTATTTTATTTTATAGTGTAATTTACATTATAAAATAAAGCACCCTGATCAATTGATATTGATATTTTTTAAAATAAAGCCACAGCACTATTACCTCGTGGTGTGTATAAATTGTCTTTCCCACGTAAACGCAGACCGCAAATATTTTGTGTTAATTTTTAGGAAATCTAAGAATCTTTCAGAAAAAGAGCAAGCAGGAAGGGCACCAGAGAATCGCAAGGAAGATTTTGGCGAGTCATCTACAACACGACAACCGTACACATAAATAGTACTGCTAGTTGAGTGTTGAAAAATTGAAAGTTGCAACTTAAAATTCCTGCATTGGTTATTAAATAGCACATTAAATTGCACATATTAAAAAGGAAAAATCTAATTATTAATGAGACACTTTCTAATACAAATAATTAAAAGAATATTTAAAACAAACTAATTAATGGTCATTCGGATTGGATGACATTTTCATTAAATGAAGGCATGCCGACGGCCCTATACCAATATCGTATCATCCTCAAGATATGTCTGAGATTTGTTCGAGGGTTAGTGATCACTGATCAGCGGTTGTGCTCATTTCCGATACGACCTGGAGTCACAGTACACAAGAGGAGGATGAAGAAGCCGTGCCCATGGCGTTTGCTCCAGGCTGTTCGCGGGGCTCTCGCATGATATTTATGCTAGGTGCATAAATGATTTAACATCATTCGCTGCTTAAATTTCTAAATATATATAATAAAATTAAGAAAAATATTTATAAACAACATAAAATATGAAATGAATATAAATATAACTTCATAAAATTTTTATGTTAATGAACAATCAATTCCTTCTGCATTCACAGAGCAATGCTTTCCTATGATTAAATTAAAAAAAATTTTTGGCCAACTAAATTTAAAATTTATACTATAATCAATTTTCCTAGAAAAAAATTGATAAAATCGACAACAAATTCTGGCGCCTAGGAACCGTTATGCATAAATTACTGTCAAAAATCGAGAACACTGTATATCAGACACCTAAATAAACAAGGATGACAACCCCGCAATTTCCCTCCACGCAACTTTCTATTACAGGGACTGCAGTCTAAAACCCAGCGGAACTCATCTCATTCACAGAAACGCTGGCACTGTACCTACGCATTAACTAAACCTGAAAACAACCACCTCCAAAAAAGAGGGAAAGAATGGGTAAGAGCAGAAAAAGAAATAGACGATCTTAGACCCAACACCAACAGCGTCAAGTAAATCTGTTCTCTAAGCACATCGACGCATTCCAGCACAAAATAAGAACTTCACGGAATTATTCTTCTAGCAAAACAATTGACCCAAAATCAGCAACAACGACAGGTTACAACATCCTTGCATGTGTAGGGCATCGACTTTTCCTCTATCTCTTGAGGGCTAGGCAGTGCTTCCAAACTGTACACACTTCTTGCACAGCAGAAGTTGTATAAATTTCGACAAATTCCTTTACTAAATGGATACACTCTTTCCGGAATCGCCCTGAAGACCCAAAAGAAAAACAATGATGTTTACCAGATCTATCCCGAGCATGTTGACATCTAACCATTTAACATCTTTCAGCTGGAATTTAAAAAGCATCAACATACATATAGCTCATATATTCAATAAACTATACTTAAAATAATAGAGGAGCATGGTTCATCAAACCTTAGATAAGAAATTCTCCTTCTTCTCACAAGTTCATAAGTAGTCTGATTTGTCAGAATAAGATAGCTGCAAAAAGACGAAGAGAGAATCACAATAAGGTCTCATGGAAGGAACATATTTACTAAAAAGTCCTATAACAATTGAGCAGCTTGTAATGACAAGTTTAGGAAATAACATGTTTCAGATACTTATTTGTCATTAGGATTTTTAGTAATTATCTTAAATTTTTGGGACCTAAGTAATTCTCCCAGAGAGAAAACATCAGCGATACTCGCGGTATCTTACACACTCATTTTCAGCGATGCAAATGATTGAGAAATTTGGACAACACCCATGGTTTTTTCATTTTTAATTGACAAATTGGGTGGCCATTAAAGAAAATTAGAAGCAACAAAAGCTAGTAAAAGTAAAATGACCATTCAGGGAGTTCGCAAAGGGTTCAAAAGAAAGATGCAAGGGAGGGAATTTAGTACTGATTCCTTCGTCATTCCTTTGCATGGGTATGGTAGAAACTTTGAGATGCAAGGGTCAAAATCAACAGGTTGTGCATCAGATGTTTCTAAACTTACTAAGTGTTGGTGTTGGGGGAAGCTAGTGAACATACTACTTGAGTCTGGTTTCACAAATTTCAATGAATGTAATCTAAATTCTATTTTAGTGATATTCACCCTTGAGGACAGGGGTTTTTCAGAGTGGGAATATTGTTATGAACAAGAGGGAAAAAAATTAACTAGGAGGTTAGGAAGTTAATTGGATAGTCAATCGGAGTTGTTTGGCCAACCACTTTTTCTAGATATACCAAGAGGTGCAGAGAAGAAGTATGTAGATTAATGAAGATTCTTTTAATCTAATTTTCTCTGATCCTCTCCTTTTATGTCCCTTTCTTCGTTTTCGTATCAAATTGCTAATCAACATTTGGAACATCATGAGTTGAATTCCAACAAAAGTAACTGATGATTAGTAGCTGATAAAAGTAGTTTTTAATGGCCAATGATAAGAAGTTATGGTTTGGACATCATACTCAGTATCCATATGACCATATCCCAAGACTTTGTCACCTTCATTAAGGTTACTTATGGGAAACGGGATGTTTCTTTATCTTTATCTTTAGATAATTTAAGAGAATCAGGATTTAAAGTTATTTTCTCAGGATATCTAGATTGCTTTTTTAACATTTAATTAGCTACTGTATTATCTTATCTTTTCTCTTAGGATTTATTAGGATTTATCTATTATCAAACCTTTTAGGATTAGATTAGCATTATTACTACTTAGGGCTCTATAGCCTTATGGTTATTTTGATGTTAAATCTTTTTGATGATATCAGGTATTTTTCACTCTCTCTCTCTCTCTCTCTCTCTCTCTCTCTCTCTCTCTCACACACACACACCCCATTTCTCTCTTACCCCGCTAAATTTCCATTCTCCCTGAATTTTTACTCTTTTTCCTCCCTCCTTTAAGAGTCCATGACAAAAATCCCTCTGTTACCCCATGTGAAGAAAGAGGGGTGGGGAAACCCTTGAAAAAAGTAGGTACTAAATTCTGACTTGAGAATGATACGAAACATTGAAGACTCATAATTACAGAATAATATCCTACCAATTACACAATCATAACCAACCAAGTATGGACTAGGACACATGCTAAACATGACAAAGTATGTTCATAATCGATTCAGCATATTTACTGCCCAACAGTCCAAACATAAAACAGAAGCAAAAATCATTAAAAGCAGTAACTAAGAAACAGATCAGCACTTCAGAGGAAAGGAACTGGACCAAAGACCTGTGAAAAGCAATCTGTTGCAGAATATGAAAACTTAACATCAGATAAATCAAGTCTGTTACCTATGAAATAGAAGTAGAAGAACCAGGAAGATGAGAGAAATAAACAGCATGATTAAGAGCAGTATTACGATCGCATCCTTCCACCTGACAGCATCATAAGGTTAGAATTTGATTTCATTTTCAGATAAACACAAACTGCATAAGCACTCCACATTCCTCCTTTTTTTTTTTTTAATTTTGTTTTGTTTTTTTGCTGAAGGTATAATGACAGGGAAAGAAAAGATACGTCACTGGCAATATTAATTAAATCAGATTTCTCTCTTTTCAGAAGGGAGGACTCTAGCGAGCAAGGATCTAAATGGACTGTTATGAATTTCAGCTTCTTCATAAAATAGCTCAAAAGATACAGTACCAACTCCTCACGATGTGAGCCTTCAGGTATGAAATATACAATACAGCAGTCCAGAGGCACAGTGCTGTCTCACCACAAAGGTACCACCTAAATTATTTTAACAGAACAGATAGTTTCTTAGAGAGTAGTATATTTGCACTAAGATATATATGAAACTACCAAAAAAAAAAGAAAGAAAAAGCAACTCATGGAATGACGCAATATATTTCATGGGGAGAAGATGTTGACTTCACACAACATTTCTTGCAATAAACGGAAAAGAACTTTTATTTATAAAATCAGAAACTGATCAGGCAAGATTTCGTTTTTCTGCTCAAAATATAACTGTTTTTTAATTGACATACATAGTAAACAGAAACTTTCCTCCAAAACAAAGATCACAACAGAATAACAGATAAGTTCACTGGCCCATCGGAATCAGGAATAGTAAGGGTAATTAGGTATATAATAGGGTCAGCAGAGTTGCGCTGGAGTCTAGTGAATGATATTGTACTGCTCTAAAATATGCTCTCCTTTTACGTTGATCATTCAGAGAAACAAAACATGAAAAGACAACATACTTTGTTTTAGTATGCATATCCCAGCTCATCCACACACTTTATAGGGGTCAATCTCATACTAAATATTAGGAAATGAATATCAAATCCAACTTTCACGAGAGAAAAAAAAAAAGGATATTAAGTCCAAATTGCATTCTCAGCAACAAATTTCATTGTGGATATGAATCAAACAAATGCATCTTTCTGACAATTTTCTGCTGGTAGGCGCTAGCATTTCCCACACCATTAGTCCTTCATCCACATATTCTAAATGATCAATAAAATCATCAAAATAAAAACTTATTCTAAATTAAATTTCTGATCTCAAAACCACTTAAATAATCCCCCTAAAACTTCCTCTACAACAGACTTGATGACAGAATGCAAATGAGGAGTTATGTATATCTCAACATGACAGACTCACCAAAATTGGCAATGATTATTCTGGCCAATGCAGTTTCCAAGCCAAACACAGTGATGATCAAACTGAAGAATACATTTGTCACAATCATGACAATGCTTTGATCGAGGTGGCTGCATATAACTCATCAACAAAATTATTTACAGTCAAAATTGAAGAGGTCAAATCATTAGAATCCGAAAGGTGGTAGCCAACAGAAGCATAAAAAAATGTAGAAAGAAAACATCAAACATGCCAAAAGCTCATACAGTGCAGGAAAAAAGCTGTTGGACCAGTCCAACAGCAGGCAGAGAAAGATAATCAGCCTCTTAGGAAGTGCTAAAATATGTACTTTCTCAGGCTTCTAGCCAAAGCATCATATCCAACATTACAAAATATATTCCAGAATTTTCCCAGATTCTATAGTAATACTTTTGGCAGTATGGCAATAAGTTAGCCAAGTATAAGTTATTGACCTGAAAGTTCCATTTTACGAAATTTTATTAAACTTCCTTCTTATTTTCACAAGGTAAGATGAACAGGGACTAAAAAAACAAATACCTAAACTTGATGGTTGTGCAGACCAGAGATACATGTGGCATTTATGCACAGTGCACACTTTGCCACACAACAACTGTACAATGATTGTATTGTGTGGCTGTACTTGACTATTCATAAAGATACTTCAAGGCATGACATGATCTAAAATTAGTTGCTTATTTCAACTACAAAATTCTCCAAATGAACACAGCATCACTACCCAAAAATGCTTCCTGGAAAAGATAAAAATGTAAAATGAATAATACAATATCATAAAGCACGAAACAAGACATTATTGATAATACCTGCTCTACATGGCAGTAGCTGCATGTCCAATTTCTGTGAAGAGATGTGGACGCCATAAATAACATTGTGATACGTTACCAATAATTTCTCTTTTATTTGATAAATTTGTACCATATACAGAATTGACAAAATTAACAGGCAACTAATATTGCAAGTCCTCTGATAAGACGTATATTACTATTAATATGATAGAAAACAGCAAATTTGACCCAAAATATGGCCTGGAAGCTAGATAATCTGTGTGAATTTTGTGAACCCTAATTGAATGCAAACTGTTCCGTGTGCCAATAAATTTAATTTAATATTGACTCCAAACTGTCTATGGGATATGACGATTTGTGAGAGTTGAAGACTTATTAACGTTTCTAGCATAATGCATACAAGCATATAATAATAACACTACTATGACTCGGTGAACTTCAATATGAATAAAACTAATAAATTTGGATTCCTTCATCTCTCGTGTTGGAAAACTAGTTGTGCACCTTCATTCACATACAAGGTATGTGAAATGAGAATTATAGTTATCTGTTTAACGCTGTATGGTGAAGGATGAACAATCTTGATTTAAGGATCGGGACTTATGTCCAGTCAAAACATGAGGTGATCCAAAATCAAGCATGATAAGATCATCATGGAAGGAGGCCTACACCTCATAAATTGGACACGAAATTCACTTTCCTTCAAAATTATGACAGTTTTAGACAAGTCAATCCGACTTCTTTTCACCGATTTGGTTCTGCTTTATGAGACAAAAAATAAGCACAAACCATTAAAAATATATTCTACTTGTAACAGGCATTTAAAAGCATAAATAATTTAAGAGAAATATTCACCTACCTGATTGCTGTTCCAGGAGGATACAAGTCTGTCACCAGCTTTGCCCAATCCATTGAATTACCTCCAGCATCATTTCTTCCCATCTGACTTTCATCAACAGTATGAAGAAAGCTTCCATTCTTGCTTGAAGCAGGTTGACTTTACTTCATCAATAGAAAATTCAATGTGACGGTGAGATGACATTATAAATGGAAATTTATTTTACACATAATTTGATATTTCTTTTTAACAATAAAATTTAGAAGATGGGGGAAAAGGATGACCGCTTACCTTGAGGTTATAAATGTCCTTCTGTATACTGCATTTGCCTTGTTAAAAGCTGCCATTGCATCAAGGACATAGCTGTACACAAAAGGGGGGCAATAGGAACAGGTCAGGTCAGGAAGACAGGTTTATAAATTTCAAGGATCCTCATCCAAATCCAATTTATGCTTCATCCAGAGGAAGTCGATTCACATTGGTGTTTACCCTGGGGAGGAAATGGAGGTAACAAAGTACAGTGTTAAGGTAGCAGCGAGGAGCAGCAAGTATAAGGCAGTGTACCTGACAGGGGGTTAAAAAACCATAAACGGATGAGAGGACTTTGTCTATATGACTGACTAAAAGGGATAAAATAGATCAGACTCACCAAAATGCTCAAATTACTTGATAGAATCAAAGAAGGAATATATTCCTACCTTACTGGTTATGCAAAAGAAAGGAGAAATAAATATAAGAAACAACAAAAAATAGTTCACATCCTTTCGAAAACACAGACGGATGCATTATTAATCAGACCTTTTAATCATCCCACAATAAAACATTTAATGTGTTATTCCACTCGTCAAAACTGATTATCGAGTGAGCAGAAGGCCCAGTTATAACTTGTACTAGGAACATTGCTGCCAATTTTTCCCAAGAGCAAGCCGCAAGTTGAACAGACATCATAGACGGCATCCTTAGATCTAGAATTTTATCCATGACTTGTGAAAACAACTGAGTGAGTAGACAGATTATAACATTTCTAATGTTCATTTTCCCTTTGCCTGTTTAAAGTGTGACTAACTCCTCAAAACCAAACTAACTTGTGATGCATGTCACAGCTCTAGTTTTGATTTTGAATACTCTATACCACAGACAAATTTTCTCTTTCAATTGAGAAAATCAAGTTTACATTTAATAGCATAGCTTCTCCTTGGAGCCTCACAATGTGAATATTAATTAGCTGGCTTTTGAACTTGTAATGTAATAGTAACTAAATCCATGGAATTGCAATTAAATGCAGCAACACTGCGAGGAATCTTGCTTCAATTTATGAACGTTAACACGAAAGGCACAATGAGAGAGGAATAAGCGTACCATGGTTCCTTCCTAGTTCTTTCTATCAAAGCACCATCAAATAAGAAGAGAACGGCCCCATAAACCAGATGGATCGTCACCAAGGCCAACTTCAAGTACAACGACGACCTCCGAGCTAACATCAGGAAAACAAGGCTCAGATCAAAGAAAAGAAAAGAAAAACGAGAAATGTCGGAAAATTAAGGAATAAATATGACAAACAGCCAGAGTATCCAGTATTTAGCATAGGCAGCGCCACGGAAGTAGCAATTAGCATGCAGAGCGAATGAGCACATTAAACCCAATTCTCCAGTGCCATGTGAACTGCGCCCCGCCTCTCTCAACAACCGAAGTAACGAAAGAAGGAAGAAAATGAAGGTTTGGGAACGCACCAGGATCAGCGAGGCAGGGGAGCAATTGGAAGCAGCGGTTCATCGGTGGATCCCGAAAATCTCGGCAAGGGCCGCATATATCGACGATCGTCATGGAATTAAGCCACGGAAGCAACGGAGTTGCATTGTTATTGACCAGTCATCCGAAGAGAACAGTCTGAATGGATTGACTGAACTTTCCCCAGACACCAAGAGGAGGTTGGAGAGGAGAGGAGAGGAGAGGAGAGGAACAAGTGGGTATTTACCAGTTATTAATGAATAATAGAAACAAAGCGAGGCTCAGCTACTCGCGTATCTGCGGAACTCAGAACTGTCTGGAGGAATTTCCCGCACCAAAAATATGTTTTGTTTTTTTTGTGGGGGGAGGGAGTGATGATAGGGAGTGTGGAAAAAAAAACAAAGAGCGCACTAGTTTGAGGCTTTGAGCAATCCTTAACTATTAAATCTCGATCTATGAGGCCTTACGGATAAAAAGAAAAAAGAAAAAAAAAAAAAAGGGATCTTAGTTTTCGTGGTATTATGGCGTGCCCAACTGCCCATCAATCCATTATCAGACACACCCAGCCAATCTACCAATAATAGATATTGAAATGCCCAGCCCCTTCCTCAGTAAAAAGTTTCTTTAATTAATTGGTCTTTCAGAAAAGTTCCTGAAACTTTTGACTCCGAGTCCTATCCGTAGAACCCCTTAACAACGTTATGCTGGTAATAAATAATTTCTCGCAATCTTTATTCACAAAAAAATAATAATAATAATTTCTCGCAATTTTGAAAGTCAATGAAGGCCTTCCTCACCGGAATGGTAGGTTTCCATGTGTACGGGATTGTAGCGGGAAAATCGGTTTTGCTCTTCTCGCCGCCCGATAGTTCGATGATTAGCGCGTAAAAATTGGTCATTCTGATATCTATATTCTGAAGATTGTAACCTCCATCATTAATTGAATGAAAAATAAAGAACTGACATGAAAAATCATAAATTCATTAAAGAACCGATTGCGACGAGAAGTTCATCCTTGTTGTCATCGACATATCTTAAAAAAATTGAGGGAAATAGCTCATGCAAACGTGAGCTAAAATTAGACTTTACTATGGATGCAACCACTTTAATTAAGGGTCAGTTTGATGGGAGAGAAATGCAGAGAAAGGGAGAAGAGGAAAAATTTTAACGTGCTCAATTGAAAAAATTTTAAAAATAAGGTTAAATTTTTTAATTAATTTTTATTATTTTTATCTCACATCTTTTCTTTATTAAAATCTTAAAACATTATTTCTCTAATTTTTTTAAATTAAGCTTATAAAAAAAATTTCTCCATTTTCTTTGTACCAAATATAGGGTAATGGTCCTTCTGGCGACCCAGTTTTGGCCTCTTCGAGTCTGAAGTCAAAACTAACTTTCAACGACACCGAAATGATGCTTTGCGGTGGGTTGAACATAGAAAGAAACAAGCAAAACAACCACGTTTTTAAAGCACCCCCCGGGGGCGGGAGTACGGGTGCGGAAAATAAATTTAACTAGGAAGGAAGACAAATAAGCTAGGGAATCTACTTGCTGGGGATGTACAGGAGCATCACGCCATTAGGGGAAAACGGGGAGATCAAATGTATGCTTTTAAACATTCATAGCAGACATGGCATTGGCGGTTGAGAAGAAAGGTCTGATCGTAACTAAAACAGAAAGGTTTGTTTATAGATGACACAAGAAATGCAAATGATAGATGCAAGTAACTCGTGTCATGTACGGTACACAGGTGCAAGTATAGAAAATATACTAAGTATCCATGCTGGTGCGAGTACGACAGTGAGTTACGGCAAACTTTACAGCAAATGACAAAGTTTTACCTTGCAGTTTCACACGTGGACGATTGCTCTGCTGATATGCTTTTAAACACTGTTTGGCTATTCCGGAGTTTCCTGGGTCATATGACCAGGGATGCAAGTGTGGTGTCCTGTGATTTCACAATCCTTCGCATTATCTCTGAGAACATTTGTTTTTCTACTGGTTCCTTCCTTATCGCCGCTGTATTTTCCACACTGCTTATGTTAATGTTAAATCCGAATCATTCTAGTTATTTCAAGCCCAGGAAAAAAATAATTTATGGTCAAAGTCAATGAAGCCTTGTATTACAAATTTTAAAGCAGTGTACTAACAAAGACTGACTCTAACAAAAAAGTTCAATATTAAATCTAACAGAAAAGGTTAATTATTTAACAAAGCGATACGTGAGTAGCAAAATTTACAGTAATTGTCCCGCAGACAGGATTCTCTGCTCTTTTCTTTTTTTTTCCCGGTCCCATCCTCTTCTTTCTTTAACATTATGTTTGGTACATAGTTTTCAGAAGGGAGAGGAGGGAAGTTGCTCCCCTCTTCTTATTTGGCTGGTGCAATTTTTTAGGAAGGGAGGGGAGCAATGTTGGTTAAGATATTTTTTAAAAAAAGAGAGGGTTCTTCTTCCTCCTCTTCCTTTCCAGCCCTCCTCCAAAAATAGAGTTTTTTAGAGGAGAGATGAGAGATACAATTTTAAATTTCAAAATTAGTCTAACTAAAATATTTAATTCTTTATATACTTTTTTAATTTGTTACCCTTAATCAGTAGTAAACATTTATATATAAGAGAGTTCTTTTGAAAATCTAACAAGAGGTTATCAAGATAGTTGTCTCCAAAATTAGTGAGTATTGTTGAACCTTTTTTTTTTCCTCTTATTCTAATTCCAAGAGGTCGTCGGTATTTTCTTTCACTTTCAAGGCCTTTTCTATGATTGAAATCTATCACTCACAATTTTTTATCTTGATTCTTATAAGTATATAACTGTGTTTGTAAGTCAAAATTAATGAATTGTATTATATATATAGTTTAATCTTGATAAAACAAAAAAGTGAGAAAATTCATTTAAATTTATGAGGTTAAAATAGTCAATTTTTTATTAGAACAAAATAAGGTATCATTAAAATTACTCCCTTCCCTCCCTTCTAATCAATCCAAATAGGAGATCATTAAATCTCTTCTCTCCCCTCCCTCTCCTTTGTAGTTGCCCTCTCTTTCCTCCCCTCCCCTTCTCTTGATTAGAATCCCTTCACTTCCCTTCAAGCCAAACACAACGTAAAACCATTCAAATTTAGTTCTATACGAGATATTCTTGTTATTTTCTTTATTCCAATATTGAATTATTCACATCAAAATTTAGTGATTTTTTTGGGCAAAAAAACAAAATTTGGTAATTTAAATCCAATTAATTATTTTTTTATAATTTAATATCTTTTATAACAATTTTATAAAAGAGTAAATCTAAACCGCTTAAATATTAGTTTAACGGTTAGGGTTATGGAAAAGGCGAAGAACGTTAACATTAGCTTAATGGTTAGGGTTATGGCCCCGAAGACGCCCGCGGTTTTCAATAAGTAGTTTATTCAGAACATCATCGTTTTGCACAAGAGTCAAAGCATATACTCCTATTTCAAATGCAGCTTTACATTCGAAGCGCAGGGTGGTGGCGCGTTGAACTCCATTTTTACACGTTTCAGATTTCCAAGAAACTGAAAATGCTGAAGAATAAATATACAGACAAATAAAAGAAGGATCTCTCACCGATAGTAGCTGGCAGACCAAACATATCTGACATTCAACCATTTCATTCATTAAAGCTCACAAAAAGCTTTCGGGTAAAAACAGGAGAGAGAAGAATTCACAAAAGAAGAAAAAGGCCGGGAAATCTAATCGCCTTTTTCGGGCAGAATATTAACATCTAGTTGGTGCCGGTGGGGCCCGGCCCAACAGAGAGAAGGGAAGGCGGGAGGAAATTTCTAAGAGATGCACCTCATGGAGTAGGTAGAAAGGGGGGAATCGAGGGAGGCGGAAGCACGGTGGTCGCTCTCCAAGCCATAATCCATAAACGGACGATACTCCAAATCTTCATCGTGATCGTACACATACTCCGGCAGATCCACTTCGTTCCGCTTCACGTGCTCCCACAGGTAACCAAGCCTGCTCACGTACCTCAATTTGCCGTATAACCTACTCCACCACCGACCCATATCATATAAGACGACATATATATATCGTGGTATGAACCGACCTTTCGTCGGCTCAAGTTAGCAGCGCTACACAAATTTAGCTAAAACGCGCCAAAGCGGTTAGTTTAGTTACCCTGGGGTGAAGAGAAAGCGACCGAAGGTGGCCAGAAAAAGCCGCGACTGAAGACCCGGGTGTATGAAATAAACAGCCTCCAGGTTCTCCTTCACATTCATCGGAATCGCCTCGTAGATCGATCTCAGAGCCGAGATTCCCGGAAAATTCTCGCACCGGTCAACCCCGCTGTGCACGTACACGACCGAAAACTTTCTCTTCTCCAGCTTTGGGAATATCCTCTCCTCCAGATACTTTCTCACAACATCTAGGCTCACGAATCGTGCTGTTTCGTCCAAATAAATACGAATAAAACATCATTCGAATTCACAAGATATAATATGGATACGGAAATAATTTGAATGCAGCTCAAGATATTGAGACCGCTGAGAAATATATTACCGGGGAAGAATTTGCCAATAATGCGGAGGATCTTGCGGCCCTGCTTATCTTTGCCTTTGATCTTGAAGACCTCCAATTTGAGAAGCAATTCTTCTTGTTCGAGCTCGGAGATGGTAGAAATCCCATTCATATTCCTCGTAGTTCTTGAAGCGGTGGGGGAGGTGGGAAATGCGTGAGAAACGGTGGTGATAGAAGATTGAAGGTGAAGCAAGGAAGGAAGGAAATGATATGATAAACAATGAGAAGTGGAAGGTAATAGTTAGGGAGGGGACAAACAGGAAGACGATAAGGGAGAGGGGAAAAAAAATAAATGAAAGAAAGAGGAAAAGAAAGGGAGAAGGATGGAAACGAAGCACAAATTGATCCATGGATAGGGTATATTCCAAAGCATCTTCCATTTTTCCAAAAAAGAGAACGAGACTGACGCTATAATGGGCCCTACTAGGGCGATCCGGGGTTCAGACTCGGATGCCATCGGGGCCGTTCATTTATCGAGCCATCATGGATGAGACGAGACCATGTCTTCCCTCGATATGAATGACTGCGACCTTGTCTTTGCCATTTTGGATCTTTCACTCTGCTGCTTTGGTGCTCAGTGCTCACTGCTCTGCACAATCTGCATAATAAAATTGCAAATTAAAAAATAGAAAAAATTGGTAAAAAAATTTATGCCTAAAAATTTAATTGGCTAAAAAGATTTAGATTTAATTGAGTGCACCTATAATCTATCAATATAACATATCTTTCGTTATGTGTAACATATCATTACTGATGCATAATAATCATAAATACAGGAAGTCATTTGCATACAGTATAAGATATATTACATTCACGGGTCATACTTGCACATAATTAATTAAATTTTCAAACAAGAATTTTTTTACTATTTTTTTCTAAAAAATAACAATAAACCATTTTTTTTGGAAAAATTGGAGATAAATTCCTATTTAATAAATTAATTGTAGAATGGGATTTGAACTTTTGAAGTCCTTTTGGAGAATTAAAAAGAGAAAAGAAATTACCACAACACCCTTAATGAAACACAATTAGAATAAGCATATGCAACTTAGATGAATGATATGTAATTAGGATTAGTAATATGCAATTAAATCCTATGTACAACTAGGCATGTGCAATATGTACTTAGGATAAGTGGTATGTAATTTATTCCTATATATAACTAAACATCTCAGTATATAATTAAGATCAAACATATGCAGCTCGAGATGAATGATGTGTAATTAGAATCAATGATATGCAATTAGGGCTTATATATAGACATCATCAATATGTAGTTAGGATTAAACATATGTAGCTCAAGAATCATAGATACTCCATCCGTTCCTTATTATAAGAGACGAATAACCGAATTACGTTGATCAAAAAAACAGTTAAAATTAGTTAAGAACAATTAATGTGTAAAAAGTATAATTTTTTTTCCAAAAATGCCCTCATTAATAAGGAGAGAGAGCATGAGAGAGAACAATTAAATTATTAAAAGAAAGAGAAGTGGGAGGGAGAGAGAGTGTGAGTTGGAGACAATAAATATGGGTAAAATAGGAAATCAACACAAAAAGTAGAGACAACTTTTAAGTGTCTCTTATATTAGGAACATGCTATAAGCATCAAATGTCTCTTATAATAAGGAACGGAGGGAGTATATAATTAAAACCAGTAATATGCAATTAGGTCTTATGCGCAACTAGGCATGTATAATATGTAATTAGAGTCAAGCATATGCAATTGGAGATCAATGATATGCAATTAAATCCTCTATATAACAAGGCATATGTAATGCGCAACTAGAATCAAGCATATGCAACTGGGGTTATTTAGTTATTTTATCCCTCAAACTTGTTGCCAATTCCCAATTCTTCTTCTTCTTTATATAACTAGTATAGTGCAGCATGATATTACCCACATGTCTCGAGTAACATAATTTATTAATTTAAAGTTCCTTAAAATCTCAAAATGAATAGGAGGTTTCAAGAGACTTGAAAATAATATATTCTAAATAAAAATTATGCTATTGTGCCTGTCCCTAGTTGATAAGCTCATGGAGGTGAGCTAACAAGTCAGTGGGAATATATTGACAAGTCAGGAATGTTATTTGACAACTAATTTTATAGAATAATATAACATTCACATAAGATAAAATTATAATTAAAAAATATTATATAACAATCTTTAAGTTGAAATTACATTTTACCAAAGCATGTACGTTAATATTAGATGAAATGATTAATTTATATCATAATTTGGTTGCGGACCACCATTTATAAGTTCACGGGTATATATTAACAAATTAATGAGAATCTATTGACAACTCAGGAAGTATCAGTTAACAGCTAAATTTATAAGATAATATCACCTTCACATAAGATGAAATTAGGAAAAATCCTTATACTCTTTTGTTACAATTTGATTTTATATGGAAGTTATATTGTTTTATAAATTTATTTTTTAATTAACAGTGTTTGACTTGTTAATCTATACCTATAAGTTTGTCAATGATTGTCTGTAACAAAATTATGATATAAACCCATTATTGCATTTAATATTAGCATGTATATATTAGTCACGCATGGTTTCAATTTAAAAATTATTATATAACACTTTTTTTGTAATAATTTAATTTTATGTGAAAGTTATGTGATTCTATTAATTTAGATGTCAGATACTCCTGACTCGTTAATAATTTTTCATTGATTTGTTAATTCATGCACATGAGCTTGTTAATCCAGATAGAAACAATCATATAATTTTTTACTTAGAATATCATACTCTCAAGTCTCACCAAACTTTTTATTCATTTTGATACTTCAACAAATCTTAGATCAATAAATTGTGTTATCTAGGTCCTAGGACTGTGCGTAATTTTCCTAACATTCTTCTGTTCGCCACTAGCGAGTAGATTAGGCGATGGCTTTTTTAAGATAAAAGTGACACTGTTGACTTGTTTTGATAAAACTATTTGTTCATGGCCAAAACAAAGCAAAACTATTTTTTATTTGATAAGCAAATCTAATCTCACTTCATTATACGAAATTTACGAGATATCACCCTATTCATTACACAAAATAATGAGAATTTATCAACACGGGCATAAAAAAATTGGATTTTCCATCGTTGCCCGACTGTGCATACTGGGTTCCTTGCCTTTATTTATTTATTTATTTCTTAAAAAATAAACCGCCACATAATTTTTAAATACTGTAAATATATTTCTTAATTTCTTCTCTTTTTGTCCTATTTAATTATTATTAGGAAAACATCAATAGAGTTACTTTAAAAAAATAGATAAGCATGTGAAATAAGTTTTATATATAGAATCAATATTAACTCCTCAATCAAGTATTTACATTAATAACAGGAGGAATATCACTGAATAAAGATAAAATTAAATACTCCCCCAACCCATGATAAATGAGAGCTTTTCAAATAATGAATTACTGCCCATTATTCCTTGTATTTATTGTAAATTTTGTTATTTTTATTCTTATTAAATGAGCATAATTAGTTATATATAGAAAGAAGTTAGTATAAGTAAGTTATTAGTATTCTCAGGCGAAAAAAAAAGGAAGTTAGGAGTATTATTAAATACATATCCATTATGTAATTAGGTCCACCAATTTATAGGAACATCCAAAAAAAATAAACATCAAACATTGATTGATATTTTTTTTGTTTACAACATTTATTGACATTAGTTGAGGAAAAATGTGCTTTTAATCCTTCAATTTTATACAAAACTTTGGTTTTGTTTGTAAATTTTATAATGTATTTATTACCCTTTAACTCTAACAGTATTAATTTTTTTTTTTTGGCTCAAATAACCCTATTATTTCAAATGATATTTTTTTTTTACCAATCATTATTATTTCAAAAAATTAAACTTAATATCTCAGTATTAAAAATATGCTATTAATGTTTAAAATTTTACTCTTAATATTTTTTACTAATTAAATTAAAGGTTTTTACACTAAAAAACACTTTAGGAAATTATAGAACTCAAATCAAGCACTAATTCAAGTGTAAATCAAAGTTCAAAATACATGAGGCCCTATCTTTTTTTCCACAGACAACATTAAACAAAATAAATAACATTATTGTCAATCATTTAAAATTCTACTCTGTAATATATTTAAATAACCTAAAAATAAGATCTCCAGTTGGAGCACATGTGAATGCCCCAAAAAAAAAAAAGTCATTCAACAAAGTCAATTCTCTTTAATTTAAGTAATGTTTGGAGCGAACCCCACTAACTCACGGATAACACATTGATATAGATATATTTAGGTCTAACACTGTTGGCCATTAAAGATTCGAGGTCAAAAAAGGTCTAGCATTGTCGTTTGACTTCTAAACCTGGGAGGGCTGAATATGTATGCATGTATGAATGCTTCAAATCTCTTTGGTTTCCTTGGATTTACACTCTTACGGCAAGCGTTTGCTTTCAATTTTTGCCTTCGCTTGTGATCTACTCTACTCAACCAGATAAATGAGGAGGACAAGTTTATATCAGCGTGGCGTCTTCAAATCCTTCAATTCCCTCGGTGTTGAGCAAGGATAAAGTACGGCAAGAGAGAACGTGTGTTTACATCCCACTGTTCTATGTATACGCTCTAAATAATATTTTGCGGCCGAGTCCACAAAAACTTAACTGGGTTGGACAGGTTCATTAAAACCGGACACCCGGGCAAGCTCTGGTAACTCCAGCTCTCCACTCACAACCTGCGAGAAATGCCTGAGTGAGAACAAAAGATTATGGCAGAGGAAGGGTTCCGAATAAATTCTCAGCCTACAGAATTCCCTACCTGACCATTAATAATCCACGTGGGGAATCCTTCAATCTTCACATCTGTGCATGCCTTGGTCATTTTAGTTCCTGTTCTATAACCTTCAGGAAAGCACTCCACGTAGTCTAACAACTTTACTGCCTCACGTCCAAACATCTATACCAATGGGTTAGAGTGGGGGGAAAAAATATATTAGTGGCACATCTAGATTGCGGCCTGTATTCATCATGGAAAGGCTTGCGAGTTTCCCAAAATAGAATTGGTCAACCTTGGAAAATCAATTGGACAATAATTTCGTAAGGTTTGCCCCTACAGCCAAGCAATTGGATAAAAACAGAAGCCATTGTGAAAAGAAAATTCTACTGCTCATCCATTGTTCAATGAAAATGATGGAATTTTGCTAGTAAAATTCTTAACAGATCATAGTTTATGTTGCATTATAAGGGATCATATACCTCCTTCTGTTCTAAACAATGCGAACACCAAAACGCTCCATACATTTTAGCTCCAATGGATTGCAAATGCCTTGCTAGAGATAAAGCGAAAGGACTTGATGGAACTGTAATCTCAGGTGAATAATATGGGAGTTCAACTTCTGCCAAGCTGTCATTGTGTGAAAAATTGGGGGGAAAAAAAACCAACAATAAAAAATTGATGTTACAGGAGTATCCATACCATTTGATTTCTCTCAAGTGCAAACAGAAAAATCAATATATCACAGTTAGACCTAGTTGGCATTTATTTGTTGAGACGAAATAACCGAATATAACTACAGTAAATTTGAAAATCCTATACTTCACATGAAAATTCTGCCAGCAACCACCAGGGTAAGAAGCATACACGTCAACATGACCATCATCAAATCTGAAGGCTTCGGGTACTATGCGAAGTGTCTAACATGCATTGAACATAAACGGGGATTATGTTTTGACTATATATATTTCGTAGCCATCAACTCATAAATAATTCTAACGTGTCTACGTTTCATATTGATAATACTGGAAAATACAAGTTCTTTTTTTGCCATATATGCTGAATGAAATATAATAGTTGAAGTAAACAAATTGCCCAAATCTGGTAATATTCACCTTGAAGAGATTGACTTGGAACTTGCGAATGAGGTATTTAGCGTGATCAACACTAAGCTAGCTACAAGTAACTGCAGACCCATGGCTTTTTGCATCTCACGCCATCCAAGATCCTATAACAGGAGTTTTCCAACCAAAAAAAAAAAAAAAAACCGAATTAGGCAACATGCAGTATGTTGCAGCAGATCAGATAACGAAAAGGAATAACATAAACATAATGCACCTTTACAGTGATAAAGAATAAGCCGAAAGATAGCAGAGCAGAAAGTAGACAGTACGAACAAAATGAACCGGAGAATTTGGTGCTCAGAATGTACAAGAAATAAGCACTGGCAACTGCCATGGACGTAGTGGATCCAAGCAATACTAGTTGAGCATCAGATTTTTTGACTCCCAAGGGCAAGTCCTCCCCAGACAATTGTATACTTATAGCTGCAACCAAGCCATATGCAGCCATTCCAATCAAAGGAAGAGGGACACCTGGCAAATTCAAAAGGACTATCATTGAGACCTTCTTTCAAACAAATTACCTGCAATGTGGTTGACATGCAAATTTCCAGTCAACAGTTATACTACTATTGTGGCCGAATAAGGATTAAGAAGAACAAGAAGAACTTGAGATAAATGATTGATATATATAAAATGCAGCGTTGCATGATTACAGCACAGTTAAATTCTGCGAGCTAAAATATAAGAGCAAATTAACAGAAATAACTAAATTGAGGTGAGATGAGAAAGTGCGTTACCGAAAAGAAGCGCATAATCACTGTTGAGTACGTCGGAGCAGGAGCCACCGCCAATCGGGCAAAATGCTTCGGAATTTGTGAGCTTGAGGTAAGTCAAATACGCAGTTTCCAGAAATCCAATTCCTCCAATCGCCGCGCTCAGTTTGATAGTGAAATCACCAGAAGACGAAGGGCTCGGAACAGACGTTTCCGAATCAGATTCTGAATTCTGAGAGCACTTCAAGGAAAGCACGAGCAGCCTCGGATGAGAAATCTTGTTGAAGAAACAGACCCTTCGTTGGCTTACAGAACGGTGGTGCCGAATAGGAGGCCAGCGAGACAAGAATGAACAACACGATGGCGATATGTTTACGAAGCTGGCCATCGCGAAGTAGAAGTTCAGCACCAGAGACTCAGGATGGAGAGAATTGGGAGCGAGCGCAAAAGAATCTAAATGACACCGGGCAGGCTTGTGCAGGAAGATGCGCACGGATCTATATTTCCCACATTCTCAGCCCATCATTTTTTAAACCTATCACATCCCAGTCCAGTTCATTAAGGGTATTTAGGTAGAAACTAAATTATAATTTTAAAAATAATTTTATAATATATGAAATAGACATGTAAAGAGAATTTTATCCCAATTTACTTAAAATTGCTTTTAAAAGTATTTTTTGGGTTTCAAAACACCCCTTAAATAAAAGTTGATCTCGCCAAGTGGATCAATAAGTAGATGGGTCCACACTTAAAATTATTATGCTATATATCAGTATCGTTTTATTTTCTTTTTAAGTCTACAAATAAAATTTAGGACATAATAAATAAATGAAAGTCATAGCATTCTTAAAAATAAGAACAAGAAAGATTTTTGCATTGTTTAGAGGATTGAATCTTGGCGCTCATGAGTCAGGGAATGTTTGGACAGAAATCAGGTCATCTATTTCACCCGGTAGATAGAATGGAAAGAAAGAAGAGGAAGAAGAAAGCGATTGAGAGTGATAGCTGATTTTATCCAAAGAACTTGCTCTGCTGGGGATTAGCATCGAGTCGGTTGAGCAGTTAAGTGTGCGTGGGTTATGCTTTGAAGTCACACTGAACCGGTCAGAAGAGGAATTCATGTCGCAACGTTGTTTTGGTCCAGAATTCTGACATGTTAGGCAACTAAGGAGAGCCATCTCCTTCACATGACCCATCAAACATGTTCCCCACAACTCTCCATTTTATGCCACTTCCTCCATAAGCATTGAGGTTGAGGACACAACATATTAATAAACCCGATAGAGATGCGCGCAGCCATTCCCAAAACAGAATGGATGTATCTCGGAAATTGTTGAAAATAGTTTGTAGAAAATTCCTGGGCTTATCCACCAGGAGATACATAAATGTTCCTCGCACAAGCACTAGCACAATTTGCTCAAATGAAAGCGATAATGCCTTTCTGGGGAACGGAACATCCATATCTGAAGACCATAGCTGGCCAGTCTGTACAAAAGAAGATGGCACGGCAACTAAAATTCAGGCTTGTTTCTAATAGCTTAAGAAATTGATGACTGAACAGGCAAGAAGGGCATATCAAGCACTTAGAAGCCTGGTGAAGCCGCAATCATTGGTTCGTCGGGTATTTGTGAAGAGACAGTCGCGCATCGCGTTGCACTGTATGCATGTGCTCGTTCGTTTACAAGTCAAGATTCGAGTAAGGCAGCTTCTTGCTAGATCTCTTGCTGACTGATTCACAATTGTCCTGAGGACTAGATTTTTTTTTCCCCGTAATCAATTATGATTTTAGAATGGCCATCCAAGAATGGCAGACTTGGGATATACATTCTCAAATTTCTTTTTATTTTTCACAAGAAAAACAGCTTATTTCAGTTATTTGAGAAAGGATGTGGTTACACAAATTTCTGTGAAACGCTCTCCGAAAGGGATCGCTTTGGACAAGTCAAACTAACCATGGGATATAATAAATAATTGCTTCGTATAGAATAAAATAAGAAAATATGTTTTCAATACCATCACTAATATAATTAAGAACCCGAATATAGATACAAATTATATGGTGTCTAACAAAAACAAGGAATAAAAAACCAGACCAAACATTAAATCGATATGAGTAGTGGTTCAAGGGTCAATTTGTTAGACTGGGATCAACTCGGGATCAAACTGATTGTATTAAAATAACATAATTTAATTGAAAATAACAAAATGCAACAACATTAATAATTACTAGTAATAAAATACAAGGAAATATAATAATAACTTGATTATAACAATAACAAAATATAAGCACATTGAGAATTTTGATCTTTACGGTTCATCAATAACTAAAATTAATAATCATAATCATTGATACCAAAATCATCATTTATTTAAATCTATAATAATTAAGATATTAAGAGCTAAATGGAAAAAAAAAAAAGAAGACCAATAGCAATATAATCCCCAGATTCACCCTCAACCTGACTGGTTCGACATTGGTTTAACTCCTACCAGGTTCAACAACTAAACCAAATCAAACTACTAGCCAGTTCGCTGATTTCTCTTTTCATTGAATAAAAATATTAGAAGATGTTCCATTTTCACATTCTAATTTTAATCACACACTTACAATTTAATAAGGTATTATGAGATTCTGACCACAAAAAAAAAGCACTGTGAGATCTCCCTTTAACTAATAAGGATATAATTAGAATGTTGGAATGCTTTTGAACAAACAAAACAAGTTACCAACTGCAAAAAATACCTAAAACATCTTATACTACCCCGTTATTAATATAAAAACGCATTGATTAATTTAAGTAGATTAAAAAAATTAGTTTAACTTATTTATTAGCAATAAATAAGTGTTTTCTTTCTTAAGATACTTTTACTAATTATGTGTATTAGTTAGAATTATTATTTAATAAAATCTTTAACATATGCAATTATTTCAATGACTACTTTAGATTTTATATTTAAGGGTAGTTTAAGGACAATAGGAAGTAGAGATCAACCTAACCGTTTATTAACATTGTGTGACCTGGAACACATTCTTAATTCTTCCAGCTTATAATAAAAAAGCTCATTAACCTGGGGGTGCTTCATCCGGGAGCTATCTGGAAAAGTTTCATCTCGACAGACAAGAATTGTGGAAAAGGAGGACAACAATGCTAAATAACACAGAGCCCCATACTTTTATACACAGTCCCTTTAGCATACATTCTCTATAAACGTTCACAGGCAAATTAGAACGTTTGGATGAAGGAATTACCCAAAGTAAGGAATTTTAGGCAGCAGAAGTACAATATAACCGAAATTTTCATAAGGCAGAACAAGCTAATGGGTTCTCTTCTTGTCTGGTCAGACCACTGTACAAGACAAAAAAAGAAAGAAAATAAAAGAAAGTTAAGTTATTTGATTGTGATGTCCAAGTTGTCAAAATTACTGATAGGCCCGTCTTAGTGCCGAGAGAAAGCCATGAGATAATTTATCTTTGGGTCGATCGTCAGTAACCTGTTCAGAGACACAATATTTAGAATTGCCTATGATGTCAATTGTCAAACACTTGGTTTCTTTACAAATTCGAGTAGTGCTTTACCTCCTTTGCTATCTGCTGAAGAATTTCCAATATTTCTGAGAAATTCGGTCTCTCAATTGGATCTTGTTGCCAACATCGCTGGAGCAGTTCAGAAAGCCCTGGGTGTGCATTCTTGGGGATTGAAGGTCGTAGACCCTGATAGTAGGGTTAAACACAATTATTTTAGTTCAAACAAGGAAAATGTCTGTGCAAGATGATGTGCAAGGACAGAGTAAAAACCTTCTGCACCACCCCTACTGCCGCTTGTAATGGGGACAGGTAAGCATAAGGCAGCTGATCAAAGAATACGGTATAAACCATGAGACCAAGTAGAAAGTGCCTGGATTAATTTTTTAGCCAAGGGAAAATAAAGTTAAACGAGCATAGCCTCCTCTGTGGCTTCGAAAGAACTTACTTCTCCTGTTAGAAGCTCCCAAAGAGCTATTCCAAAACTAAAAACATCTGCCTTCTGGTCATACGGTTTGTGTTCAATGACCTTCAAGTAAAATCAAATCATTGAAAAGAGATCTGAAGCATCATCAAACAGCTGAATTCAAGAACTAAATCAGCAAAATCGAAGGAAGAAAAGAATAATAAAAAATAGAAGAAAAGAAAAGAGTAGACCAATTAAACAGAGACGAAGGCTGAAATTATAAAATCTAATGATCACTAGTGTGACCCCTCCAAGTATATAGCGTGCGCTTGAAAGAAATGAAAATAGAAGTAGAAATAAGGATAGATATTCACGCATATACGTTCTGTAAGAAAACAGACAAGAATGAATGAAATCTATATACCTCAGGAGCCATCCAACGGTATGTTCCAGTTTCAGCTGTCATCACTCCAGATTGAGTTTGCACTCTGGCAACCCCAAAATCAGCAACCTTTACCACCTGTTTAAGATATAAGATTTTAGTATATGAATGGGAGATGCTCTACTTTCTCTCGAAAGGAATTAAAATAATAAAAACATATTTTCCTCTCACTTCTACGTACAACAGTTATTCTAAAACTGTTCACACAACTATTGACTGACTTGCGCTTCATGATGCCATAAAGGTTTGGTTCTTGATGAGCAAACCGTTATGAATGAGAATGAGTACTGAAAGATTGGCATACAACTAAATTCAGAACCCCTTTTTGACATGGATTTTTCCCCCATGTTGGGAGAGGGAACATTACAAATTATAAGTAGAGGGTGATACCAGAGGATAGTAAATATCATAAGCATATTAGAGCCCCAACATAAAACAAACAAATAAAGAATATCAATATAAACTAAACTTTCAATGCGGTCCCAATTGCATTTCATATTATATTGAAAGCAGAAATTAATAGACCGATAAAGTGATACTTGAAGAGGAAACAGGCGATATCAATGAGTGAATTCATAAAACGCACTCACTTCATTTTCATCCATTAGAAGATTGGCAGTCTTGAGGTCCCTGTGAATTATATTATTTTGGTGCAAATAGTTCATTCCCTTGGAAACATCGATTGCTACTTTTAGTAAAGAAGGAAGCTTAAATACACCCCTTTGCTTGTGCAGAAAGTCATAGACGCTTCCTCTAGACATAAACTCTGACAAAGGCATAAGCATGTCACATAAGCATCGAGGCTGGACTAATTGTTGATGGAATGAAGAAACCAAATCATCTTAAAAACAAAACTACATGATAGATTATAAACAGATAAAGCAAGACCTTGTGAAGACTATAAAACTAGTATATCTTCGGGTGTAAACAGAACTAGAGAATTGTCAAGTTTCTAGATTTAGCTTTGAAAATTAACAATCCGAATATGCATGTCTTGTATACCAGTAACAATACACAGATTTGGTGGCTGAGTGCATGCTCCAATGAATTGGACAACATTCTTGTGTCGAATTTTCCTGCAATCAAAGATAAGTTACAGGAAGAAAAACGAAATGGAGTTCAGAACCACCCAATGTGGCAAATGCTATGAATATCTTTTGTGCGTGTCTTTCCCGTATCATCATGGTTAACTAATCAGTTAGTTTCCATTGATATCAGCCAAGAAGTTTCATATCCATGACATGATTGCAACTAAACCCAAGTTCGTGGACCTTTGAGCAGCAGAGTTTAACAATTGACATCCTAGAATGTCATATCAAGGGTAGAATTCGCCATTGTTATTCAAATTACATACAGATTTTTCAAAAACATGATGTTTTTACTACGATTGTTGTCAATCTACACCTATCTCTGAACTATCAAGCATCAAAGTCAGAGGCACAAGGATTTTTCCATGTATGAGGAAGAGGGAGTAAATGAGGTGCAAAAAAAAAAGTTGGTAAAAGCATTCCTTCTCCACAATAAAATAGAAAAGAATGCAAAAAAGATTGGCACAAAGCAAAAAGATTGGCACAAAGTATGGAGGTGGAAATCCAGGTAATAGGAAGTTTAAGCTCTATCAATTTCATATGGACATGTCAACAAACCTCATGATATAAACTTCCTGGGCAAATTCTCTCAACATCTCTGTATTTATTTTGTCAGGCTTAAGGACTTTGATAGCTACATCTTGGCTGCAATAAGTCCCTCTGTACCTGGATAAGCTCAGAGAAGGGGAAAAGAGAGAAAGATCAGATAAGATGCTACCTACAGTTCTAATAAACTTCAAACAGAAATAACTCACAAATCACCGAATGACCCAGAGCCAACTTTGTTTTCAAATTTCAGCTGGTTGGTATCAATTTCCCAGACATCAGTTCCATCAGATGGTATTTCTACACACTGAGGGAAGGGTTCCATCCTTGCCTGATAGTAATGTTCATTAACAGCAGAAGGCATGCCCTGTTTTGACAGATATTGCTTCTGCTAAGCATGGAAAAAAGATGTCATGCATATCAGTAGATATTTAATCTAAAGAGAATTGGAAGTAAAGTAGAAAACCCATGGGTATGGCAATGTAACAGACAATATATGATAGTATAACATAACCAACAAATAAGGTTCAGCAGCATTGTAAAGCAATACACGAGTGATACACGTAATAACATATAGTACAATAATAAATCCAAACAGGAATCAGGAACTTCATATCATATAAAGTAACGCCTTTCCAGAAAAGTGAAACAACCACATAGCTTTGTTTACAGCATATTCAGCGAAGTATAAATAAAAAAGGCAACATATTTTGATCTTGGTATATGATATGCTTGGTTATACGCAAAAAAGGGTTTTCAGTTGTTTTTTTTTTTTTTTGGGTGTTTTGGGCCAATGGCAGTTGGATTACATGCTACTAGGCAATGCATAACTTGATAATATTGGCATAACCTAGCAGAAAGTTAAACCTCTATAGTTACATAGGCTATACAGAAAAATACAATTGATTTATCATTTCATTCTGTTTCCAGCCAGCAGCAATAATGTGCACAAAAAACAAAGGTCAAATCTTGTTGCTGTACGCTAATGCTTGAACATGAGTCATTGTTCTAAAAGGTTATAGATATTGATATCTTTTCAAAAAATCCGCAGCTTAATCTTGATATGATTTATATGGAAAACATTACCTTGTACTTCAAAATTTCCTTTTCCAGTACACGTTTAAGCTCTTCAGTTTCCTGATGTTTCACAACCAAAAGCGTCAAGGCACACAGCGGCAACATCAAAGAGAAAAATGACAAAGTTGATGTCAGCAAAGAGTATCAAAATTAATTCAAAACAAGTGGGAAAACAAAATTAAACATTTAGCCATAACCAAAAAAAAAAAACTCATTGTAATTATAAAAAAAAAAAAATCAGCCAAACAAAAGTCATCATATGAACAACTTTAGTAACTACAAAACTATGTGATAGTCAATTGGAGAAGCAATGTAAAATTTTAAAGTGTAGATGAGTTTCAGTGACAAGAAGATTACTGATGCAATGACTAATAGAAAAGATAATATGATTAACTTCAATAAGTCAATAATATAAACCATCAATTGGAAGAGCAATGCTAGGGATTTGAAATTTAAATGCATATATGCAACAATCAAATACGTTGCAATAAAGCTGTGCACAAGGATATAGAAAAGGAAGAAGAAGTTTAATTAAAATCGCCACACTTGAAGTAACCTCTTAGAACTATGCATGTCATATTTGACATCAACAAACATTTATTGCTATAATTATTTTGTCGTTTTGAGGAAACTAAATACTTATCATTAATATTTAATAAAGGATGTGTTTTAAAAAAAAAAAAAAAAAAGCTCATTACCGACTTTAGCACAGCCAAGAAATTCAACTATGCAACTTGAAGCCCCATTCACAGATGGAGATAAAATGATCGCATATGGACAATTATATTAAGCTTTTTTCTTCGCTTGCTTGAATATGGATACACCATTTAAAGAGCACTATGTAAGTACTATCTGTGTGGGAAACTCTAAAATAAATACCTGAATTATTTCATTTTCCCAATTTATTTTTGTCTAAAGAATAGTTTTCACTTAGAAATGCACCAACATGAAGCCAGCAAGTATAAGAAATAGCCAAGTTCCCTCCAAAAGTGGGCAGTTTGCTTCTTGTTCTCAGTCCACAGAACAGTCATGCCCTGCTGCCCCGAATATATACATATTCTTGATTATGAAAAATAACATATATTATACAGCAGTTTATTTAAGAATAAATTTTTCTTTAAAATTAAATATATCAACATCCATATTATGAATCATAGATCATTGAAACTCCCCTGGAGAAAGCATAAGTGATCGTAAATAATCAACATGAACCATGCATGAAAGCACCACCCCACCCCACCCAAAAAAAAGGTCATAGCATGCCATGACCATACCTACGCAATATTATTGTCTCTGGTAAAAAATGTGGGGGAAAGTGTAAGCAATCATATATTAATTACAGGAACAAGCAAGAGTATTCAGTGAAGAGATGAGAAATATAGAATGTAAATGCCTAACTCGTGTTTTCTACAATATCAAAACTGAAACCTGCACTCATAGCAAGATATTGATGATACGGGTCTGTTCTCCAAACGACTCATAAGAAATTGAAGGGTTAATATAATTTTTGGCTCTCAAGTTTGCCCTCATTTTGATTTTAGTCCCTTAAGTTTCAAATAATAAGTTTTTGTCCTTCAAGGGGCAAAATGGTCTAAGTTTTTATTGGATTCTAGGAACCAATATTTTAAATGAAAAGAAACTTAAGGGACCAAAACTTATGATTTAAAACTTGAGGGACCAAACCCAAAATGAAGGTAAATTTGAAGGACCAAAATTTGTATTAGCCTAAAATTCAAACATTTTAAGTTTGCCATATTCTTCCTACCTCATTTGGCCACCCTACGACGACAAAGACATCAAGAGAAAACCCATCTGTGGTGGAAAATGCATGAGCTTCTTGAATGTTCAGTCCCATCTCCCCAAGTAATGAAGTTAACTGGCATTTCAATTAAAGGGGGGAAAAAAAATCAGATTATCAATAAAAAGGGAGAAAAAGCATACAAAGCGAGACAAAGTTTTATCTTATAATTCAACTAAATAAGAAATTTTGCAGGTTGCGTAATGAATAATTGACCTATTTAAATGAGTCACCTCAAAAGTTATTAAATAAAACATAATGAAAGGTCCGAAATTAGAATTTCTTTTTCTAGATGACAGCAAGAAAGCTGAAAGTAGATTGAAACAAAGCCCTCTTTACTCTTCCTTTTATAGCAGACAATAAGGCATATTTTTAAAAGAACCTAACTTGCTTAGGTATTCATTTCATGATTTTGTATAAATGTTAAGAAACAACACCATAATGATCCTCAAGAGTGTGTTTTTATTGATCTTTTTACCAGAGAAACTGTTTCATGGATCTGTACCACCATACATGGTCTACTTGGGCAAAACATGTATTCGTTGACACCTTTCAAAGAAAACTTTCAACAACTAGTTTTACAATGTCTGTATTTGGCAGCTTTCGCAGTAGATGGCATCAAATATGTCACCAGCTGATGCAAAGGGCAAAGATGGATCAGATTCTTTTCTTGCATGACATTAACAATGTAGCTAGAAATGCTTTGACCAGACTAGGTGCACGGAAAAGTGACAACATTTAATGCTGACTGCTTTTAAAAAAATGGGTTAAGTCACTATGGCTCATCCAATAATGACTAAAACATCATTCAAAGAAATCACGTTTATTTAGAAAAAGAAGAAGAAGAAGAAGAAGAAAAGAATTAACTACCTGACTAAGGACTTTAGGCTTGTCAACAGTTGAAAAAGTAATCTCGTGCATGGGCCTAAAAGTTAGGAAGCGGCCAGATTAACACTGGATAGCAATTTAAACATTAAATAGGGAAAAAAATCAATCAACTGCTATGAGCTAGAAGAAATCAGAAAGTAATAAACTAAGATGAAAGCTTCTATTCTCCAGAGTATGCGCATTAGCACTTGCCCCCAGAATCTTATCAGAGATCATAAATAAAAGAATCTGTTATATAAATTCTCTTTCAATGTTTCCACGTAATATTCTAAAATCATACAAATCAAGAATTATCACTTATTCATGAAACGGCATCTAAGAACAAGTCATTATCCTCTCTCTCCCTCCCCCTTCGACTGGAAATCTTTAATATAGATGAAATGGCTTACGTCTGCAACTGAACTAACCTGATTTTACTAGGACAAGAAACACAATCTAGAAATAAAGATATCCTAGGGCCTAAATGGCCAAATTCTCAATTATCCAATGACTTATAATTCAATCCCCTTGCCCAACCACAAATACATAAAATTAATACAATCGACATAATTATCTTCTCCTCACACTGCACATCAAAGAGTTGGTCAATTAACACAAAATATAGAGTTGCACTTAGAATGTATCATTTTCAGATTGCAAGAGGTTTGATCCAAGCATACATACGTAGCATAAAATTCGTGATCTTCTTGATAAATAAAAGGCATTCCCACAAAACCAATTTAAGCACATTATAACAAGAATAAAAGAAGAAGGGAGCAACCCATTCCACAACAGTCATACAAAATGACTGAGAATCCAGAGTAATGAATTTATCAGAATACTTACCTGTAAAAGCATGGTGCCAAATCCATATCTCCATCCCCATCTTCAGCATTATTTTTACATGCTTGGCGGGAGAGAGCTTCGAGATTAGAAGATGAACCAAAAGTAGGCGGTGGGTGAACTCTACTTTCCCAAGAGAAAGACAAGAGAAGACATAAAAAATCATTTAATGGCAGACAAGCACTATAAGAAGAAAAAAAAAATTGTGATTTACTCTGCTTTTGGCACAGCAGAAAGGATGAAAAGTAAAATCAAAACAACTGCGCATGGGCCATACCCCTGCTTAAAAGAATAGTTAAATGAACTCTGGGCGTCTTCTTTCTCAGAAGGATCAGAATGCATTGAGTCGGCAAAATTAGCACATCCATAAGGATACACCTGCAATGAGGATGTTAGTGAGATAAAAATGACTAGTATGTACACTGCTCTACATATTTCAGGTGCTTATGAAGATGCTTTGTGTTATGAAAAGTAAAGAAATAGGAGAGAGAAAGAGGAAAGAGAAAGGAAAAAGAGTAATAGAAAAAGAGAAGAATTAGAGAAGAGTAGAGGATCAAGAGAAACTGAATAATTTTCTAATCACAGTGCAAAACTCAGATACAAAGAATGACAAATACTTATTTATAAGCAAAAGCCCTAATAGATAAAATATCCTAATATTATCTAAATATTATCTAGATATCCTAATCTATCCAAATCCTACTAATATAATTAAATACTATCTAAATCCTAATAATATTTATTTAAACCCTATTTATATCATATTTAAGTATTTTCTTATTTATAATTAAATTACATAACAATACCCCATTCCCCAAAAGACCCTTGTCCTCAAGGGTCAAGTACACAAAAACTCGTCCTGAACCAGCACCAAAGAGCATCTTGATTAATTTGCCTTTAAACCAAATCTGAGTCAAGCATGTTGTAGAAGAAACAGGAACAAGAGAAATCGAATTAAAATTGATTGATGATAGCAACGAGTTGTGACTCTTTTCTTGAAAGAGAAGGCCCATAAACGCAAACATCATTCTTGTTGGGAGTTGCGTCTTTGATTTTCCTTTGTTAAGCTTATCAAATATGTCATTAGCATGGGGTACGGTGTTTTTTTTTGTATCTTGAACTGCCAAGTCTTCTGCTCGAGCATCGGAACTTTCTTTTTCACTTCTGTGCGCATACTGAAGATTTTTCTTGATGTTATTATTATACTCAAAAGGCTTTTGAGCTTCGACAAACACATCTTGAGTGGTGGTAATTGATTGCACGTTGAATCCAGTGACTCTTGTAGCTTCAGGACTCTTGTGGTATGACATATTTGCCTTCTTGAACTTCCAAACCTACCTACTTGAGAGTTTCACATCATACCACACTTATTTCCTCAAGCCGTTGAACCATGTTTGGATTTGTTCCACCATAGAATTCATTTTTGGCATGGCAGCGGCAATAGAATCCATATTTTGAATGATAGTGGCCGAGGAGCGCAAGGCTCTGATACCACTGTTATGAAAAGTAAAGAAATAGGAGAGAGAAAGAGGAAAGAGAAAGGAAAAAGAGTAATAGAAAAGAGAGAAGAATTAGAGAAGAGTAGAGGATCAAGAGAAACTGAATAATTTTCTAATCACAGTGCAAAACTCAGATACAAAGAATGACAAATACTTATTTATAAGCAAAAGCCCTAATAGATAAAATATCCTAATATTATCTAAATATTATCTAGATATCCTAATCTATCCAAATCCTACTAATATAATTAAATACTATCTAAATCCTAATAATATTTATTTAAACCCTATTTATATCATATTTAAGTATTTTCTTATTTATAATTATAATTACATAACACTTTGATTCAGAAACCGATAGCAATATTCAGGCAGCAGCAGTCAATGCTGCTTCACCAAAAATTAGTAGTAAATACAAAAATTTAGCTTCATTCATTTTCCCTCCAATACTGAAGATAGTTAAGGAAAAATGACAAATGATATTCCTTCCAACGTCTATTTAAAACCTAATGGACCAGTTGAGGAGAGAAAGATCAGTTCTATGCATCCTCCACAAACTTTTATCAGGGCAAAAGTAACTATAAAACTTCAGGATCCTTGTACCAAAATAACAAAGCATGTGAATTGTTAGTTCAGACGTTAGTTCAGACGTCATAACATTGTGAATGTATGAAGTAGCTTAAAGAAAATGTTACCAAAATGAAAGCAATTCATTTAGTTTTTACCTGTACTGAGCGAACTTGAAATACAGGTCGATTACCAGGGTCCTCTGCCAGCTTCAGCAATCTCTTGTGACTAAGAACATCTTCTGCCCTCTCGACATTCACATCCAACGCGTACCTATGTGGTAGCAAACAATTTGAATAAATGCAAGACCTCGAGAAAATGGCCCTTGCCATTCAACTTAAAAGGGTAAAGAAAAAGAACAAGGAAAAACCAATAGTTGTTTTCATTCTTTTCCTCTGGCCACAAAGTGCGAATTAAAAAAAAAAAAAAAACTGTGATGCGTTAAGGAAATGATGATTAGCACATAAAATAGTCGATCATAGATTCCTGGTTAAGGAAATTCGTTGTCATGCATGAAACCATCACCGACAAACAAAGACAGAAATCGATACCAAAAGGAGGCAAAAGACGATGGGATTAAACAGAATACCAAATACCTAGCAGGAAGACGATTGAAATGAAGCCAAAGCTGGTCATCAAACCCTGGAACATTGGCATCCTCACAATTTGACTCTTGGATTCGACGGAGCACCTCATTGAACACCTCCAATTTCTTCCTATGTTGACGAGGATGAGCTTGCGGTGACTGCACACAGGCTCTGCTTCCACAGCTCTCAAGGTCCTCCTCGATCGCCATTAGCGCCAAAAAGCAGAAGCAGAAAGCACAATCGGCAGCTTCTAGGAATGGATTTGAAGAGTGAGAGTTTCAGGAAGAAGAAAGGGAGAGATTCAGAGGAAAGTCGTGGCACATGGCTTTTGTGGGATCATGGAAACGAAGGAAAAAAGACAAAAGGCACAAATGAAGCGAAGTGGGGAGAGAGAAGGGAGGCGGGGGCAGATTCAGTTGAGAGTTGGGACTCTTTCCAGCTACTAATAAGTGTTTCGGTGCAGCTATCCACGTCACCGCCGGGTCCCCGTTTAGGATAGGAATTTAGCAAATAGAATAGTGCTGATTGGATAAGCTGAAGACAGGCAAGTTCTTAATTGCAATTAATTAATTCTCCAAATTAAACAAATCTACGCCCAATCCATTCCATAGTCTAACAATTTAAGAGGATTCCCCAATCCGTCCTATCCCTTTTGAATAACAAATAATCACGAGTAGTTGATGGTTTTTCTGCCTCCCCGATTAATGGTGCTGAATGACATTCTAAAATCATCTTTTATTAAAATTTTCAAACTTTATGTGAAGGGAAAATATGCATTTGTTAACTATAAAAGAGGTTTGCACGTTTAAAAACAATAATAATAAGCGCTTTGTGGTTCTTTTTAAATAAATAAAAAACTAATGCTAAGGATTATAAAAATGAATTCCTTTTGTTCTGCTTGTATTTTAAGTCAGATAGTTTAATTTTTTATATTAATATACAATTTTATTTTTTATTTATTATGTGTCAATTTTATTTACATAAAGTACAATATATATCAAATATGGATGAAATTGGCAAATTGTTAATTCCTAAGGCAAAGTTAATGAAATGTCAGATTTTTTTTAATTTATGTAAAACATATTAAAAATGACTTATAAATACTAAAATTGCCAAGTATGTGTGTGTATATGTGTGTATGCATAAGTGAAATTACTAGGATGGCTATTAATGGAATATTGTAAAACTCTGCCCACAAAAGGATAATTGGGATATTCAATTCTTAACAAGCATGTGTTTCCGAGCCTTAATAATTTTGCACTGTTGTCAAACTTATGAGTTGACTCTCTGAGTTTAACATTTTTACGTTTTCAGCTAACAAAATCATGTCGATTCACTCTTAAACTCGTGATAATTGTAAACTCAATTAAACTTACAAGTTCATTTATTGAGTTTACCGTTTTTACGCTTTAATCTTACAAAACTGTGTTAACTCGTTTTTAAACTCGTGTTAAATTTTTGGATTTGATTATGTTTAGTAACTTTATATATGAATTTTATAGAAATCTCTTGGTTGAATATGATAAACTATGAACATTGATGGATATAATTTCAATTATTTAAATTTAAAATATATTTAAATGAAATTGTTCTCATTTTTTATCTATTAATTATTTGATTATATACTTTTGATATCAATTTATTAATAAAAGTAAACTCTTACGAGTTCACGATCCTTAGAATCCGAGTTTATTTAGACTTGCGAGTTTAACAACCTTGTAATTTTGTGTTACGGAAATTGTGCCGTTCAGCCATGTCTCGTAGCTGCACCGTGAAATGAGGGTATGGGCGTGCAAGAGTCTCCTCATTTGACGTTTAAATTCTGGGTCAGCCAGCATGTCTTCGATGCTAAACCTTATGTTTGTCAGTGTGGCTCTGGAGGCCACAAAAAATGACTGAACAATAGCCGCATCATCCTTTAACCTTCTAATATACACGTGGCTTGCCCAAACTCCTTTAACTTCGTAGCTTATGCCCCTCAATTCTACCTATTGTCCATCGCACTCTGAACTACATGAACAACTCATTTTCTTGAGTTTATCTGCTTCAAATTTTCCCCCAATCAAGTCATGATAACTGTACTTTTTATGCACCTTTTTTATATATAATAATTATTACTGTTGACTTTTTTAAAATTTAAAAATAACATATTTTAATTTGATTGAAAACTTATATTAAGTATATAAGTTTAAGCACTCAAGTCTTTCCCTTCAGATAAATATTATTTTTCATTTGATATAATTCAAATTTTTTTTTTCGGTTGGTTGGATCGCAGGAAAATAAAATATAAGAGGAATCAAGGTTTCAAGATTTTTGTTGGAACACAATGCCCTAATATAGGCCTATCATCTAATTTCCTGAGCTTCCCACCACGACAAAAGCCTATTGGGCCTATGGAGATGGTTCCGTTCCATCACACTGGACCCGCCTCCAAACGTGAGAAAACCAAACCATGCTCTTTTTTTTTTTTTCCCATTTCGGCTGATAACAACTAATCAACTTGGTAAGAAATTAAGAATGTTACCCGCGACCAATATTTAAGATTTTTTGACGTCATGTCGTCGTTTTTGTAATATATTTTTCATATACTCTCTAATCATTTGAAATAAATTTTGCGATCTTACTACGGAAATAGGGCGAAGCCCTTGGAACTTTTGCCCCCCCAACACATAGTACATCCCATAATGAAGGAATAGGCTGGGCTCGGCTGCCACGGAGATCAAAGGGCTTATTTGAAATGATAGAATTCTTTAAAAGTAGCTTTTATTTGTGATTTATCATGAGATGAGATAAATATGTGAGAGAAATATCATCTCAAATTGTATGAATAAGTGTTTTGAGAATTCCAATCGTGATCGTAGATAGGCATTGAGAATTTATAGAATGAAATTTAGTTACATTACAAAGGAAAAAAACTCCTTAAGGTTCGTTTTAAAAAATTAAGAAAATTGGCTAAATGCAAAATTTTTTACAACTTCTTAAAAATAGAGTACATTCTAATTAGCATGCTTCATTGGAAAAGAAAAGATACAAAATCATTATTTAAGCTGAGTAAAAAATATAAGTACTTTTTAAAGTAAGTTAAAAAATCTTATTAGATTTTATAAGGAATCAATATGATCTTACAAATAAGATTTAAGGGAGTAATAAGTAAGTAGTTTTGCCCAAACAAATAAACAGCGAAACATTGTGGTTTCTACAAGACTAATGTTTCATATGAGGGCCAAGCTGACAGACAAGCAGAGGAAGAAAACAAACTTAAGGTAGATGATTCTGTAATTCAAGATGAAAGAAGTGGATGCGGTAGTGTTATCAAGGATGTTGACAATAATTGGATATGCGGATAAAGCTGCAAGCTTACCAATGCCCCACCCACAGTTTTAGAAGCAATTGGGCATTATTCATGGATTCAACATTTGCTGAGATAGGAGATTTCAAAAGATAGCTATCTTCCCTTATTGTTTGGAGGCCATCAATTTAATTACCAAAGGGATGTGACGGTCAACAACCCTTTCATGATGTTGTGAAAGATGCTAGATTTATTAGTCATAGAGATTGACAAGTTTTTCTTTTTAGCATATTTATAGAGATGTAAATCTCATGACAGACCATTTAGCTAAGTTAGCTAAATTAGCATACTATATCCGGTCCTAATTATAAGACTTAATTGACTAATTTGAAGAGATTAAGGAAGTTAAGTTAGTTATTTGTAATAAATAGGTGTTGTCTTTCCTAAAATATCCTTGCTAATCAAGTATATTGGCTAGAACTACCATTGTTAGAAAGACCATATTAGGAAAAAAATGCATAAATATGAGAGACAAAATAGATTGGGATATTATATTTAGAATCAAAATAAAAGTTAAATAAGGTCTTATATTAAGGATCGGAGGAAGTATAATTTAGATAGACTTTTTTGGGTCGTTGATTAATTTCCTCCTCTATTTCGAGAGGGGAAAAGTGATGAAAGATGATAATTTGTCTTGCTTGTAAGGCTTAGATTTCTTGTAGTATCCAGTTTTAGATTCCAAAAAAAAAACAAATATACAGTCATATATGTATTTCTCCCTCTAATATTATGTCCCAAATACGATGTGACTTGAAAATTATCCCCGGCGCCAATAACTGTCATTCTTTAATGTCCCAACCGTTGCAGCCAAGAGACATGCAAATTGACTCGCCATAAATGCTCGTACTACTATCAATGGTCAATCTTGTATCGTTACATAGCCCTCTCTTCTATGTAAGAGGTTCATTGATTCCCATATACTCCTTTCATTCTTTATTATAAGAGACAAATAACTAAATTACATTGTTAAAAAAATAGTTAAAATTAGTTGAGGACAATTAATGTGTAAAAATTATAATGTTTTTTCTAACAATACCCTCCATTAATAAGGAGAGAGTATGAGAGAGAACAATTAAATTATTGAAAGAAAGAGAAGTGAGAGGGAAAGAGAGTATGAGTTGGAGACAAAATAAATAGGGGTAAAATAGAAAATCAATACAAAAAAATAGAGACAACTTTTAAGTGTCTCTTATATATGAGAACATACCATAAGCATCAAATGTCTCTTATAATAAGGAACGGAGGGAGTAGTAATTTACTGCTGTAGAACAATGTCCGGCAGTTTTAAGCAATCATCTTTTCACTAATAACGTTAGGTTTAACAAAAAGAATTAGTTTCTCCTAACATAAATGATTGAGATTTTGAATATTTGCCGAAAGATGTTACCATGTTTAGTGTTGTATTTACTATATCTTTCCCTTTTTTAATAAATAATTATCATTCTTTTGTGATCGCATGCACTTGTAAATAAGTTTTTCGCAGACTACATAAAATAGTGTGGTACAAACCAAATTAAATTACGCACTAAATTATAAACAAATGAAGGCGGTCCTGGACTCCTGGTTGCTTCCCTGCTCTACTTCAACACTACGGAAAACGACTTCCTTCAAGGCACGATGACAATTACACCCCCCCCCAAAAAAAAAACCCCGAAAAAAGGTAAAAACTATGTTCTGTATTCTGCCAAAAAAAAAAGAGGACTATATGTTCCTGTATAGATGATAGCATTAAGGGTAATTAGTTTTTTCACCACAGGTAGGATATACAAGAATCTCCCAGTACTTATTACACCATTATAAACGTCTTACATTGGCAATTAATACATCCACTTCTTTCACGTTTTATGTACCAATAAGAAACGGAAGCATTGAATGTAATTGCAAATGAGAAAATAATATAAAAATTCAAACATGCCATTTAGAACAAAAAATGACAATACGTTTCTGCCATTTATGGTCATTCTCCATCTCACGGTTAAGTATTGCGAGTGACGTCCCTCTTCTCCTTCCTCCGGCCAAAGAAAGCATTCATTCACGGGCAGAACCTTTACAATGAGGTAGAAATAACGCTAAAGCGTGTTTGGCAATCGCAGAGCCTCAAGAAAAATAAATTAACACAAAGAAATGTATATCTCGAAAGAGTACAAACAAACCTTTGAGTTTGATCTCGTCTGTTCCGGGGACATACATAACATGGGCGAAATGAAATAGCGTTGAGATATTGGCACGGCTCAATCAAAACCGAGACCCACGTGGAACCAGAAAAGTCTTTCATTTTCTTCCCCCTTGTAGCATCTTGCTCTGGTTGGTCTGAGTGAACCAGGCCAATATCACAATAACTATTTCATCTGATTATATAGTAGGATGCAGAAAGAAGCCAGCATGTGGAGAGAAGAGAAGGAAAGAAACCAAGCAGAAGAAGATGGGAGGGAGAGCAAGAGAGAGAAGTGGATGTTTGAAGGAAGTGAGTGAGTGAGGTGAGGGGGAGAATGTCTTGGGGGTGATTTAAGAACACAAGGAGGGTGTGAACAGTGCATTTAAAACCACCACTACCAAAGCATAAAGCTGGCCCAGAGCATTTAAATCCATAATCCTCCCTCCTTCCATCCATCCCGCTTCACTTTTTCTTTTATTTTTTTTGGATGCGTGTGTGTCCTTGTTCAACCATAAATGCCATGCCTTATTACATCTGTTTGATAAAATGCCTACATGAAATCGCAGTGTAAAAGTCAAAACTAACCCCTGTTGTTGGTTTTCAATTTTTAGATCCATGAGGAAAAGCAAAATATGGGTGTGTACATGAATGGATGTTGCTTTTGGGTGCATGCATCATCAGGGTCAGAATTATCTTGAAAAACTGATGCAGAGGACTATGTGGTTGGGTTAGGTCAAGAAGAGCACAGAAAGAAATTAAAAGCAGAGAGGCAACAAAAGGGGTCGTCCACGATCGTGATACTCGCTGCATCACAGAACCAGAAAGACCACCACATTAAATGAGGGAATCTCCCTCTGGAATGCACTGCCTGCAACATTAATACCCAACTTACCCGTGAGACTCTCTGCCTTGGAGCTGTCAAACCCCTTTTGGCTCCTCCCTCCAGCCCCCTCTCATAAAAAAGAAAATCCCTTTAACTATATTTTGAATCAGATGTATAAGCATCCAGACCCATTTATCTGTACAATTTCATACTAACATGTTTGCATGTTTATTGATGATAGGGTTGATATTTGGTCTAGCAAAAGTGATGAGAAGTAGGGGAAGCTAGGGTTGACTTGCAGAGGGGGAAAATAAATTTCACAGCGTGAGGGTTATTGATGTTTGCTCAATTTGGCAAAGCAGAATCTGTGTCACAAGTGGGACTCTTGTTTTATACATAACATGCTTTTGAACAGTGTTTGCGGGTTGGTTGATATGAGATTTATGGCAACAATTAATGGCCCCCTCCTCTTTACCACCTCTTTTTTTTTCTGAGGGAATCTTGTTGCAGACACTCAACGTCTCAAATTACTGTGAAATTTATGGCGAGGAAAAAAGTTTATAGGGTGTATCTGTTCGCTCCTTTATGGTATCTTCAATTGGAAAACTCAAAAGCAAGCCCAAAAGCTTTAATATCAAGTCCAGTAGGAGCAAATGCACTCGCCTTTTGTTCTGTTTTGCAACCATTAAGGCAGGATAAACCATAAAAGAAACCTGGGGATACAGTTCAATTTGTTCTTCATCCTGAAGTAACAGTTCATATCTAGTCTTATTATTTTCCTTTTAACTATGAGCATGGGAAAGAGGCTTTGTCTATTTTTGAACCAAGTTAAGCGGAAAAAAAATCCGATAATGTAATTCTTAGATGCATCGTGGAAGTTTGCAAATTATCCATACATACACGAACTCTTCATGAAACTGTCGATGGAAAAAACGACACGTATTTTTGTTGGCTGAGTTCCAAATCGAGGGCATTGTGATGTGTTGATGCGAAGAAAGTAAGTGAGTTTAATTCATCCGAAACTGGTTGGTATTTTGTTTTTCTCAGGCCTCTTTGTGAGGAATCTTGCAAAGCCTGTAATGATTATAATATAGCGCACACAATCCTGGGAATAATAAGTAGAGCTATGAAGTACATCTGAACATGTGATCAGTGGTGGTTGAATGATACCGATTCGAGTGAGCATACAATGTGCAATAATATAACATTGTTATTTGATTTCTTCTTTACAATTAATTCATCAATAATTGTGTTGCTTTTTGTATCAAAATATCTTGGTTGCTGAGTTCAAAGTGATGAGTTGGCGACGACAAGCGAATTCACAGACCATTTCATCCCATACAATTTTATTTTATTTTATTGTTTTCTTAAAAAAGATGAAAAATATAGCTGTTAGAGCTAGCAAATATATGCGAGAACAAATACATGAATCATAAGCTGAGTAACTCGTACGATGATGGGAGGGACCCCACCTTTGTCCATAAATCCTCAATAGCTGATCCTGACTCAGTGACTCCTAATCAGGTTACATGCAATCCCCACCCTTCGCCTCGAAAGGGAGACAACTTCAATACCCCATTATAGTTTTTTCAAAACTTGAACAGCTTGCTGCCCATAATTAATCATGCAAAATGACATTAGGTTCAAAAGATCAATTTAATAATAATCAGGTGCTAACAAATTTTGCTCAAAATTAAATCGTAAATATCGATCTTTATTACTTGGAAATCAAATCTATAAAACTTAAATGGCTGGTGTAATTGAGATTTTCAACTCATCTTTTAAAATTTTTTTCAGAACTGACTATTATTAAAATAATCTTTTGAGACGTAAATCTCACTCTCCTCCCAATGAGCTTACCCGTCTTGAAGTTATTTGATTTTCTACTATAACCAGTAATAATACTGATAAAACAAGTAGTCTCAGTTTTGTGCATTTATAATTATGGTAAACTTCATACTTTAATATTTATAACTCACGAGATTTGGACGGTGGTTTCATTTTTTTTCCCCCGACGCACCAAGAAGTTTGTTTCCAACTTATTCTAGGCACCGAAAAGCATTAAAAATTCATATTACTCGCCCAATTATTGTTTATTGATTCCAGGAACTTCCAAAATTTGCATGATCTCATGCTAAAAAAGAGAGGAATTCAAGTTGCAAAGCTTGCATCGAGGGTTGCAGCCCCGTACATGCTAGAATCCAATCAAACGAGGTTTGCTTTGAAGAATATTATATTGGAAGACTAGTTGGCGAAGAAGGAGGCCGGTTTGCTTGGACGAAATAGCATGCGAAGACGACTAAGATAAGCTAATTTACACGGACAAGATACAACTTCAGCATGCTTTATCATAATCAATACTTTGAACGGGAAGGGCATTAAGAAGATGCTCTTATAGTCTTAATACAGAAGAGAGGGAGGGAGGAACACGATGATCTTACTGGGAAAGACAGAGGAGCATTAGAAAGAAGAATTCTTCCATTGAAATGGGTCAATGCGCATCTGGGGGAACAAGTCACGGCGAACAGGAAGGTTCTTCTATGGAGGGTGGTAACCCAGGAAGGAATGGATGCTTTGCCATCACGAGGGAGCACAAGTCCAGGTTCTATATTGCTAGGAAATGTCTAGTGATGCTACTTTGCTGGCACAAATATGGCAAGTACTCTAGTTTTCCTTTGTCTTCTTGTTTCTCTTTCAACTTGTTTATCTTGCCTGAAATCGCTTTCGGTACATTTGACCAGAAGCGGAGGACCATGACAATTTGTGGGGGAGCAATTTAACTCGCCAAATTAATTTGTGCAATAATCGTTAGATAGCCAAAGGCCGCCGTTGGGTGGTTTTGCCAACTGATGAATTCGAATTCAGCCCGTACAGACTATCCACAGGAATAGGGGTTTTCCCCACGAGCCCTACCATTAATATAACAATGGAATTCAGTTACATCACGCGAGTATTCTTCTTCTTATTTCTTTCTTTCTTAAAAAAGACAGGAATAGTATTTGTCCTTTTATTTCTCATTGCAAAATAACAACACCACCTGACTGCTTCGTATACGTAAAGTTAGTTTACACATCGATATCAATTGACTCGCTATATCCAGCTGAAAGTATGGTTACAGCAGAAAAGCAACAATCATCTGGTATAAGACATACTGAACAATACAAGCCCACCCAGCAAAATTGGCCAAGGTATCTTCACCCGCAGCCTTGGGTTAAACCGCAGTGGAAAGGCATGAAAAATCCTTAATTTCTCCAGATTTTATTAACACCCCCCCCCCCAAAAAAAGAAAAAAAGAAAAAGAGAAATTGATGCAGCTACTCAAGACTGTACAAGTAATAGAGGAGAGAGCAATGGCAAAAGTTCAAGCCCAGTTTCTATATTAAATCATGGACATGTCTTTTCTTCTCATTGATCATTTTGAGAATTGGATACAAGGTACAACGTCGTTTGTCATTACATGTCCATGCATGCACAGACCAATCTTCTTTCTAGGAGATCTAGGGCAACTATAAACACAATTTATCCACGTTAATTGAGGTCAACCGTCAACGACTTCCATACAGAGCTGTACACCACATTATTCGACTAGTTTCCCTCATTTACGTAACTCATTCCTCGGGGTCTTTCTTAGCACATACCCTGTCATCAACACAAAGAAATGTGCCAATAAACACGTAGAAGAACTTGGCTCCAGTAAACAAATGAACGTGTTTAGTCATACCCATAGGATATACTTTGTCTAGTAATGTCGGACATACCTAACAAGCTAGTTAGTGTTCATGCTCCGATTTACGGAGATCTGCAAGTCTGTCTCTCCATACAGCTGCAAAACCAAGTAATTTAGAAGATTCCATAGCTCTACCTTACTTAAGGTAATTCAGTAATCACAACCTCCGGTCATAATTATAAGAGCTAGTTGACTAATTTGAGGAGATTAAGGAAAGAAATTAAGTTAGTTATTTGTAATAAATAGATATTGTCTTTTTCAAAATATCCTTGCTAGTTAAGTGTATTATTAGCTAGAACTACTATTGTTAGAAGGATTACCTTGAAAAAAAATGTATAAATATGATAGACAAAATAGATTGGAGTCTTATATTCAAGACTAAAATAAAAGTCAAACAATGTCTTATATTAAAGACAGGAGGTAATATAAAACTTGAATGCTCAATGTATCACAATCATACACAAAACATATTCAAACAAAAGCGTATAAATATATCATGCTGGTGATAGCTGCCAGGAAAAACAGAAGAAAAAGAGGGGGAAAGAAAGAATACCTGCGTCTTTAAATCTTTCCAGTTTTGCAGCTATATTCATATTTTGCATCATACTTAGTTCTTGGGCAAGCAAATCAGGACCATCTGCAGGACTGTAGAGGAACACATATCAATGGAACCTTGACAAAAAAGGAAGGCAAAAGCAAGACTCCCAAGACCAAGGTAACTGGCACCGAGAAATGATTATGGCAAAAATAACCCGAGATAATTCTGTAATACCTGTCAAGCAATACATCATAGGGAGACTTTCTATTACGCACTCTTCCCATCCCGTAACCAAGTCTAATGGCATCAGTTAAAACAATTTGTTTGCTTACATATATTGGAGCCTGCAAATATCATATTGCAAATCAAACACGCAGGTCTGACAACACATAAATTAATGCACTAAACTAGCTAGGACTTTAGCAAGATAGGTCCAAACACTACTTCCACCAAAACACACAGGAGACAGAAAATGGGGGACTAGTGATGCAGAATAGAACATAAAGTTTGTGTGCAAAAAGATAGAAAAGTGAAGGACCAGAAGAAGGGAAATCATTAAGGGCAGGAGGAAGAAGCTAAAAAAATTGTGAGTGGTTGTATAAAGAGATCAGCTGAGAAGGATGAAGGGAGAGAAGAATTTTGGTCAGAATTTGGAAGGAGAGAGCCAACCTCCTGAAAGTTGGCAAAATTGTTCCGCTCTTGAAGGTTTTATAAGCAGCATATGCGTTTCTACTGAGGTCTGTAAAGCACAGTATTTGTAATACTCTCCTTCACCTTCTGTATTGTGTTCTGTACTGTAATCCATATTTTCAATGTCAATGTCACTTGTATCATCTATGTTTGGCGTTGTTTAGTATTATGCTTTAGTGAGGTGTTTAATTGCATCCTGAAATAATTTATTTCAGTTCTTCTTTCTTGTCCATGAGTAAATCTGTTCTTCTATGTGGTCATTTTTTACTTGTTCTGGAATCGAGTGTTAGGGGTCCTAACAGAGCATATGAGCTCAAATCTGGTGAGATTTCCTTTCACAATTCATACATGCTTATCGTACATGAGTAGGCCAATCAAAGATGTTATACCTTGCATCTATTTGCAACATTAATGGCATCTGAGGGGCGTGCATCCACACTAACAACGTCACTTCTCCCAGCCTACATAAATTATCAACTTTAATGAGTACCTTAGTAAATAAGAGGGCATAATTTAAAGTTGATTTATCAATAAGAATTGGGAAGTATTTAGAACCTTGCTGAGGTACAATCTAGCAAAGTAAGTACTGACCACTCTCTTTGTAATTCGCACCATTATAACCTGAGGTAGCAAAGAAGCCAAAAAGGAGCAAAGATTCTTAACAAACGAAACCTACAATCAATTTCCATTTGAAAAAAATGATAGTGCATAATAATATTAAAATTCCATCAGTCTCCAAAATAAAGACAAAAATATGGACATCAAATCTTTAAAAGCTTAAACCAAGTAGAATTTATGGTAAGATTACGTAAACGGAACTTGCCAAAGAGATTGCTTATGTGACCACATGGAGAGGATGACAGTTTCTGACATACCCCTACCACATGTTGATGTACTGTAATGATTCTCATACATATATAATGGGGATGGATGTTATCATCTAACCTGATACCCAAGTATCCCTGGTTTAAACAAAGAGAGAGTGCAATGTCACATAAAAATGTCGTAGTATAGCTTATGGATAGAGTAATTCTATGGAAAGCCTCTCAAGACATCGAGTTTTTTTATCATTAGATACCCTTTCAGAATATTGTTTTGCTGGATTAAAAATCAAGGTGTGAATATCAAGATACATATAGAGGTGAAAAGCTCCATCTCTTCAGAGGCAGAGTTCTCCATGGAATTAGCCCCCACACTATTCATTGGTGATATGGTGGGACTGTGGGATATGGAAGTAAAAGTAAACATGCATGTGTGAGAGAGAGGCTTTTTATGATCAAGAAACATTCATATGAGCCAAGAGTTCCAATCAAGAGGTTGTGATGACCTTCAAGCCAAATACAGATCTATTATGAGACAAGATGCTAAAAAGAAGGAAGGGGGCTGATTTCTGTTGCTTCTATTTGCATTATATCAGTCCGTACAATGAAGTATCCAACAGAAAAACATTGGAAAGAGCCAAAAAAAAAAAAAACGATAAAAGGCAATTGATGATAGTTATTGCATCTACATACTTCATGGTCCAGTCTTTCAACAAGATTTTTTACGAACCGATATTGATCTGGGCAATCCTGCAAGATCAAACATTGCATAATGATCAGCCATGAACAAAAAAATAGGACCTCTTTGACAAGAAACCAAAAAAATTACCCCATTTTCATGTTCCACTTCAGCATCCAAGAGTTTTTCAATAGCAAATTTTCCTGCAGTGAAAAAACAGTTGAGATACACATGGCTTGGATTTTCTAGAGACGATGGACACAAATCCTAAAAGGTGAGAAGTGACTGGCGTTGAGTTTTTCTTTGAACGAACCTACAACAATTGGCAGAACATAGTCTCCATCACAAGAAATCTTGAGAAAGATTGTTGGATTCTGGAACCGCTGAAAAAAGGCCTGTCTTATTATATCAGCATCAGTCCTTAGATTTTTTGCTTGGAGAGATACGGGAATAGAACGCATAGAGGAATTCCAATGTAACTTTTCTTGAAATCCATGCCCCAACATCTGATAGTGTGATATTGTTTCTGCGCTAGTTTAAGTAATTAAAATTTCAGGGAGGCATACACATGGATAGACCTAATTTGTCAAAAGAAACTGAGTTACCACAACGCAAATACATAGGAGGTTGCAAATTTATCAATGGGAAAGAATAAAAAGAAATCACAACTATTACCTATGCTAAAGCATTTCCAGAGAATAGGCACCAGGAGAAAAAAATGGATTCAGACATGCACCTGGCTTGGGACCACTGTCGTATATACGCCTTATTCCTCAAACGGTATGGGAGTTTCATTTGACTACACAACTAGAACTAGGCATCGGAAAAAAATTTTATTTCATCTTCCATTAAAGATAGAACCACAAATCACCAGTATGCCTCCAAAAACACCCCCACATTGGCCAATTTCACAATATTGCGACACATAGGAAATCTGACTTAAATAAGAACAGAATAAATACATCTTAAATAAGCATTTCGAACAGCAGAAGGTGTGCTAATGTAGTCTAGAGCTCAAAAGAGTTCATCCAGTTCATAGTAGTTACGTCAGTTGAACATCTTCTCTTTATTTTGACGAAGAAACACTCAAAGATAATACTTAAATAAACAAACACATAATAATTATATTAACATGTCAATCCATCATAACCAGTAGCCATTTTGACGATGGACCTGAAATTTTACTCAAACCGCCAAAATGACTAGCGATCAAAACAAAGCATCACAGAAAAATTTTCAATTTTTCAGAAAAGTAGATCGAAGGAAATAAACGCCCCAGAACAAACAGGGACAGTACCTGAAAGAAGGAGGGAAGCTTCAAGAAATTCATTATCATGATGATCGCCAGAGCTGGATCTGCTACCAGAGGCTCCACGGGAGGAATTACAGGAAATGAGAGTTAATTTGGGACATCGTGAGCGTGTCATTCTTCTGAATCCCAATTTAAACGCGGGGAAGGGAAGAGATGTGGATTCCATTGCAAGTGAGTGCGAAAACGAACGGCTAGTGTTAATCTGATCGGTGTGAGAATCAATTCCAAGGACCGAACGAACGCAGAATCGGGAAGCAAGCATTATAAAGCAGATATATGGCTATGAAGTGGAAACGCAGAAGAACAAGGGGAAGAAACCAACGTCAGATGCCCGGGAAGGAAAAGTTGCAGAAGCGTTCTGCTCTGAGAAGACAGGGTGGCTCATATACTATTTGTTAAATTGCATTTTATGTTTTTATTATTTTGTCTAGCCAACACTTTATCTTCTTAATATCAACTGAGAGCTAAGATGATGGATTGACGATAGGATCGTTGACGAGAGGAAACGAATGGGATACAGTTTTTTTTTTTGGGGGGGGGGGGGGGGGGGGGGGGGGGGGGGCTTTTTTTTAATATAGAATACTATCTCTGATCCTAATTATAAAAGTTATATTATTAATTTGAAGAGATTAAGAAATAAGTTAAGTTAGTTATTTGTAATGAATATGTATTTTTTTTATAAATATCCTTACTAATTAAGTTTATTGATTAGAACTACTATTATTAAAAAGACTATTTTAAAAAATATATAAATATGAAAGACAAAATAGATTAAAATTTATAATTAAAATCAAAATAAAAATCAAATAAAATCTTATATTAAGAAAAAAAATAGTACAAGCCTGCGAGGGAAAGAATTCGTTCCTTATCAGTGACGCTTGATACGGTATTCCTTTCTTGGGCTTACTGACGGACGAGTGACGAGGAAATCTTCTGTCGCTTGCAAAGTTCGCTGCCGTAGACCGTAACTATGCCCATCTTGTCTTGGGTCTTGACGGGGAGGCAAACGATAGTGAATTTTCATCTTCTTTGCGATAGTTTTGATTTGGGTTCAATTTTTGTTAGTTAAAAAGTAATTACAATCTTAGATATGTAACAAATTTGTAAAGCTTCTCAAATATGTCCTTGACAAAAGACAATATTGCATTGATTATAATAAATTAATTCCATATCAAATTTAATTATACATTAGGACAAAATAAGAAAATAAATATTAAATGTTCAAGATATTACTGTCTCATGTTCTAATTATAAGATTTCGTTTATAATCTATAAAAGAAGTTTTATAATTAGAAGTAGAGATAGTATTAAATTAGAATTATATTTTGGATCAAGTCAGCCTAAAAAAAATTATATTATGGACCAAATAAGCATCAATGGTTACCGAGTTTATTCTTTTATTCATGCTAAAAAAGAACGAACAAAGAAAAATATCCTTCGAGGACTGGCACTTGAACTTGAAACAGTTAATACTTGCTCCGTTCAGGCCAAAAAAAAAAAAATACTTGCTCCTTTCGCTTTTAGTGGAATTGTGATTTCGTTTCTGGTAACAAGAAACAATTTGCTTCCACCATCTAAAGCATTTTATTGAAAAGGAAAAAAAGTTGTGCCCAGCTACACATTTAAAACTTCTAACTAAATATAATTTTTGATATTAAAAAAGAGTAAATGTTTATCTCTTGTAGAAAGAGATGGAGTACTTTAGTAGCTTTATCATGTCTTGTAGGAAAATATCTTTAGAATTCTTTTAATTCATTTTTCTTTTTTCTTTAATCCTGATAGAAATCATTTTTCATCATCCGCACATGTTGGCCAATGGCCCCACTGAAACACGAAAAACAACATCCTTACACACGCGCCCCATATGAGGAGCGTTATAACATTGTATCCGTCTTTAATACAAGAGAAAAAATGACAACTTAACTTCAAAATGACCAGAACGTCTTTTGGTCACATGAGACCAAATTGGTATTATTATGTCAAATGAAAAGATCAAATTACCCTTCATTTTAAATATTATTTTTAAAATATTACAGCCCTACTAGCCGGCCGGTCGTTGGAGCTCCGGCGGCGGCAGTCACCGGAGCTCCGGTAATCGGCCGATAATTAGTCACCAGAGCTCTGTAGATCGAAAAAAAAATTTTGAAAATTTTTACAACTTTAGTATAACGGTTAACAATTTTTGTGACGCTATTAACAACTTCAGTATAATAGTTAACAATAGGTTTTCTGAAAAATTCAACAAGCTCTGGCGGCCAGAAACAATATTTTTGAAAATTTTTACAACTTCAGTATAACGGTTAACAACTTTTGTAACGCTATTAACAACTTCAGTATAGCAGTTAACAACAGGTTTTTTGAGAAATTTAACAAGCTTTGGCGGCCAGAAATAAACTTTTTGAAAATTTTTACGATTTCAATATAATAGTTAACAACATTTGTAACATTATTAACAATTTCAATATATCAATTAACAACAGATTTTTCAGAAAATTCAAAAAATAACATTTTTACAATTTCAGTAATGCCGCTAACAAACTCAAAAACTTGTTAACTATTATATCAAAGTTGTTAATAGAATTACAAAAGTTGTTAACCATTATGTTGAAATTGTAAAAATTTTCAAAAAAAAAAGTAGTTGTTAAAGTTATAAAAATGCCATTTTTTCGAATTTTTAAGAAAACCTGTTATTAAATGCTATTCCAAAATTGTTGATAAAGTTACAAAACTTGTTAACGATATTATTGAAGTTGTAAAAATACTACTTTTTGAATTTTTTAAAAAACTTGTTGTTAACTGCTATACTGAAGTTGTTAATAACATTACAAAAATTGTTAACCGTTATATTGAAAGTATAAAAATTTTCAAAAAAAATTGTTTCCAGTCACTAGAGCTCTAGTGACCAATTGTTGAATTTTCTGAAAAACCTGTTATTAACCGCTACACTGAAACTGTTAATAGCGTTACAAAAGTTGTTAACTGTTATACTAAAATTGTAAAAAATTTCAAAAAAATTGTTTCCGGCCGTCGGAGCTCCGACAATCAATTGTTGAATTTCCCGAAAAACCTGTTGCTAACCGTTATATTGAAGTTGCTAATAGCATTACAAAAGTTGTTAACTGTTATAATGAAGTTGTAAAAAAATTTTAAAAAATACCGGAACTCCGGCGACCAATTACTAAATTTCTTGAAAATCATGTTATTAACTGCTATACTAAAGTTGTTAATAACATTACAAAAGTTATTAACCATTATACTGAAGTTGTAAAAATTTTCAAAAAATTATTTCCGGCCACCGGAGCTTGTTGAATTTTCCAGAAAACCTGTTGTTAACTGCTATACTGAAGTTATTAATAGCGTTACAAAAGTTGTTAACCGTTATATTGAAGTTTTAAAAATTTTCAAGAAAATTGTTTTCGGCCGCTAGAACTCCGATGACCAATTATTGAATTTTCCTAAAAAGCTGTTGTTAACTGCTATACTGAAATTGTTAATAGCGTTACAAAAGTTATTAATTGTTATACTGAAGTTGTAAAAATTTTCAAAAAATTTATTTCTGGCCATCGGAGCTTGTTGAATTTTTCAGAAAACCTGTTGTTAACAGTTATACTGAAGTTGTTAATAGCATCACAAAAGTTGTTAACCATTATATTGAAATTGTAAAAATTTTCAAAAAAAAAAATTTCTGACCGACGGAGCTCCGGTGACCAATTGTTGACCGGTCATTTGAGCTCCAGTGACTGTCGCTGCCGAAGCTCCAGCGACCGGCCGGCCAGTGGGGCTGTGATATTTTAAAAACAATATTTAAAATGAAAGGCAATTTGGTCTTTTTATTTGACATGATAATGCCAATTTGGTCTCATGTGACCAAAATGGCATTTTGCAAATTTAGTAGACATTCTGGTCATTCTGAAGTTAAATGGTCATTTTTCTGTCTTTTTTCCTTAATATAACAACTGCCTATTTTTTTTCAAAATAGTTCCCATAGTAATTCCTTATTTTAAAAGTTTCATAAAATAATTTTAGCTAAAAATATGATTAATAAAGATATTTTAGAAAAATAACACCTATTTATTATAAATATCTAATTTAATAATTTTTTTAATTTACTTAAATTAGTCAACTAGTTTTTATAATAGAAAAGAGAACGTTATCATCCCCAAAATCTATATTGACTCGAGATATCAACGACCAATCCAGATAAGGATAAATTAAATTTGCCCCGTTAATTAAAATATCAATTCTCTTTTATAGAAGTTTTCGATTTTATCCAGTGAGATGCACCCCGATTAGCTAAAACAATTCTCTATATACAAAGAACGTGTTACATCCGTTAGGCTTAGGATACTTCTACCTATGATCAAGGAACACCAGTGCGCGCCGCGCTGACTAGGATTACGGTTAAGCAGAAATCTGATCGCCCGGACTCTCAATGAAACAACACAGACCATTGACGGGTAAAATGTATTTAACATTTACTCTTCTAATTCTAAATATAAAACCTTTTTTATAATATAATTTACATTACAAAAATATTCTTATATTTTAGAACCAAAAGAATAATTTGATTTTAAATATAAAATATATTTACTTTTTTTTTTTTTCCAAAATGACTCTTATAATAATAGACCGTATTAAATAATTCATCAAATAATAATTATAACTAAAACATATGATTAGTGAGACTATTTTTTGATGGAAAAAAAAAACATATCTATTATATATAACTAATTTAACAAATAAATACCGAAAATCAAAACCATTGGTTGCAAGCTCAACCCGTAAGAATCAATTTAACCCCGGATTTCCTCCAGGCTGAGTCAGACGCGACAGTCACCGAAGTCGTCATTCAACTCCCCCAATCATCCTGGGTTTGACAAAAGTACATTCAATCCCCTGAAAACCATAATCAGCCTCAATCAAGGTAGGTTGGCAAAGCATGTTATTCTTGAGCAGATTTCTGTAACACCCGGCTCCTTAAAACAGTAATATATGCATATGGAAAGCAAGCATCTAATAAAATCGTTCTGCATAAAAAACAGGTTTTAACACTTCTCCGCATGTCTCTCCCTGAGCTTCCAATTAACTTCAAGATCACCAAACGACAAAAGTCTTGAAACATAATTAACCTACAGATTTCTTTGACCAAAATGATTATATATCACACTTCCTAAGTGCACACTTGAAAAGTCACTGCGGCATAAAACTGAACAAACTTTGCTGGCATGTGGCATCACCTAGACCCCCGAGCGTACTTCCTGTCTGGACTGCCATAAGGAGAATAAGGGAGGGACCTTGATCTATCCCTCCGAGACCTTCCACCATAGGGTGAGTGCCGCAGTGATGAATCCCGACCACCTCGGTATGGTGAGCGCCTTGGAGATCTACGAAAACTATAGTCATCACGACCTGAACCACCACGGTACCTTCCACGATCACCACGATAACCTAGGAGACATCAGAGTGAAATTGAATGAAAAGAATGAACCAGAGAAATCTATAATCTATAATATTTCAAACAAGAAATTACAAAGGCATAGGAGCAATTAATTCAAGTATCTCAAACTTACCATAGTCTCTAGTGCTTTTTAGACCAAGATAGTGCCCAGGCGTAGGAGTTCTAGCCCTTTTCCTCCGTGACTGAAATATAATCCATCATCTAGATATTTAGTTTCGAAGATATAAAAAAACTGTAGATCAAGACATCACTATTAGCACAAATGTGAGTTTGGACCTTATGGCATCCATTTTACAACACATCTTTTGAAGTATTACACATTCAGACACTCCTTTAATGCAGAATTAAGAGTAAGAAGGAGGGGAAGTAAGTCACACAGCAATGGCTAATGAGAAAATAAAACACTTACATTCACGTGTATCTATATGCTAGCCTCCTCACAGATGTGTGGATGTCAGCAATCTCCATATTCATTTATTATTATTAAAAAATATCTAAGTGACACAGCAGGCAGCAAATAAAAGAGCATAATCTCAAAACACAACAAATGCAAGGTCATCTAATTCATTTGTACTAGAAGGACATAACCTATATGCTGGTACATTTAATGTGTCAATTAAAGACAGATGATTTTGGTTCACTGAAAAAATAGTGATGATGCTAACCCTCCACAGAGAAGATAAGTTCTTCCTATTTCCCGTAATGTACATCCACACACTATTAATGCCAGGCATGAGATACCATAAAAGCTTGATTAGAAAGTTGTTGATAATGTCCGTTGATTAGTGGAGAGTTGAAATTGAATGCTGAGGTTGTAAAGTTGTTGGGCACTATAGTTGCTATGTTTAGTTGATCAGACGCATTTGATAAGCTGTTTAAGCTTGCCATTGATCATGATGTTTCAATAAAGTTGACATGGGTGAACTGATCATCTTTGATCGCTGCCAACATAGCTGATGCAATGTATTCTGAATATAACCAGAAAACCTTCAAGTCAAGGAGAAAGTAAAGCAAAATTGCTTTATCGATCACTAATCAAGTGGAAATCCCATTACCTGCTCAACTGTAATATAGCGACCTTCAAGTACAGATTGATTAAGATACTTGATACAGCGGTTTGCATCCTCAACAGTATCCATTGTAACAAAAGCAAAACCACGGGAAATACGGGTCCGAGGCTCCACCACCAGGAAACATGAAGCAACCTACCAGAGAAAACAATCATTGACCATGATTACAGGATTTAAGGCTCACCATTAAAACTGTAACAATTAAGTGATAAAAAAAGATAAACTATGAATATGATAACCACCTTTCCTTCCTTAGAAAAGTGCTCTTCTAGGTCCCTCTCAGTAACCCTTGAAGATAGCCCAGTAACATAGAGAGTATTCCCAGGATTTGTAACGTCAGTCCTGCAACAAAAGAGTCAAAATATGGGAAGCAACGTTATTAAACAAAATCAGTAACACAATAGCAGCTGCTACTGTCGGACTAGAAATCAGGGGGAAAAACAAATTAGAGAAGGGTGTTTGGAACTAACCTTCCATGACTTCTAGAACTTGATCTGAATGAAAAAAGGGTGAGAGAAGGCACAAAAGAAAATGTGTTAGGCTTAAACTGAGGAACTGTATTGCGAGTCACTAACTTGAACTCTCAAATGACAGGACTTTTTAACACAATCACTACTAACCTGCCCCGGCTCCTTGAACGGGACCTTGGCCTGTGTCTTGACCAGGATCTTGACCTCGAACGAGACCTGGACCTAGCCCTAGGCGGAGTCTTTGACCTCGATCTCGATCTTGACTGGGCTCTCCATGGGGACGGAGACCTTGAAGTCCTGATACATTCCGTTATGACAAATCAGAGAACACCTCAATGTGCACGGTTCAAAATGTTTATTGAACAGCTTCATTAACCAGAACCTGAGTGATGTCTTTCTCATATGCAACAAAACTTACGTCTAGTATTAATCTCATCATATTCAAGCGGAAAAAGTTTCAATAAACGCCTTCTCAGGTGTTTCATAACTGTTAAAAAAAATATCCTCAGCGGACCAGTAGCCCCCTAATTCTTCGACAATCAGGCAACCAGGTGATATGCATCCTCCAATTTTAAAATAAATTGGATATAACAATTTAAAAGATTATTGTCATATGAAAAAACCATCAAGAAAATATTTGTTTTAAAAGTGAAGGAGACAAAATGAAGAACACAGCTCTACCAATTAAAAAAGTTTACTAACCAACCAGCAATTAAATTGGGTAAAAATGGCACCATACCGCAAGGAGCGTACCCAGAGAACAATATAGAGAGGAGGGTTCCAGGAAAACGACCATCTCAGCGCAAATAGCTTTTTTTTTTATTTAAGAAAAATGAAAATATACAATCTTACTCCGAACATATTCAACAGGGGGGAACGTCTAATGCTCAACAAATATTCCAATACGAATGCTATGGGGCATACCTTCTGAGAGGAGAATCCGCCTGCAAGGTAATTCGAAAGAAGCGGAGGCAAGCAACAGTACATCAGATGATCTTCTTCTAAACGCGCAGAGCAAATAAGCAGCGAAAAAAAAAAAGTCGCACGAAGATAAAGAGAACTTACCATCTCCGGCAGCGAAGATCAAGAAACCCTAGAGCTGAAGAAGATGAAAAACAAAGATCTAGGGCAAAGGTTGCAGCAAGAAAGCCGCTGGTGCGCCTTCGATTACCTTTCGGGCCTTTTACTTGACTTGTTTTCGAGGTTTTTCCAAGTACATGTCCTAAATTGGATTATACCTCCTATCTTTAATATAAAATATTATTTGATTTTTATTTTAATCATAAATATAAAATCTTAATATATTTTGTCTCTCATATTTATATATATTTTTAAAAATAGTCCTTCTAGTAATAATAATTATAACCAATACACTTAATTAGTAGAGATATTTTAAAAAAGACAATATGTATTTATTACAAATAACTAACTTAATTTCTTTTTTTAATCTCTTCAAATTAGTAAACTAGTTCGTATAACTAAAACCAAAAGTAATACTCCTCCGGTCCTTATTATAGGACCCAATTGTTGAGTTGGTTTTTATCCTAAATATAAGATCCATTTATCATATTTATCAGTTTTTTCTAAATTACCCCTATGAATACTCCCTCAACTATAATCAAATAGAAGAGGGAGATGGAGTATTAAAAAAGATGATTATAGTGTTTTAGGAAAAACGTGTCATATTTCTTATAATTAACTAACTTACCTAACTTTCTTAATCTAATCAAATTAGTTAAATGGGTCTTATATTAAGAATCGGAGGAGTAGTATTTAACCTTTTTTTTTTTTGGTCCTTGACCTTGAAACTTAATTAATTGAGGACTCTAGTCCTTCATTGGCATTTGGCAATAAAAAAACAAAGTATTTGACCAAGGCGCTCTTCTTTACATAAAAGTTGAAAATTTTAGAAGTATAGGAAATGACTTGAAATTAAGCGATTTTATATTTATTCTTTAATGCAAAAAATATTAGAAATCGTTCGATTGGTTTGATAGGCTTAGCCCTATTAGACATATCCATCAGTCTCGGATTCAAAGGAGCAAAAAGCATTTTTACCTCTATTATTTCGCCAGGAATACTAAATACTCCTCCTGTCCTAATTATAAGACCCAATTGACTTATTTGAGGGATTAAGAAAGTAAGTTAAGTTGGTTATTTATAATAAATAAGTGTTGTCATTCCTAAAATATCCTTGCTAATTAAGTATATTGGTTAAAACTATAATTATTAGAAGGATTATCTTGAAAAAAATTACATAAATATAAGAGACAAAATGGATTGGGGTCTTATAATTAGGACCAAATAAAAAGTCAAATGAGGTCTTATAATAAGGACCGGAGGAGTAACATTTATTTATTGGTAGCATATTAATTCCGATCAACAATCAATTAGCAATGTTGTTACATGTTATCATGCCCATCAATTAGAACTAATTGTCAACATAAAAAAAATAAATGCTATGAACTCATTGGTTTAAAAAGATATTTGGATGAAAACCAATTCATAATTTTAAAAATAATTTTACCATATACAAAATAAATATGTGAGAAAGGTTTTATTTCGATTTATATAAAAATATTTTTAAAAAATACATTTAGGAGAAACCAAACACCTCCTAAAAAAAAGTTTGCCACTATATTGGCAAGTTATAAGCTTGGGGAGTGTTTGGGAACATTCAAAAACACTTAAAAAATATTTTTTACATAAATAAAAAAACATTATCTTGTATACATATTTAAAAATTCATAAAATTACTTCTAAAAGTCAATTCAAACACTATCTAAGTAGTAAATACCTATATGAACTATAATAATTTAGATGGTTATTATTCGTGATAGTACCATTATTTGATCATTAATATAAATTGATAAATTTTTTTAAAAGATAATTGGTCATAGCTAGTTTTATTATAATGCATTTAACGCTCTAAAATATTTTTTTTTCAATATCACTCAATATCTTAAATTTAGGGGACTTGTTGATATTGAAAAAAAAATACCTTAAAGACAAAATTACACACAGAACTATTATGGAATATCGGATGCTAAAAAAAATACCATGCATCAAATAATTTAAAATGCTGAGTGTTAGTGAAAAATAAGTGCTAGATGCAAACTAAAAGGAGATAAAAAAAAAGAAAAAAAAAAATCTTTTGGTTCCTATAGTTTTAACACATTTGTAACTCAATCCCTATACTGTGACGCGATCCAACTTAATTTTTATAGCTTTAATTTGGTTATAACTCATTTATTGAAATTTGACTTGCTGCAACTCGATTCCTATAGCTTTACGTGTTTTATAATTTAGTCCTTGTATTTTTTAACAATGAAATTACATATCTAATTTAAAAAAAAGGGACTAAATTATAATTTAGTGCTCATGTATTTTAAAACTGAAATTATATATCTAATAAAAATGGGACTAAATTACAAAATGGTTAAAAATATACAAACCGAATTACAATGAGTCAAATTTCAAAAACTGAGTTGTAATTGAATCAAAATTATAAGAACCATATTGCATTTAGTCAAACTATAGGGATTGAGTTACAAATGTGTCGAAAACTATAAGCACCAAAAGATTAATCAATCTTAAAAAAAATAAAATGAAAAATGCTGAGAAATTGGCTTCCAGGCAACACCCTTCACATTTACATTCTCGTCATGCCTGTTCCGCTGGACCCTCGTTAACGCAGAGAGGCTGCAATACGTTAATTGAGCTTGAACTTCGAGAAAGATATCAACTTTAAAATGGGCATACTAAAATAACAGAGGTATTTGAGTGAATGGAGTCAGTTCCTCTAATACTACCTCCGGTAGTAATTATAAGATCTTATTTATAATTTACAAACAAGGTTTTATAACTAGAATTAGAAGTAGTGTGACAAATAAAATCTTATAATTAAGATGAAAGGTAGTATAATATTAAATGTGCTTGGTTTTACCTTCGGCCGGAGTCTCGTCCAAAGAATTCAAATAATTCTACAAGAGACGGATGGAAACGAATTTAATTTCATCAACAAATGATAAATTGATAAATTCAGAGCCTTCATGCAAGGGAGATCATTTTTCCTTTGTAGGATATAAACAGAGAATACTGTTGCGGCCTCTGGTAACAATCGGCATCTCTTCATCTTCAAAATTTACACGTCACTTGGCCAATCAGAGAGTTCCGAAAAATAAACACATTATTCTAATTTCTTTTTCCTTCCTCCGTCAGTCTGAGGGAACTCCACTTGTCACAACCTTAACCAGACCTCTCATAAACGTTGGCCAAGAAGAAGCAGATTTTAATAAAAACGAACTCAAGAGATTACGTTGTTAGGATATCCGGAATTGTCTGGGAATGGGCCCCCAGTACTCTACCGCCAACGTCCAGGAAATTCTCATGTCCGGGTAGGGAGCTTACATTCCCATCAGCATCTACCTGTACAGGATACTTAAGCAAATGCCCCTGCAGCTGTGAGAAGTTCTCAGAAGTGAACTTGCTCCAGTTTTCGTTAGCAATTTCATTCACTTTCTTCACACACTCCAAACTCTCTGGTTCCTTGAAACATGTGTCTATGACCTCAAGCCCAAGATGCTCACTCCACAGTGACATTCTGTAACCATAAATCTGTAGGCACAGAAACATCATCACATTCAACCATCTTATGCAATACATGGAATATCAGGCGGTAAGGCAAAGAAGATGCTAAGTTCACCATTGTGGTATCAAGACACCTTTGTCTACAGACATAAAAAGATAAGAGAGGGTACCTAAAAAAATGCATCCACCAATAATGCCAATGGTGTGAGCAAATATTGTTAAAAATAGGGAGAATATAATAATTTGGTAAGAGATGAATGTGATCTCCCATTCACCAGTGTGCTGCTCTCCGCGTCAATATGATGTGAGTAGTATATGAAGTCCCCGTTTAGATTAGCTATAGAGAAGTGACTTTGCACTATACAAAGTAAATATATTAGAGGAATTGTCTCCTACAATGCAAAAGCACTTGGTAGACCTAATGGAACACAGACTATCAACAATGGGAAAAGGGTGAGGGACATCCAAGAATAGGTGAAAGAGCCCTCGATACAAACGACAAAAAAGGATGAGATCAATGGAATCAAGTGAAAAGATAGACAAGAGTTATATTACAAAGGAGAAAAATAGCAACATATGATGAAGGTTCTTATTTGCCTATTTTTCCCACAGAGGTTCCAAATTCAGCTGTGAGAATGTCTAGTTGGATCACAAAGGAGGAAATGTATACACCAGCAAGCAAAAGGAAGTTTGAATCAGCACAAAAAGATTCAATGGAAGAATTAATGCAGCAGAGACAAAAAATGGGAGTGTTAAAGAATATCAAAAAGCTTTATATTACCTTTCCTGCAAACTAAGGTTGCCTGAAGATCAATTGATTGATCATTTTACGGCTGGATTTAAGGAATATATAAAAATGTGAGATTATTCAGATCAAGAACATTATTGGATGCTGAGAATTGCGAAGCTCCAGGGACATAGAATCAAGAATTGGTTCTTGGAAGGATGAGATGCACAAGAAGCAAGAAAAGCAGAATTTAACAAGAACCCAATAGTTAGAAATTTAACAACCAAGAAAAGCAGAATTTATCAATGGAATTCTTGACAGTAATTAGAAAAAAAGAAAAAGGCCAAGCAAGTAACAATGGTGGATTGGAAGCAGATCAATATCCAGCAACGGAAGAAAATAAAGAAGGTAAGAAGGAGATAGAATCAGAACCAATTCCAAGGTTTCCGTTCCAAAGCATACAAGAGGCAAATGGTACCACAACAATAAGGGTACAGATCCCTATAGAGGTGGTCATCCAAATTTTAATACATAATGACAGCAGCCATGGTTTCTTGGACTCCCAAAGGATTAAGAAGTTTGGGCGGCCATTGAAGAAATTAGAAGTATAAGGAGCAGAAGTGACAAAGTAAAATGACCATTCAGGGAGTTTGTAAGGGGTCCAAAGGAAAGAAGAAAGACACAGAATTTAATAATGACTCGTCATTCTTTTCCATGGGTAGGGTAGAAATTTTCAAATACAAGAATCAAAATCAACAGGTTATGTATTGGACTTCTCTGAACTTGCTAAGCAGTTTTAGTATAGAGGGAAGTTGGTGAAGATGCTACTTGCGGACCACTTTTATGAATTTCAATGAATGTAATCTATGTTTTGTTTTAGTGATGGTCACCCTTGAGGGCAAGGGTTTTCAGGGATGAGTATCAATATGAATAATAGATGAGAAGAGAATTTAGTTAGAAAGTTACTTGGGTACTTGGCTGTTGTTTGCCTAACCACTTTCCGTATATTTACAAGTGTTCAAGATGTGAGGATGATAAGTATATCGGTTAATGAAGACTATTTTCGTATAAATCCATATGACAATGAAATATAACTGAATAAACAAAAATTCTCATATCAGATGATATTCTGCAAGAAGAAAAAAAGCCGTAGCAAAGATGAAAACCTGTCCAGAGGGATGTCTTTTCCTTGCAGACCAAGTGTGGTGAGGTTGGTATGCGCCCATTGCTATCTCTGTATCTTTTGTACCAGCCATAGATCTTTGGTTTATATTAGCAGATCCCACTATCACATACTCATCGTCAATGATCATCCCCTTAGCATGCACATAAATCATAAATCGACCATACTTATGTGAATCGGTGACCTGACAAGAATTACCAGGACATAAATCATAAATGAATTCTTGATGACTGTCACCAAGTTTATATGGAAATAACCAAGACATGCACACAGCTTTGCACAAACCTTTCTTTTCTTTCATTTTTTTGACCAGAAAAGCACAGAACTTTCATTGAAATAAAGCACGACCTAATGCATTGTAAATATAATTTTTCATGATGTTCACTCCAACAGGAGGACTTCTTATTTATTTCTATTTATGGAGAAAGGCAAAGGCTTGCACTATAAAAATAGAGAATATCATATCAACTACACATCTTCCTTTCCATAATTAGGACGGTTTACAGTTGAAAATAGATGGATTTCGGTAACAATTTCGTTTCTTTTCTTTTGTTTCTTCTTCTTATTATTTATCTATATCTATATATATATTGCTAGTTAGCCACAGGATGTATTCTTGTAGCCAAGCCTACTGAAAACTGGCGTTCCATAAAAAGAAAGCAAAGATAGCAGCCTTTTATTGAGAAAAACTATATAAACTAACTTTTACACAACTATCTGATATCTAGTATTACCAAATAAATTCCAATACTGTTAAACTCAAATGAAAGTAACTCTTCCCATGTGATTTTTCCTATTCAAAAAATTTGAGCCATCAACCTTTCTTAAGGAAAATTGAAATACTTTCACTTGATTCAACCACTGTTAGTACTAAGTATCATTGTTTACTATTTTTTCTAAAGCCCAGGGTGCAAGAAAGGAGATAAAATAAAGTAGAGATATCTGAGCTCATTTCAGCTTGTAAATTTGCCAATGCTAAACACTAGGTCATTATCATTAAATTGACAAGAGAAGGATGTAACTTAGAGCATGCTGCCACTAGATGACCAAAATACAGAAATACATAAAATATAACTTCTTACTCCAAGTGACCACGCACAATTTTTAATGTGTTAATGAACTGCATCTGAAGGAGTAAAAAACCACTGTATACTTAGCCTAAGGCAAGAACAAGATGAACAGTTTCTTTAATATATACTTACAGCAACACCATTTGAGTTCAAGGCATCTTCATGAAATTCCTCCCGATTACCAAGGCAATAGAAGTTGAGGTAATCTTGTGGATGCAAGTCAGTAAATTGCATTGATTTCAATTCTTCAGCCACAACCTTATACATCGCCTGCAATGTCTGGCCCTATAAAAGATACAGCAAAGACAAGACCTAACCGCTTAATTTGGCTACTTTTTCTAAGTCTGAAGCAAGTGACTTCAGTTTCATGCACTGCGGAAAGTGGGTTCCATCAATAAAAAAGTTTCTAAATTTTACATCCCACAGTCATATTACCTGCCAAAACAGAATTTCTTGCACAGTTGCGGAATTAGGATCACCTTCTGGCCACATTGGTAAAACAATATACACGGCAAATCTTTCCTTAGCTCTGATTTTATTAGCAATTTTCAGCGCCAATTCCATTGGGATAAGATTATCAGCTCCTGTGCACAGATTCTCATGTAACATTAAAATATCCAGGATAAAACAAAAGAAATTATAATTCAGGACTTTGTTGTTTAACTTTTCTTTATTATTTATTTTTCACAAAATAATCTAGCGATCGAGGCACTAAAAAAGTGATATATAATGAGAACTTAAGCAACAAGTCAATCAACAAGTTAAGTTAATAATTCGACTCTTATTATTTTTCAGTTAGAGTTGGACCAAATTTGCACTCCATGCCAACGAAAAAACCTGTGGGTTTGTGAATAATAATTCTTATTAATCTCATCAGAATGGTACAGCGGAATAAATAGGAAAAACCTGAATACATGAGAGGGTAGAGAGAGAAGAATCTAGAGAGATCCTAGCCGAAATAGTAGGAGAATCAGAAATCAAAATTCAAAATATACTAAATCCCTAAATAAGCTCTCTAATTGCGGCAGACTAGATAACTAGGTTAACTAGGTCTAAACCTAGGGTTAAGTCTAGGGTTTTGGGCCCAAAGCCCATTAGAGTTCGGCGCTAACACTCCCCCTCAAGCTGGTGAGTAGATATCCTTCATGCCCAGCTTGCTTCTGAAGAACTCAAACTGACCTCGATCAAGTGGTTTAGTGAGAACATCGGCCACTTGTAACTTTGATCTTATAAAACTCAAATCAATTATCTTTGCTTCAACCTTTTCCTTTATGAAGTGTCGGTCAATGTCCACACGTTTGGTTCTATCGTGATGGACTGGGTTGTGGACCATTTGCAAAGCTGATTTGCTATCACACCATAACTTCATAGGTGAGTCTGTAGTAATCTTCAATTCTGTTAAAACTCGAGTTAGCCATATTCCTTCACACACTCCATTTGCTAGGGCCCTTAGTTCTGCTTCAGCACTACTTCTTGATACAACAGTCTGCTTCTTGCTTCTCCATGTCACTAAGTTACCCCAAACAAATGTAAAGTAGCCTCCTGTGGATCTTCTATCAACTAGATCTCTTCCATGGTTTGCATCTGTATAAACTACAATATCTCTTGCTGCTCCTTTTGTGAAGAAAATTCCCCTTCCTGGTGTCAACTTCAAGTATCTCAGTATGGTGTATATTGCTTCCATATGCTGTTCTTGTGGTTTTGATGCAAATTGACTAACCACTCCTACAGCATAGCTTATATCAGGTCTAGTATGAGATAGATAAATTAGTTTCCCAACTAGCCTTTTGTACCTTTCAGCATCTACAGGTACTCCATCCTTCTTGTACTCTAGGTTGGCTGATGAATCCATAGGAGTAGAGGATGGTTTTGCTCCAAGCATTCCAGTTTCTTTAAGCAAGTCAAGAGTATATTTTCTCTGAGATACAGAAATCCCCTCTTTTGACCGAGCAACCTCCATTCCCAGAAAATATCTAAGATTGCCAAGATCTTTTACTTCAAATGCAGTTGCCAATGCTTTCTTGAGTTGTTTGATTTCCTCCAAATCATCTCCTGTCACCACTATGTCGTCTACATACACAATTAGAATAGACACTTTGCTTCCTGAGTGCTTCACAAAAAGTGTATGATCTGCCTGACAATGAGTGTAGCCCGAGTCTTTTACCACCTTAGTAAATCGCTCAAACCAGGCCCTAGGAGACTGCTTCAACCCATATAAGGATTTGTGTAGTTTACATGCCAGATTTTTACTCCCAAATTCTACAACTCCTTCTGGAATTTTCATGTATACCTCCTCCTCAAGGTCTCCATTTAGGAAGGCATTCTTCACATCTAATTGGTATAGAGGCCATTCGAGATTTGCAGCTAAGGATAATAAAATCCTTATTGTATTTAGTTTTGCTACTGGGACAAATGTTTCTTGGTAGTCAATACCTTGTGTTTGTGATTGTGAGTAGCCCTTTGCTACAAGCCGGACTTTGAATTTGTTCACAGTACCATCAGAATTATACTTGATAGTAAACACCCATTTGCACCCAACAGCCTTTTTTCTTGTGGGTAACTTTTCTACAGTCCATGTTTGATTCTTCAATAGAGCTTCTAACTCCTCCTTAATAGCCTCTCGCCATCTTGGATCACTGTATGCCTCTTCAAATGTTGATGGAATTTTCTCCTCATCAATTTTAGTCACAAAACCTTTCATATCAGTAGATAAATGGTCATAAGAGACATAACGACCTATAGGATGTAGAGTACATTGCCTTACCCCCTTTCTCAAAGCAATTGGCCATCCTGTGTCATCAGATTCTGGAGTTTGGGTGGACTCCTGGCTTTGCTGTGAGCTAGAAGGATCTCTATTACTTGGTGATTGCACATCTCTATCCTCTTCGTCGTCTTCTTCTTCTTCTTCCTCACTAATTTCTCTGTTATGACCAGTTTCAGGGCTGTCTATTCTGGTTTCCAGGGTACGTTCTGTAATAGGGGTAGGTATGTTGTCAGGTTCAATTTCTGGTACAGTTTCAGGGTCGTGTGAGACGGTTTCTGGGCTGTGTGAGGTGGTTTCTGGACTTTGTGAGGTGGCTTCTGGGCTGTGTGAGGTGGTTTCTGGGCTGTCTGTTTGGTAGTGGGTTGAAACAGGTTGGTTTGCAGTGTCTAAAAGCTCCCATTCACTCCTGTTCTCCCCCTGAATGGGAGATTTCGGGTAGTAGGATTGGTGTTCATCAAAGGTTACATCTAGGTTAACAAAAAATTTCCTAAGCGTAGGAGAATAGCACTTGTATCCCTTTTGAGAGGTGGAGTAACCAAGGAAGATACATTTTATAGCTCTAGGTTCAAACTTGCTCTCGGTAGACATATGAACATAGGATACACACCCAAAGACTTTTGGTTGAATATGGGAGGTGAGGTTGGCATGTGGATATAAATTACTGAGTAGGCTCATGGGAGTTTGGAAATCCAGGATTTTGGATGGTACTCTATTGATAAGGTGGGTAGCAGTAAGTACTGCCTCTCCCCAAAAATGATTTGGGACATGGTGGGTTAGCATAATGGCACGAGTAATGTCAAGTAGGTGTCTATTTTTGCGTTTTGCGGTACCGTTTTGCTGTGGGGTATTGACACAACTAGTTTGATGAAGAATCCCATGGTCTTTCAGGTAAGATTGTAATGTGTTACTCACATATTCCCTCCCATTATCACTCCTCAGGGTTCGGATCTAGGTTTGAAATTGTGTGGACACCATTTTGTGAAATGAAATGAATGTAGATGCAAGATCTGATTTTTCTTTCATAAGGTATACCCAGGTAACCCTTGTATGATCATCTATGAAGGTTACAAACCACTTGGCATTTGTCATGGAAGTTATACGAGCTGGCCCCCAAATATCACTATGGATCAAGTTAAAGGGTTGAGATAGCTTGTGAGGATTACTTTTATAGGATGCTCTTGTGTGTTTGGCTAATTGACAAATTTCACAAGTCAAATGAAAGGAGCTTTTATTGAATTGAGGAAAAAGTTTGAACATATAATTGAAATTGGGATGGCCTAACCTATAATGCTACAACAATAGGTCTTTATTAGACAGAACACTAGTGAAAGCAGAAATGATCTTTGTGCTGGATAGAGCATAGTTCTTCTGTTTGGTGGTTTCCAAGCAATAGAGACCTTCTACGATCTTAGCTGTGCCAATCGTCTCCTTCCACTCCAGATCCTGAAAAACACAAACAGTAGCAGAAAAATACACATTACATTTCTGGCTTTCAGTTATAGTTCGAACAGAGAGGAGACTACAATTTAAATCAGGAGCATAGAAAACATTATACAGGATCAATTTTTCATTTATGTATGATGTCCCAAAACCTATTACTTTGACAATTTTCCCATCAGCCACACTGATGTGAATATTCAATGTACAAGGTCTTATATCAGTCGACAAGGCTGCATTACCAGTCATGTGGTCTGTTGCTCCTGAATCTACAATCCATAAGTCCTGACGATGCACATCAGTTTTTAAGGCTAGGATTGTTTTACCTGTGTGAGCAATGTATCCTGATGATATAGACTTCCCTTTAAATTTGTGTTTCTCCAGTATTCTCTTGAGTAGTTCAACTTCCTCTCTATTCAATTCAGTTGCTGGTTCAAGAGTACTTTCAACAGTTCCAATGTAACCTTTGTTCTCCTACTTCCCTCCTTTTTTAGGTTTACCGTGTAGTTTCCAGCATACCTCTCGTGTATGGCCTTTCTTTTTGCAATGATCACACCACCTTCCTGATTTAGGTTTGTCCTCCTCTTTGGAGGTGTCACGTGAGAAGAGAGCATTAGGTTGAGATTCTGCCAGGTTTATGCCTTCATTTATGGTGAGTTTCTTTCTGGATTCTTCACTCCTTACCATGAAGAATACTTCTCTCAAGGGGGGCAGATTTTCTAGACTCATAATTCTGCCTCTTACATCCTCGAATGCTGCATCCAGACCTAAGAGGAACTTAAAAATCCTCTTTTCTTCTTTTATTTTTTCATATAGGGCAGCATCCCCTGAACACTTCCACTCATAGGTGTCATACATGTCAAGCTGTTGCCACTTAACAAACAAGTTAGTGTAATACTGGGTTACAGAAAGATTACCCTTCTTAAAATTGTGAAGAAAACTTTCAAGTTCCAGAATTGCGGATTGGTTTTTGAGGGAAGTGAACATATCTTTTGCTGCTTCCCACACCTCCTGAGCCGTTTGGAAGAAGGAAAAATGACAACTAATTTCTATAGTCATTGAATTGATTAGCCATGCCTGAACCATGGAGTTTTCGACTTCCCATGCTGCATATTTCTGGTCTGTTACTTCTGGTTTCTTTATGGAACCCGTGAGATAGCCAAATTTGCCCTTTCCCATTATAAACAAGCGTACACTTGCAGCCCACTGGATGTAGTTTTGTCCATTGAGTCTATGAATAGTAATAGACACAGGGCTTGCTTCTGTCGCAGGTTTAGTTGCTGAGGGCGCCGAGGTTGCTGCTAACCCTAGAGGATTAGTCATTGACTGCTGCATTTCATCAGCTTCTTGTATTGAGCCGAAAATGACCATGGCTCTGATACCATGTGGGTTTGTGAATAATAATTCTTATTAATCTCATCAGAATGGTACAGCGGAATAAATAGGAAAAACCTGAATACATGAGAGGGTAGAGAGAGAAGAATCTAGAGAGATCCTAGCCGAAATAGTAGGAGAATCAGAAATCAAAATTCAAAATATACTAAATCCCTAAATAAGCTCTCTAATTGCGGCAGACTAGATAACTAGGTTAACTAGGTCTAAACCTAGGGTTAAGTCTAGGGTTTTGGGCCCAAAGCCCATTAGAGTTCGGCGCTAACAAAACCCTTCGTAGAACAAATGGTGGTTGGGTCGAATCAAGGAGACTCAAGAACCCTTAAATAAAGTTGAGGCCTTCAGGGTTCAAATCTTATAGATAGAAGCCACTTCAGGAGATTTACCCCTTATTTAGGCCTAACAATGCTCAAATGTACATTAGTTGCTCGTATAAGATGCACAATCATTGTAATTGAGAGAGAGAGAGAGAGAGAGAGAACAGGCTGAACAAGGCATAGATTTCAAAGCAACTTCTAATCGTGATTCATCAGAAGTATAATCAGGTTCAGCATCTATCATAAGTTATGCAAAAGCCAGGTTGCATTTGCAGATACAATACTAATTTTCACAAGGTTCAATGTGCTCACATGTCATATCATGTCCCTTTTTGCCAGAGAAAATAAACCACTCACCAAAATATAAACCTTAAGAAGCATTTTATAAAACTTAGAGACTGACCTGCATCTTTATAAGATGGCCATGCATACGATGATCCAATAAAATATTGGTTTTCTATGTAAATAAAATGTTGAGCAGATCTGATTGCCTGGATGTATGCTGTTTGAATACTTTTATCTATTACCAAATTTTTAGCGCAGGTAAGATTCTGCATTCAAAAAATACCATTAAAAACTGTGAAATATGACCAAATGATGGAGTATATAAACTGTTGACAGTAATTGATGGTTCTTGATTGCAACAGGCAGTTTAAAGTTAGTTTGTGTCAGCATAGAGTTCACCGAACACAAAGGATAAGATGAATTGAAAAGGAAAAAAGAAGGTTAAAAAAACCTGGGACTGGGCAGCATGAACATTTTTTGGAAACCCTTTCAGGGACCCTGACTCAATGGAACGGAAGATCTGGAAGGTCATATACAGCCCAATAAGGTTAAAAAAACAATGACATGGAATGAAAGATATCCAAAAAAACAAAATACAATTGCATGCCAGAAATATAAAACACCAAACTTGAATTGGCCAACCTGAACATGCCAGTTTTCAGGATCATCCTCGCTGGAAACCCACACTGTAGGGTCATCTCCAGGTACGACGGTGCTACCATCCTTTGAGGGATGCACGGAAGGACTTAATATCCACGATATACGATCTACTTTTATTAAAGCATCCTCATGCCAGTGAGAAGCCTTTTTGACAAGCATTGCAAACTCTTTCCACTTAGTTGCCGTTCTCCAACGCTGCTCAAAATTAATGAGAACATCATATGCAGCAGGGCCATCAATTCTGCAGTGCAAATCATGCCATGGTTGCCTCGGAGCCCTCTTTCCAGCCTATCACAAACAATATGCAAGTTAGTCACGAAAAATCAGATGAAATATCATTTTAAGAGGAAAAAAAGAAAAATCTTAATAGGAAGCTTCAACATACTTTGGTGGGGAAAATATAGGATAATGAAGAATCTAAAACTGAAACAACATTTTCATGCAATTTTAATGGGGTTCATTTTAATGGGGTTCTCAATAAATTACTAGTACGTCCATATGGCTTAATAAACTAATATGTCCATATGGGCTGAGAGCTTACAGGAAATGTAGGGTTGTGAAAATCCCCCTTAAATACAGTATCAAGACCACGAAAAAGTCTATGCTCAGGTGTGTCATAGCGGCCATCACATAAATCAAGCCCTCCTAAAAAAGCAGTTATTTTCCTATCATTACCGGAGGCCTGTGTGTCCACAATAACACATTTTTGGTGATGGGTGAAGACAGTTCCAACAACCTGCACTTGAAACACCACGCAAACAATTACACTGACTTATTTTCTTAAAAGACTAAAGTTTTCAAAGATCAGACCAAATATAGAGCCTCTGACTGTGCTGAAAATTAGCTCATAAAGAATCAGATGACAATCTACAAGAGATGTATCAATTCTAAAAAACTACTATTTGAATCACTGAATACAGAAACTACTACTTACCCGTTGCTTTATAATGCTCAACTTGCTGCTAGCATAACGAGGTGCTAACACACACATAACGGAAGAATGTTTAAAGAACTTTTTGGTTTCTTCATCATGTGTCTGCATCACTCCGGCCTGCCCCAAAACAAAAGCACAATTTCTCAAATTTCAACCAGCAAATAAAAGAAACAAGTTGATGATTACCCTAAATAAACAAAGGCGCTCAAACGTTAAAATGGCTCCCAGTCTCACCGATTTGAAGAACAACTTATCGTGGGAAGTTTTATCATCCCAAACCAGTAACAGAACACGAACCCCTTCTTCAGACTTGTATCGGAGCAATTCACCAAGAGTTAAATCTCCACCTCGTGGCAATGGTCTGGAGGGCTCCCTAATCAGTTTCACCTTGTGGTAGATTGACCAGCCCACGATATATACCATATGATGAGCCTCAGATATAGCATAACAAATATCTTCCCAACATTTTTCATGCTTATAAACCTTCCCTCCCTCTAGCTCAATCTTAGGTAGCATCCCTTCAGGAACATGGGCATCTTGGTACAGTCTCACGGAGCTAGCTTTCCGCAACGGAAAATACGCGTGTCTCACACCCTTGTGCTCGGGATCGTTCGCGATGCCGCGAAGATACAGCGGGTTCTTCTCAACTGGCGTGAACTTCATTTCAATATAAAGCGCAGTTTCGCTTTTGGGTGGCTTACCGGAGGATCCAAGAATTGGAAACCACCCAGTAATACGTTCACCGGAGGCAATCCCCTGCGCCGGAATTTTAACAGTTCCCACGAGTTGCGCACCAAAAATGTCGTCATCTTTCACGCGGAATTCCAAATCTATGACGGGGTGTGCCAGGGGGATGTTGAAGTGCTCGTTCCAGCAAGGGTTTTGGGAATTCTTTATGACACGTGTACGGGCAACAGTGGCCTGTGGGACAGTAACCGTGACATAAGGGTCGCTGGTAATGATTTTTTTATGTTGGTGAGTTTTGCGGTGGCCTCGGTCGCCCGCTGCAGCAGCGGGATCGGATGAACGGAATTTGATAGTATCGCATCCAGTGACGCAACGGCGGAAGTGCTCAGACACAGCGTCCATATTGGGCAACATTCGGGCCTCGATAATGTCCAAGTCCAAATCTCCGTGAAGATAGATCCTCTCGCCGGAAACGTCGTCAGCCATTGCGTCCCAAGAACTGTATTCCGAGCCAAGAGTATTCTTTAGTACTCAGAATGTAATGAAAATGGAGAAGGGAAATAAAGAGGCGAAAGCAAAGTATATGACTAAAGGTTGCTTGCTTGAAGCTAAGTCAGGATGAAAAAGACGTCGCCGTCGTGGGGTTGGCCAGAGGCTTCCTTGTTGCACTGAGCTTCTGTCTCGCTGGCTGTGAGTGGCGCCACAGAGGCGATCCCTGGATTTGTTTGTTATTTTTCAATTATATTGAACTTTGGCAATGTTGCTTGGGGCTTTGTACGTGAATTAATGATTAATAAATTGCTCATAATAATAACTTGGAAGAAAAGGGGGAGAAAAGACGTTTCACCCCAAAAAATATCCAGCGGATACAGATTCAGACAGATGCGACGTGGAGCCGCAAGGGAAAATGGATAAGAAGAGGAGAAGCTACCCGTTTTCAAATTTTTTTTGTCTGTTTTTGGATGGGATGCTTTGCCCATGAGAGCAAAAACATTAGAACAAAAGCAGAAATGACGAATTAGAAGAGATTCCAAGTAAATATGCTCTCATCTCGGGCCCAAAAAAAAAAAAGAAGTAAATATGCTCTCATCGTATCCCCCATTGAGTGCTAGTAAGCATAAGCATTATGGGGCCCCTGTGTGAAGTAATAAAAGTGTAATTAAAACAACGAAAGTTTTCAATGATTTCTAAATTAGTTGCATTGATTGCTTTTCTCTATCTATACTGAACACTCGCCTCTGATTATTATTTAACCTTAACCGTATTTCTTAAAACAGCATAAATGACTTGATTTGCCGTGGGAGTTTGCAGCGGCGAGCAACTGAGAATATGCGATCCTTTGAGGGCTGAGCCAGGCGAAATGTGAAAATGAACTTTATTGGGTGGAAGGGCCACAGTAAAAGGAAACACGTGTGGGGGAGTTGAAGGTTGGAAGGGATTCCTAGCGATCCCAACCATTTTGTTCGCGTCCTATGCTCCCCACATCTATATTACCGAATCGTATCCAATCCACCTCAGTTTCTTTTCTTTGTTTTTCTTTTTCCGCGCCATACCCCGACACACGCCCTGGGCCAACTATACGAGGTTTGCTTTCCATTTGGGAGTATTTAGAAACATCCAAAAATATTTTTTAGAAGTATTTTTTTTTGTAAAATAAGACAAACTCTTTTATATATTTATTTTGTATGTCGTAAAAATATTTTTAAAATAATAATTTTGATTCCATCCAAACACTATCTTCTTTTTAAGTTTTAGATAGGGAAAATCCCAAAAAATTGATTGTTGAATTTCAAAATTCCAAATAATAAATTATTATAAAAATATATTGTCATTTGCTTTTTGAATGTAGTTATTTTTTTTTATGAGTATAGTAACCAATACTGATTTGAAATTTTAAAATTCAACCATCATTTTTTGAGGATTTTCCCTTTTAGATACTGAAGCCAGCAAAACAAAACAAAAACGGTGATATATATATATATAATTGCAAAGGTGAAGCCAATCCATATTTCCAGTTTCTCTCCCTAATTAGATTGTCACCGTACACTCTCATGATTTATCTCATTCACTCGTTATTCTTCACTTTTTCATCTCTTTATTTGTTAAGTTAATGTATATTAACTTTACGAGAGGTCACAACCAAACTCACCCAAACCCAGAGACCAGCCACTGTTATTCCTGTACTATGTTAACCACTCCTCGATGATTATAGAGGTGGGCAAAGAAAAACTTTTCCCCATCGGGGACTGTACTGCACAACTTACATGGCCCGTGGGGTAGCCAGAAAATCTGCCTTCGAAAGTGGAAATTGAAATACTCCTCCGACTCTGAATGTAAGACTCTTATACTAGTGTGTATAAGGGTCTTACATTTAGGACCAGAGGAGTAGCATATTTTCTATCGGTGTGCATGTCTGGTAGGTCGAACCATGCTTCCCATGTACAAGGGAAGACGCTCTCCCTCCACTAACCGCGAAGGAAAAGTTGCTCCAGCGTTGGAAGGAAAAAGGCCTCAAAAGTCGAAAATGTCCACCATCTCCTCTGAACTCTCACCCTCCTTGTTCGCCCCACGTCTCTGGTTGGAGCGTCATTCTCCTGTCACCCACTCTCCAACAACCCTCACTCCTCTGATCATCTCCCTTACCCTTCTCTTATCTGATCTATCTATCCATCTCATCTGCGATCTATTTCTCCCCTCTATTTCTTTCTCATTTTCCTCTTTACCCTAATCGTATATTGGAATTTTTTTATTTCTGAGAATTTTACTAATAAATGCAGCTTATCCCTGCTTCTCTTGAATGTTGAGCGGTGGTGATGAATAAGGAAGAAGACGGAAGGAATGCTTTGTTAATAGATAATAGTAGACTTGGCATTTCATACTTGATTTTTTTTTTTTAACTTTAATTTTATTTTCTCTAATTCTTATTGTGCCTTCCATTATTTTGCCTACATTTCTGCGGCTAGAAATTTTCTCTTCCCTTCCCCCATCTCCCATCAAAATATATCTTTTTTGCTAAATGGGTTCTTATACTTCTGATTACAGGTAGATTTCTCTGTTTCTTACCCGCTTCAAATTGGGTAGAATCAACGTTTCAAATGCTACCCCTTATCCTTAACTCTTAATATAAGATTTAGTTTCCAGTTTATTAAACTATAAGTTAAATCTTATATTAATAAAAAAAAAAAACTTACAAAGTAAGCTTGAAAATTATTAAATTCTAAATCAGAATTTTTTAAAAAAAATGTGTTGTTATTTGTTAATAAATTGTAGTAAAAAATCTATAAAAATGTAAAAAACAATTCTGATTTAAAATTTAGTAATTTTGAAATTTCTTTTCGAAGATTTTTTCCTATTAAAAATGAGGGTTAATATATGTTTTGTTTTTTGCTGGTGACGTGGAAGTTTAAGTTCTTGTAAGGATGGGATGTTAAGAATAATTTTTCTTGCCTTTTATTTCATGAACCAATAAGTTATTCATTTCAATTACGAAATATTAAATCTCTCACAACCCATGATAATAAATGATGACTCCGTAAGGTTTTTATCATGAATTTTATCCACCTTTTAACTTTATGTTTTTATTTTATTATATTTGTCATTTATTTAACGGTACTGTAAATCTTATTATTGATACAAAAATTTTATTACTGCATTCAATTCTTAATATAAGATTCATGTGTCTAATTTATGGAGATTAAAAAGGTTAAATAAATTATTTTAAAAATATTATAATTATTTATTTTTCTTCAAACTAACTTTTTTAGCTTATAGATTGATAGATAATCTAATGATATACATAAATATTTTAGAAAGATCATATAATATATAATATAATTTTTTAATTTTTTAAAATTAAACTAATTAGGTCTTATATTAAGAAACAAAGATAATACTATGTAGTGGAAAAAACCAAGGTTAAGTTGTCTATATCCATTACGTCAGGTTCTTTCATCCCGCATGGACTGTCCTTTTTTCATATAAATTTATAATAAAAATATTAATATTTCAAAAATAAAAGGCTTTGTGTAATTATTTCTTCTTGTATAATCTGCAGATATTTTTTTGCGAATTCTCACTGAAGAGTGATGATTTGAGCCTTAGTGTTGTATTGCAGGCCCTTACAAGAAGTAGGGGCAAAGAAACGTATTCTCCAAATACGGGAAGGGCGAAAGAATGTAAAGTTAAGATGCATTCATCATCTTAAAATATCTTTTTGTTATATCTAATATTTTAAAATATTTTGTGATGTATTCAATATCATGAAATATTTTTTAGATGTAATTAACACCCTGAAATATTTTTCTTGTCTTGATTCTGGATACACACAAAAAAATATTTTATAATGATAGACGCATTTAAAAAAATACTGGATGTACTAAAAAAATATTTGAGAATATCAAATACATCACAAAATATTAATACTTGAAAAAATACTTCCATTGTTGAACACAACTTAAACCCAGCAATGTATTTTCCAAATTTTGCTTGCCTCGCCCCCCTCTACGGCCAGCTCACAACCACCCAGTTGAGATCCCTGGAAAGATTTGCAAATTAATAATAAAAAAAATTAATTTGTAAGTCTTTATAATTTATCAGGTTTTGAATTAGGTCTTTGGAATTTTTTTTTCTTTTATGTACTCCTTATTATTTGCCTAATTTCAATGTCAATCCTTCTATTATAACGCTGTCAATTTCTAGTTGATGTAGGTTTTGCCATCTCTTCTCTCGCTTCTCTCTCCCGTCCTCTGCTCAGTTTCAGAGTCATAACTTCCATCTCTCTCTCCCCTCACTATCATCGTTCTTTTCTTTTCTTTTTTTTTCTTTTTTTTTTTGCATAAGCTTCACTCTATCATTTCCTTCTCCCGCTGTAAAAAGACCCTCCCCCTTCTCCTCCATTCTTGCTGAGAGAATCGATTGCGCCTTGAATCATAGAAACTTGTTTTGAAGAAGACGTTTTGGGGAAATGCAGAGTGCAATAGGAAAAAAGTTAGTTTTTGACTATCCTGAAAACATAGAGTCTAAGACCACCAACAAACTTTATCCATGAATTGCAATACAGGCACTTGAATTGAATTTGGGTCTGTTGGTCATCGAAGATGTTATAAAAGAACACCTAGGTCGTAATCCCTTATATGGCACATCATTGTAGTCGGATTTTGCATAACAAGTAGAGCAAAACTGCAAACATAACGCAGATTTGACATTATTCACGGGTGCATCCATGAGAGTGAGAGAGAGAGAGCTGAAGAATGTAAATATGTAATCCGCAAAGACAGGTGGCACTTTTTTTCCCCTGATGTTTGACAGCTTTCGCTTTTTGCATAATAAAAAGGCCTGTCTTTTAGTAAGAATAGAGGAGAAGGAGGAGGGTTTGTTTATAGCTGGAGAAAGAAATGATAAATCTGAAACATAGAGCAAAGCTTATGCAGACAAAAAAAAAAAGGTAAGGAAGATAACAGTGGAGAGAGAGATGAAAGTGCTGGCTCTGAAGAGAAGCGAAGGAGGAGATGGTCAAATCCACATCACATAGAAATTAATAGCGTTATAATAAAAGGATTGACATTAAAACTAGGTAAACAATAACAAGTGTATAAAAAGAAAAAAAAACTTATAAAAACCTTATTCAAAACCTGATACAACTATAAGGATTTATAAATTAATTTTTCTTTAATAATAT